AACTACAGGTCTACAGGTATAAAATATGTCAACTATAGATACAAAATCTGAAGGTTATTTTTACAAGATAAACCCTGATCCATAGTATAATTTGTCATGTAAATGACTCGAATTGAGTTTAAATTTAAACAATATCTCTCTAAATTAGACTTTAGAAAACATACCAAAGAAGCTGGGCAAATTATGATCTGAATCTACCTTATAAGGTGAACTCAAGTCTAAAATACACAATTTACATACTGAGTGTTTACAATTTTACATGGACAATTATTTATACAGCGTTGTGTGAACTAAAAAAAAAAAAAGTATATTTTTAATATATATTTGTCAACCTCTTCCCTGGATTGAAAAAGTGCTAATAGAGGGATTATGAGAAAGTTGCTCGTAGATTATGATATAAAATTTAACCCCAAACTCGTCACAATTATTTAATTAGCTGACTAAAATTTAACTTGACATGATTATTTAACTAGCTTGCTAGAATTTCACCAAACTCAAATTAAATTTGCACCCTTACTAATCACTATAACAATACTTCTTAATCAAATGAATTATTTGTATAATAAAGCAATAAATAGTGGGAAAAAAAATCAATATAAATCTAATGTAACTATCAATGTCAAAAATCAAATTAAATTACACATTAGAAACCGTACCAAAGAAATAAAAAAAATAAAAATTAAATAATAATAATAAAAAAACCACCAAAAAAAAACAAAAAAAAAAAACAAAAAAAAAAAAAACACAGTAGAAATTTCATTTATTAATCCAGAAAAAAAAAACATCTATTTGTGGCAACAACTATTGACACATTAACATAAGCACAAAGATCAAAGATTGAAAGAGTCTAATGTCCTGATACCAACTGCTAAAACCTTTCTTCAAAAGAAGTCCATTGCCCTTTGATTTGAGCTGTGTGAAACATTCACTAAGAAAATCAAATCTGCTTTGAAGACCAATATGAAATCTATGGCAGCTAATGACAGAAATGTTTCCTGCTAAAGTGAATGCCGATATTTAACAACTTCCATCAAGTTCAAATTATATCTTTGGCATATTGCAGATATCATGCTCTCGCTTAGACCATCCGCTGCATCTCCAAGGTTAAGAAGTTTCTGAAGTTCCACTGATGGGACTAAAACCTGTCCATACCGTCAATAGAGTTCATCAAGCATAATCTATCATCAATGATGAAGGATTCATATACATCTACAACAGCCAATACAATGATCAAAGTACTGATAGGAAGGAATTGGTATAACATTTGGAAATGAAGAGCTTCATACTTTTCCAACTCCGATTATCCAACTCGGAAACTTTGGAGGAAAATTTCTAAACAATTCATATACCGAATGCTTGTCAATCATTTTACATTTCATTATTGATTATCACCCACTTAGCAATATTATTAACCTGGTATTTCCTTGTTCTAGTTCCCTATTTTAGCTCAACTTAATGTCCTGATTTCAGAATTTCTTCAGTGTCTTTCATAACCATGTCAAAATGGCATCAACATAGTGACCAAACAAACCAACTTGGTTGGCGTGAGTGGCAGTGCACCTCATCCCTTAAGAGAGGTCGGGAGTTCGAACCCCCTCTCGTATGGAAAAACCAATCTGGCATTTTGACCAGCACTTTGCCCTTAATTGGGCCGGGGCGGTGCGAATGGGGATTAGTCTGAGTATGGTACGAGCTTAAAGGTGTCTCCTACAATTAGGGTCTGCTCAGGACACCTCATGGCTTGACCAAAAAAACATAGTGACCAAACATTTAGTTATTTGGCTTCAGTACTTCACAAGCTAGATAGCCGATGGTGCTACTCCTTACCCAAGATGTTGCTTTATCTCCACTACGTTGATCTCAGACCTTGGTCCTTGAGAATTTTCATTAAAGTTAGATCACCTTAAGGCAAAAAGTCTAAACTTTGTTTCCAAGAGCATGTCTATTTCTAGCAGGTAATAAGATTATGTCATACAACATCTTCATAATAAGCTGCAGGAAACATAGCAAACTTATCTTGTCTTGCCTGTAGCACTGGAAAATATTTTTTATTTTGGTCCTGTTTGGTAAAAAATTGGCCTATAGGCCAATTTTGGCTTATTTGATCACTATTAATTATTTGATTTAGTTAAAATATCAATATAAATGTTTGGTTAATTAGCTTTTGCAACTCCAAAAGGCTAAAATACAAAAAGCTACTCCAAGCAACTTTTTCAATTAGCTTTTTGAGAAAAGAAATTATACCAAACAGCTATCAGCTAACAGCTAATTTACCAAACACTTTTTTTATAATCAGCTAATGTTATCAACTATTTATACCCTCAAATTAACACAATCAGCTAACAGCTAACAGATATCAGCTAACAGCCATTTTACCAAACAGGGCCTTTAATTCTAAGGATCAGAAGTTTGGTGCAAGGTTAGCAACGAATGTAAGACTTCAGGCTTGGCATTAGAGTAGAATTTATGTAAAGATCAATTGGAAATTCTTACCCATGGAGATCTTAGGTTATTGCAATTTTCTTTTGAATGGGCTTTCATACTTCTGTTCTCATTTGCAGTTTTTTCATTGAAATTTTGTTTGGTTGGGCAATCTGTAACTAATTCAAGAAGTTTCTCACTCCCCTGAAAGAACAAACCAACCAGTTTCATCAGAAAGCGAAATTACAATAGCTCTAAACACACAGGAAAGAGAAAGTAACTGCAAGCAACATTGCTAAGCTTCAGTAAATTAATAAACTTGGAGCCGAGATAAGTACTAGTTTCCACCAGAAATATAAAAGGAGTAGTTAATATTAGTTTATTAAGGACAATTCTATCTTTTTGATAGCAAGGTGTATAGGCTACACCTATATTTCATCACCAGGATATTTCATGACTTCAAAATGTTCCGAAGACATCAAGTTCAGATAAGTTTTACTTGTCAGCATTCCTAAAGAAGATTTGCTCACCTTCAAAGCTCTCCAGTGAGAGTATGTGCGGAACAGGATCCAAAAGAAAGGGATGTTAGGCAAAGGTAGCACCTATAAAGAATGAAAATGGAGAACACTCTCAATATGTAGAAAAGACTACTTGTCAAATTGACGTAAACAAACAAAAAAATTTCTAGACATTCCACACAGGTGATTAGAATACCATAAAGACTGACGACAATGGAAGCAAAACAGCCGATCCGTACAAGTACTGCTTGTGAATAACTGCTCCCCTAACAATCCAGGGATAAAATTTTAGTTAAAAAAAACATTCAGGAGTATTCCATAATCACCATATTAAATTAAAGTAAATTCATGGTAATTATGATTCACCAAAATACTATTGAAAAGAAGACAAGCAAAACATTTCACATTACCTGAAGGCAATGTGTCTTAGCCTTCGACGAACTAGTCGACCATTTAAACTGCAAATTTTAAAATATATACTAACTCTTCAGCATAAGCCATGTGAATAAGAATGGAATACATTGCTAATCTATAAGCTATGCGTTGGTAGTTTGATACACACACAAGCTTTCAAGCGAAAAGGTATCCATTCATGCACACACACACACATATCGATTCTCATTCCCATTTACTACCAAGTATTTGCTTCGAATTCTGATGTTTGAACCAAATGCACCCATAGTAAATACACACGATTCCACTCTCATCAATGTAGCTAATGCTCCCCAAAATAGTCCTTGTGTCCTTAAGTTATATCTATTGATATGCACATGGTAAACAGACCACTTCATTTCTGAATTCCTTTTCCTTCAGCATGTGCATTCAAGTGAAACAAGCTAAGCCACCATACTAAAGTTCAATTGGGGGAAAAGCAGGGGAAATATACAAAGGGGAAATATACAAACAGAACTTCAAAGACAACACTGTACACATGCACTATAGAACTATACAGAAAACTTGGAACTTTTCAAAAAAATACTCCATAATAATAAATAAATAAATAATCTTCCCTCCCAAAATGGACAGAAATAAATTAGCAAACCATTCTCAAATTCACTCTTTAGAGAAACAGCATTCCAAACCATAGCTCACTGAGATATCGTAGACATCAATGATCTTTTTTTCTTCCAAAGCTATCAGCAAAGTATAAACAACAAACAATCAAAATAAATTAAAGAGAAGCATACCTAGATGGATAGGTGATTTCTACTTGATTGACCTCCTTGGAAATGGATTTCAAGAAGATCTCGGAAGGCTTAACTCTAGACAGCAGCCGCAAGCCCAACCTAACGCCAGGAATTACAAACTCATAAATAGTACTGTAGCAATTGCAGATTTACAGAGGCAACAGTTGTAAACAGAAGTTGATTTACCCATGAATTTTGCTCTTCAAACTCCCAGGCGGTGCCTTTTCCAAATGACTCCACTGATTGCTCATCTGAAATCAACACAGAAAAAAAGTCAGTCAAAAACTCCACACTAACACGTACGAACTTACACATCCGCAAAAGCGCTTAAGAAGGAAAATAACTCTAAAGCAATACACAATACTTAAAAAAGCAAAAATGTAAGACCTTAGTTGTAGCAAAATCGATGGCGAGTTCAATCTTAGAGGCGGTAGGCTTATCCTTGGCGGGGTTGGAGATCCTGGTCCAGAGCTCATTGAGCGTCGAGGGAGTGTTGGCAGACTGTGCGTCGCATGCGGAGCCCGGGTCAACCGATCGGCTGAAGCACCAGTTCCTGCCTCTGATCGGAAACACTATTAACCGAGCTCTCACCATCGATTCTAACGGTTTATCGCCGGATTTTTCAACGAGCGGGGAGCTAAGCGAGGAGGAAGGACTATAATAAATTAATTAATGGTGGACCAGAGGCGTGAAAATGTGGAGAAGGTATAGAGAAGTATGGAGAATCGTGTGTATATATCGGTGGAAATCCGCCGCGAAACGCCTCCGAGGAAGCAAATGCTGCTCAAGTCACTACTCACTGAAGCACTAATCGGACAAAAATGGAGGGAGGAAAGAGGCGGTCCCAGGCGGCTTTAACCTCGGCAGTCTACACTCACCATTCCACACCAAGTCGTATTATTTTTTGCTCTCACCAATTTTATTTTTATTTTTGAATACAATTAAAAAAAAAAAAAAAAACTTTAAAATATACTGTATCAATCTCCTCATTCCCCAAAAAAAACTCTAAAATCTGTAATTCAGTCCTGAAATAAATACTTCGTAAAACATAATTTTTATTAAAATATCACAAATTTAATTCTTAAATCTTTTCAATCAAACTTATTACTTATTAGACACAAGATTTTTTCAACACTATTATACATGAGTAAAATTTTACACCATTAAATAATAATTGTGAATAATTGTGAACGTCTAGTTTGATCCAATAGATTTGCGGTGCTGTACGGTGCGTTTGGACTCCTGGAAGCGGCGGAGGAATGCAACAGATACGGCTGGAGACACGTGGAATGATGAAAGGGAGCCACGATGTTTCTTCCACCTCATTCCGCATAGCTCTTCTCTTTCTTTAATCGGAGAAAGAAAAGATGGAGGCAGTTGGGACACCGAGAATGTGGTGGGCAATGAAGGGCACAAGTAGCAGCATGGTCCTCCTCCGCCGCGGGGGGCTGCGGCTGATAGCGGACAAAGCATCCAACCGCTCCGCCGTGCATGGAACTAAGATCCCAGTCCGTGATGTCGTCGACGTAAGTTGTTTTTCTCTTTGGTTTCATAGACTCTTCAGTTATACCTCCTTCAAGTAAAATAAGTTTGATGGTGTTTCGCAGAAGGAGCAGGTGGAAATGGAGGTTGAGAGAGGCAAGGAAGACAAGGAGAAGAAGAGGAAAGAGGTGGAGAATGCAGTCGACGACCAACTCAAAAACGGGAAAGTGATTTCACCCGAGTCCAGTTCAAACACATCTTGATTCCTGACGCAGACAAGCATTTTCGTTTTGTTGGATGCAATCATACTGTAAAAACTTCATCTTTCAAGCATCAAAATCATGGAATTTTACACCTCATTTCTCTCCCCCATCTGTATTACAATAGATCAGTGAGACTTGATCGTTCAGTGTATACATATTACAAGACAATTAACACTAAAATAAATAAGGGATCTAACCTTCCTCAGCTGCTTCTACGAACCGCCCACGAACCCATTTCTTGGATACTGCTGTTGGCTTAGCCGGGGGAGGCGGGTTACTTATGGGCTGAGATGTAAATCCATTTGGCCATGGCTTCTGCTTACCTTCTTCGACCTCACTTCTCTTGTGATCACCGTCTACTTCTTCTGCAGTGTCCAACTTCCTTAACCCAGCATCGGCTGCTAATGGAGCCATATTACTGGAAAACGTTAGGCCCAGTTTTTCCTTGCAGCCAAGTGAATCATAATCACTCAAGCTTGACAAAAAGGCTGCGCCTTTACCATTAAGTAAAGGGTGCAAGTGTTTCCCAGTAGACTTGAAGTTGTGAATGCCATCACCATTAGGCAGTAATGCATGGGCTCTGTTTGATTTTCTTTGGTCAACTTCCTCCAAAGTTTCAAGTTTTGTCAGTGTCATGTCATCAACACTAGCTGGTTCAGTTGGAGTGAGTGAATACTCTGTGCCATTTTCAACAGAATAGACATCTCCTATATCTATGGACTCAATGTAACGAATTGCTTCTGCAATGAGCTCCCTGCTTTCAATAAGGGATGCTTTAGCTACAGGACTCTTTGTGGCAGCAATCTCAAGTGCCTTTGCAGCCTTCTCAGCCTCAGCAATCAATAATCTGAAAATATGATCAGGCAAAACATCACATCAAACTTCAATTATCCTGTATAGGATACTAGTCAGGCAAAATAAGAACATGGGACGCAGATAAGAATGTGGCAGTTATGTTATTGTCTTCTTGCTTGAATATCTTTTACATAAAAGTAACCATGAGGCCATGTGATGTTAGAGTGTGTGTCCTTCAAGAATGAACTTACTTTGCTCTGGCCAAGGCTTCATCCTTCTTGTTGTCTATCGCTGCTCTCTGTGTTCTGATATTCTTTAGCATTTCTAGCTTGGAACTTGCTAAAGGATCCATGTATTTTGGTATACTACTTCTGTCCAACCTAACTTGTTGAGTTTGACTCTTTGGTTTATTGAGTGCTAGACCATTTATATCATCTTTCTTCGTTGATGGGCTTCTTTTTCTGGTCTGTCCATTGCTGCTTGGCCTTTTCCTTTTCTTTCTTTCAACACCATCAGGTACACCACGTTGTTTAGCGATAGCAGAGCAGACCCGATTACGGTATTCCTATTTGGAAAACATATAAAGGGTTATAATTAAGCAAGTGTGAAATATTTGAGTGGATTACCACTAATGTTGGTTCGCAGAGCCATTTCTAACACCAAGCAGAGGGTGGAGAATGAGAAATAACAACAATTACAACCTAGACTGTACTAAGAATTCCCACATTTGCGAATGCTTCTTATAATCTTATTTGTTGTATATGCAAGCAGTTTATCAGAAGATTATAGCATCAAATCATGAATAACAGATGGGCTGTACTAGCAAGTAAGAGCAACTATTTCTAAGTGATATGGGTTCTTACAGGATCCGCCCATTTGGCTGCAATGGCTTCAGAAATCTTCCTCCGTTGCTCAGCAGACTTGGGTTGATTCTTGCTGCCCATTGGCTTCTTTTTCCTTTGTTGAACACTCTGCAGCCATTCCTGCTCCAGCTGTTCATTCAAAATCTTGTAGGAGCCCCACTGCAACTCTTCCTCGCCAAAGAGCCCATTCCTAGAAGCTTCTGCTAATAAATTCTGCCATTCAAAGTAGCAAGTCTCCTGCAACATCAGCTTCTTACGACGTTTTTCCCAATTAAGCTGCATACTAGCTCCTATTTTCATCCTTGTTTCACCACTGCCATAATCATTTTAAGCATAGATTTCACGATGTCAGGACAAAAATGGCGAGGGAAAGCAAATAAGCATTTTACTAACCAATCAAACAAGAGCTCATCCAAGCTACCAATCATTTCAAGGTAAGACTTAATAACAAGCAATACATACTATCATGATTGTTCTCCTTAACACTTCCTAACACCATAAATGATAGAACTACTAAACCCAATCTTTTTGTTGTTTGGAATGGATGATATACATGCTATTCATGACACTCAATTCTATTAATCAAAGACTCATCCTTGAAAAGGGTCAACCGTTAGCAGAATGTGCTAATCCAGGATGTACAAGAAAATGAGACAAATTAAACAAACAAAATATGAATTGCCATGAATTCCTTGGGGACATTAGATTTATGACATTAGAATACAAATTTATGATACAAAAGCTTTTAAGAACAAAAGAAATTTAGTGTTACACCCCACCTTTGAGCATGCCCAAGGTTGGCTAGCTTCATCTTGACCTGTGTAAGCTGAAATTATTAGTAAAAAAAAAAAAAGGCATAGCCAACCTGTATTAATGGTTAATCTAAGATTCTAAGTGCTTTGATTATGCACTTTGTGATATGTGGTGATACCAGAGTTGGCTCATTCTGGATTGTCTGGTGTCATTAGATTTGTACAGAATTGTTCTTGATGCCAGCCTCTTTAATACTATTATTATTTCCTTATATTTTGCATCAATTCATTACATTACTGCTACATGACATCACCTTAGGGTCCTGCATTGCAAGCCTGGTTCTCTCTCTAATCCGTTGCAATGTTTCTGCAAATGAGCATGCTTATCAAGTATAACAAAACAAATTTAAAAAACAAAAGCCAAAATAAAGAATTTAGAATTACCAGGACTGTGCTTCCTGCCTTTATTCCAAGGAACTCTCCCTTTGTTAGATTTGGGGACCCTCATCTGTCTTACGCTCTCATCCAATTCAGTTGAATTACCAGTCTCAGATTGCTGCTCCATAGCAGTGCACTCTAAGCTTCTTGATTCAATACTTAACTTCACACAACCTTCATAGCAATCCTTCTCACTGCTCTGGTTAGACTTGGTTACCACTTCCTGAAAAGTAGCCACTGCCCTTATCATTAACCCACCCCGGGGCAGCTTAAGGCCGCCCAATCCCTTAGCTTCTCCCGGGATGCAAAAGGATCTCCATGAAGACGGAAATCCAGTATCCTTCCCATACACAAATCTAGTATTACAGAATAATTTTTGAGAAGTAACTGCAAAAACATTGTTCCGGTAACCAGTAGCAATATCTGCACAACGACAAAACATATATAATTTTTTTTTGTCAGACAACAAAAGGACAAACAACGCACAAAAGCTATTCGAGATAGAATTCCGATTCGCTATGAGCTATAAAACTTAACGAGACTAACTAGAAATCGAAGAAAACAGTGAAAGGAAAACATAAAATGGAACAATTCGAGATAGAATTCCGATTCGCTATGCACTATAACTTAACGAGACTAACTAGAAATCGAAGGACACAGTGAAAGTAAAACATAAAATGGAACAAAATTGAGGGAAAAAATCACCTAATAAATGCATCAGTAGCTCATCCAGTCAACTAAAATGGTGACAGTTCAAGTATTCCGGGAATCTCCGAGCGGTTTTCAGATTCCATGCAGTTTCTCTTGTTCGTTTTCCGCTACTACCGTGGCGGGAGAGACGACGGAGAATCGGTTTTGGACTTCTGACAACACCGCTACGGCCATAGACGCTGTAGCTTTACTGCTTTAGATAGACGAAGATAATTTTGTTCTAAAATTTAAGTAACGGGCCGAACTTAACTGAGGCCAATGTTTTGGCCCAATGGATCCTGCTTCCGAGCCCTTATAATTGGGCTTCGCTTGTGATGGGCTGATTACATGATGGGGCTGAAATAAAATTATGTAATTTTAAATTTATATATAAATTATAAGGAAAAGGGTCAAATAGAAATCTTTGAACTTTACTTAAAAGTGAATTTAGATTCTAACTTTAAAAAAGTGTAATTAAACACTCAAATTTATCATTTTAGTGCATTTAAATCCAACAACAGGTAATTTATTACTTGAAATAACCAATTCAAGTTGATCGGATAATTGTCTTGGTAACTATAAATTTTTAAATTCGATTCTTCGTGGAAGTTGTACATTGACATTATTTTTTGAGTTTGATAGGTATGAACAACCTAAACTAGTTTACTTCATTATGGTCTTTTGACGATAAAAATCACAATGCTACTTTACTCATACAGTGTACCTTCGTATAGTGACAATATACTTTTTCATAAATCAAAATTCTGCATGCTTCAAGCAAGTTCCATGGTGAGTTTTCACTGTAAATAAAAAAGTAACGGGATTGTTTTTTTTTTAAGAAAAACTCACAATAACTATTTAATGGTGTATAATTAATAAATTATATTCATGTGTAATGACTCGTAAACCATACAAAATAAATAAATTTCACTAAAAAACATAATGAAACAAGGTCGATCAAAAGATATTAACAATATTTAAACTTTGTTGGATTACAATCTATCATGATTTTTTTTTTCTTTTTCTTTTTAAAGGAAAATAAATTGTACATGTTCAAATGTATTGGTGAAACCTGTGGTACCTACCCAGCCTACATCTAGGGTTTAGGTGGGGATTGGCCAATATGGCAATGAATTCCTTAGAAAAAAATGACAAACAAAGCTTTCAGACATGATTCCCCCCTCCATCATTTTGTCCACGCCGCTGCAATTATTCACTCCGTTGAATTCTCATTTTTATTTTATTCGTTATACTGTTCTAATATTTACATCTCGCAATATTAATAGAGTAAATATCCAAAATGGTCCCTCGACTATAGTTAAATTCACAAATTGGTCATCGATTTTCAATTTCAACCAATTAAGTCTTGAACTTTGTAATTTTGACACGATTTGGTCCTCCATCTATTTGACCGTTTGTTGACCGTGATTGACGATCTCCAGAAGAACCTTCAGCTCTCGTCAGAGCACATGGAGGCCTCTAGGATGACGTTGCACTGGTTCGGAAACACGTCGTCTTCTTCGCTCTGGTACGAACTCAACTACATTGAATCCAAAGGGAGGATGAAGAAAGGCGACCGGATTTGGTAGATTGCTTTCGGCAGTGGATCCAAATGTAACAATGCGGTCTGGAAATGCAACCAGAACCTTAAAAACCGACGATGCACCATGAAATTACATATATATCTTCAAAAATCACAGTCAACAAATGGTCAAATAGACAAAGGACCAAATTTGTTAAAATTACAAAGGTAAGGACTTAATTGGTTAAAATTGAAAGTCGAGGACCAATTTGTGAATTTAACTATAGTCGATGGACCATTTTGGGTATTTACTCATATTAATATTACTTTTTTATACTCCTAACTCTGTTACAATGTACGGCATATTATATGTTCATAATTAATTTCTCAATCTACCGAAACACAAAAAGTAAATACCGTTTCCACTAGAGCTCAAACTTATGACCTCTCATTTGGAAGAGTCCTTCTTACCACTATACCACAAAGTCATTGACAAGTTAAATCCCATATAAATCATCTCCCGACCTATCTTTTCTTACTACACTAGTTTTAAATCTCACAATTTACAACTAATTCAGTTATATCTTGATTATAGTCTCATTTGGAACCACATTTACAGTCTTTCTTTTTTCCATGAAAGAAACAATTCTTTATACGTATTTGACTTTTAGGCCTAAATTTCAGGCCATCTTCCCCCATGTCACCGGCGCAGATGTTCCTTTCGGTGCCAAATCATCGTACTCTGCCGGCCCAAACTGGGGATATGATGTACATTATCCACACACCGCACTCCCACTTCTCTTCTGTTTTTTCCCCCAACTCTGTTCACGATGTTGATTGAACATCTTATCGTTGCTAAAAAATGTCTCTAATTGCTATTGAATTTTAGTATTTATACCACTCTTTACATTTCCATTCCCAACAATTTTATTCCTGCGTACCAAACACAATGTAATTTGAATTCCAACTTTATTCATTTTTCATTGAATTACAATTCATTTTCCCTCTTGCCAACCAAACGTCATATTAAAGATCACAAGTTTGATTCTTACAAACACTTTTCTGATCGAATATGTTGCCGAACACTCTTTTGATATACATCTCATATGTAGGTTGTGGACTATTACATGGGAACATGATTTACACATGAGTGACTGCAGTTTTCTTCGTCACAACAAACAACTCTTGTTTATAACAAGTTGTAAAATATTTTTTTATTATAATATGTTGTATTAAGAATATAAAATTTAATCTCAAGTCTCAACCAAGCGGAGCTCAAAAAAATAAATTTTAGTCAAATTCGAGCTTCAAATTTTTGAACTGAGCCGAGTTTTGAGATATGACAATTTATACTTTACTCAACTCGGTTACATTTTAGGTAATGCTTAAAAAATATGTTAGGAATATATCAATAATTAGTTATGCTAAAGTTAACTCATTATTAAACTTTAATATTTATTTGAAAATAAAGTATATTATTTGTTCCTTTCAAAAAAAAAGTATATTATTTGTGAAATAATACGTGTATTTGAATATTAAAATGTTTATAAATAATTAAGTTTTGATATGAATTATTACAATATTATAATGCCTCAAAATAAGCTAAATGGTCCAAATTACACCTTCCAATAAATTAGAAATTAAGTAGGTGGGTAGATAAACTACTCATCCTTTTTTATTCTTTTGAAATATTTTTGTCCCACCAAAAAGACATTTAAAACCATTCACTTTCACTTAAAATTTTGAGATGAAATAATTGTAGAAATATAAAATCTATTACATTTGAATTTGTATCTTCAATCATTCATATTCAAAAGCTTCCAAGGGTGTTGCATAGGTGAAAATGTAAATAAGATTAATTATTCTCAAGGTTTCGAGTATAGCAAGTGTTAGAATAACTCTTCAATTAGTGTTTGACTGGAGCTTAAGCTTTAAAGAATTGCGTGTGTGTGTGTATTGTATAGTATGATTATTTCATCTTAAAATTATCATCAAACGGTTGGAGAACTTTTCAATTAGTATTTGATTGAAACTTGAAATATATGTAAGTGAATATAAACTGTTGTAGGATTCAATACAAAAGACACCAGGTCTAACCGATACCATAAATCCTCTCTCTCATAATCAACAACGCCTCTACTAAGGCTCAATCTCATGACTTTTCATATAGGAGATGTTACTATATGTTATCTGAGTATAAGGTGCTTGATAGAGAGTGAAAGTGTTATTTTTATTGATTTTGTGTCCAGCAAAATCAAGCGCGTGATGAAAAAGGGGTTGGGTTACCTTGGACAAGAATGTCAAATAATTGTCAAATTTAGGTGATATCCGCATTAGCCTTTGCCAACCAAATCATTAAACTCTATTAATTAAATATCTTTAAAGTCAAGTTCAAATCCTTTTGGATCGGAGGGGACATAATTTTGAATCATATTTCCTTCTAAAACCTTTAATCATCCAAAATACAAACATTTCATTTATAGAAAACGCTCCTTATTTGTGAAAATATTTATTGCCTTTGTTTAAGTAATAAATTGTAATTATTTGTAGTATTAATTACAAACTATCTTTTCAGTATTGTCTTGTGTATGAAAGAAAAGGAGGAGGGACTCTAGCTGTCCGTCTATGCAGACGTGACAATTCTTCGAGCCTTCGAGATGCTCATCATGAAATCACCATAGACAAGTTGGCAAACACTATCCGGTGGTTGGTGAAGGAACTTTAGATCTCTCCGGTGATTGGTGAAGGACACGTATCGTATTCTTTGATCGATAATAAATGACATTTTAGAAATTGCGTGTTATTAAAAAAAAAAAAAGACAAAAATTTAGAAACTTGTATTGCTAAAATTTTGCATATTCCGTTGAGAATCAATACCCAGTCTTGCATTTTTCAAAAGCGGTTGAATTCCGATTTTCACTCAAAATGTTTGATTGATGAGAAATGATGTTATAGAAATCACGTGATGTTCAAGAACAAATTGACAAAGTTTAGCTATCTGTATCTCTTGAATACGAATCAATCAATAAGCTGGCACTTGAAAAATCACATACTTCTCACCAAATAAGATCATTGTTAAGTCTGAATCTTTCCAAACATACCGTACAAAATAGTCGTGATCAAAATTTCAAATGTAAAATTTAAATTTTCGATCATTTTTTATTGAACGAAAATCACAACTTTTCTATATGCAGATAAGAGTACATTATAATCAAGAAATTACTCTTACAGTCTTACAAACATATTAAACAATACCCAACGAACGGAAAAAAGTTATAACCTTATAAAGTATCCGATATCGAAAAAGTCGTTTTGAAGCCAAACTTTACAAAAATTTGATCTAATTGATTAAAAAAATGATATTAAAAAGCAAATGATTTATCATCATTCACTCTATGTAGTGTGAGGATCTCATCAACAACACCTATAAAGAACACATTTAAAAACATATTAAAAACGCCCAAATGGGGACCAAGTTATCCTGTGAATTATATGCCACGATACAACGTATGAACGCAGAGGATAGACACGCAAAACCTGCGCAGGTGGAATCAATCCTCCAATTTCATCCCACCCAGGAAGTTAAAAGATTCGTATTCCCTGTCAGTTAACCACAACCTCTTCTGCAATATTCAAAAGGTCAATTCGGTTCACTATAACTGATATACCGGAGAATCTTCCATTCTTCTTCCACAATCCTCGTTACTGTTTGCAGCGTAGGATGAATGCAAAGATCAAGTTGAAATGTTGAATACTTACAAATTTATGGTCTCCCAATCCAATCCAAAGACAGGGTCAAAGGTATCTTCTTGCTGTAACTAACTTCGATTTTTCAAAGCTCCGATCTTTTTCATTCACCAGTCCAGTCAAACCATAGGAGAAGCCTCCTGAAAACTGGAATTGTTTAAAAATTTCTGGTTTGGGTCGCAGCCATTGAAGCCGCCTGCTTTAAAGGGCGGACTCTTTTGGCGGCTCTCTTCATCTCTGACTGCATTTATCTTCTCATTTCAGTCATATCTTTGCGTGTGCGTGCCCCTTTCCCTGCAACTGTCTCTTTCATTCTGAGCTTTTCTTGTTTAGTCTCCAATTTTGATCTTCTTCATATACCCTAAGGTTTTAGCAAGGTTTCAGAGAGAATTTAGGCCAAAATATTTGGTGTTTTACTAGGAGCTTTCACAATTCTGTCATTTTGAATCCTGGGTTTTGCTGTTACCCTTTTTGTTTTCTGGGTTTTGATTGAAAAAGTGACATCTCTCTGGAATCTCCAGATCTCAAGCTGAAGAATTTGAAGATCTGAAGGGGAATCCCACCTTGGGTTTTCCATATATACGTTTGGGAATCTCAAAGATTTCACCTTTTTAATCTGGAAATGGGGGATGCTTCACATATCAGTGGCAAGCTAGATGACTCGAGTGTGGTGGAGCTGACAGGGAAGATCATGGTGGCGGCCATCATTTGCCTCTTCTTAGTGGTGATAATTGTGTTCGTCCTCCACCTTTATGCCAAGTGGTTCTGGTACCGCCGCTCGGAGAGCAATGGCGGCGCCACCACGAGGAGGCGGCGGTTCGATTTCGCCGCCGGGTATCAAGAAGTTACTGCCGCCGCCGCCCTCCGCCGTGGGCTTGACCCCTCGGTGCTGAAAACCATACCAGTAGTTGAAGTTAGCCCCAAAGAGTTCAAAGATGGGTTGGAATGTGCAGTTTGTTTGTGTGAGGTTTCTGAGGGTGAAAAGGCAAGGCTTTTGCCCAAATGCAACCATGGTTTTCATGTGGAGTGCATTGATATGTGGTTTCAATCCCATTCCACTTGCCCTCTATGTCGAAACCCGATTTCCAATCCCACAACCCCACCAGAATCAACACCAGAGGAGGGCTCGTCGGTTTCTGGTGAAACGCCTAATTTCCCCACGAATGTGTTGTTCTGGGGAGACGAGACTCGAGTTAGTACCTTGGGGATTGGCTTGGAGGAGCCTCAACAAGGCCCGATTTCTGCTCAATCATCATCATCGTCCTCGTCCTCAGCAGCCCGAGGAGCTGCATCAATCCCCGAGGGGATGTTGGTTATCGATATTCCTAGGCAGATTGTTGGCGAAGACGATCAGGAACAGAAATCTCCTATGACGACGAGATTGAGGTCGTTGAAGAGGCTCTTGAGCAGGGAAAAAAGGGTCAGTCCTCGTAGTCCTTGTGCTATTGTTGATGTAGAACAAGGCTCGAGAAGCCAAAGCTAATACTTGCGTGGTATGCAAAAGCCAAAAGGCAAACCAATGCATAGAAGGATATGGTTTCGGGATTTAAGGTCACATCCCGAGATGAAATGAGCGTATCCGTTATGCTCATTTGTTGTCTGTTCTTTGATTCTTGATGCAGAAGATCAAAACTACAACTTTGATTACTGCATCCTGTATAGAACTTGTTTATCGTAGTTGGCTTCTCTGTTGAGGATGGAGGCAATCCCCCCTCTCCTACAGAAGAGTGTTATAGATTATCTTATGTTAATGTGAAATCTCGTGTATTCTCAGCACCGTTACACATGAAAAAAAAAAAACATCTTATGCTTATCTAAAACATCATATGCATATGAGATTTCTTGATCTCATTCCCTGTTACACGTATGAAAGAGCATCTTATGCGTATCTAAAACATCACACTCACAAGAGTTCTTGATCTTGTACCCTGTTACACGTATGAAAGAACATTAATGCTTATTAAAAAAACATCACAGGCATACGAGATTTCTCGATCTCATGATTTTCATTTAGTCTGCAATTGTCTTTATGGTGGAAGTTGCTTCCATTTAAGATACACCCTTGTGAGTTGTTGAGTCAAGAATCAAGAAAGCTGTGTGGGGGAAATGATAGATTAATAATCTGAAGCCACTGAAGGGATTGAACTTTGGATAGAGTGGATATGTTGACCATTATTGATGGCATGTTTGATATTTTGATTCCAGAATCTTGTTCCATTTGCATTTTAATATGTTGAGCAATTAGAATATTAGGCTGCTAAACTTTGCAAGTTATCAGGTATGATATTCATTTGGACCTGATTAATATAATTTGCAATCAAACCAGCATAAGTAGTTGGCAATTGCTTAACTCAAGCTGAAACTGGTGATGCTGTCTTGATTCTTTAATTGCTTTAAAGTGTTTGAAAATAGGATATGACAAAGAAAGAAGGAATAAGGTCCAAATGGACCATTGAATGTAAACTGAAAGTGCAATTGGGCCACTAAACACCCCAAATATATGCAATTTCACTTGATAGCAGGTTAACATCCATTTCTTCCGGTTGCCTACTTACGTGGATGGGTGTTAACCTGCTATCATGTGAAATTGCATATATTTGGGGTGTTTAGTGGCCCAATTGCACTTTTTTTTTTGCCTAATTACACTTTTAGGTTACGTTCAGTGGTCAATTTGGACCTTATTCCAAGAAAGAACATGGCCATATCGTTAGTTTAGATTTTGCTACTCCAATTTGGACCGTATTCCAAGAAAGAACATGGCCATATCATTAGTTTAGATTTTGCTACTCCTATTTCAACTGACCACAAGGAGGTAAACCAGCATAGGTGCCAACAGTCCGACCAACTCTGTTGGTGTTGCCCTGTGGAGTTGTAACATTATTTTTATAGAAATTTGCACCTCCATGATTTGATTCTTATTATGTAAAAGACCTAGTGTTTTTTTTTTTTTTTTTCTTTTTTTACATGACACAATTTATAAGAATGCAACCACAGTCTGCTTACCAGCTACAACATAATTTTGAAAATTTTTGACAAACTGCACACAAGTTTGTGAAGATGAGACTTTGATACAAAACTGATACCTTACAAATTAAGTTACAATATTCACATCTGAAAACTAAGAAGCTGAAGCTCGATCACAGCAAGGTTTCAGACAACTTTTGCTGCGACTCTAAGAACACAAAGCCTACTCTTACAAGTTACAACGTAAGACTAAACAAAACTGAACTAACAAAGAACACCCTTAGCTTGGATGCTTCCCAGAATGGAGTATGGATTACGGAGGAGGACGAGACCTGAACATAGGAAGTTAAAGTTTGAGTAAACTGCATGCAGGTTATGCTGTGTAGTTCGTAAGCTCTGAACATTTGGGATTCAGAACTTACTTGTTCTGTGTGGGATTAGATCTGGTGGGAGGTATCTTCCGCAAACTGGAGTCGACATTCTTGAATGCTGCAGGTTCTTCGCCACCTTTCAGAGTTTCTGAAGAAGAAGAAGAAGAAGAAGCCATGGTTCCTGGAGATGATGAATGAGCTTTATTCAAGAGGACCCGACCTGCATCTGTCTGGGAAGCCCAGAATTGCAGAAGAAGAGCCATGGTGAGAAGGAAAGCTGCCAGCTTTCTCAGGCGCTGGAAGAAGTTCATGTCTGGTTTTTTGCTGTAGTGATCTTGGGATCTGGTAAGCTCAGAAGATGAAGGGTTTGTTTGTTTTCAATTTTGAGGTGTTTAAGGATGGCGGAATGAGATTTATATGCAGTGTTTTGGGGGATCCAATGTTGTAATGTGATCAGGATCCTCTCCTTTGACTATGCTGTGTTGTAACTATGACTTTCTGGATCAGTTCTTCAAAGTGATATGTATGAGCACCCACGTGAAACAAAAAAATCTTCTGCCGTGTTGTGTATTATATTGTTCTCCCCAGAAAACCTCAGAATATTTTAAGGTTTCACTTCAAAATGTCTTTCATCTTCTTCCAGTCCCCTTTTTACAGCTGTATCGATCAGTGCATTGCAGAAGAGAAAAATGACAACCTTGACTGATTTACCTTATTGTGATCTTTTGTCAACTATATGGTTATAAGACTAGTTGCGAACTTTCTTGTAAATCAAAGGTATTTGTTAGCTGGCCTTGCTTTTGTAGTGTTACTTTTGTGCATGAAATTTTCCAGTTGGTATCTTTCCAGGTTACAAAGGCTACTTTTTGACTTAAATGCATTGGCTTTGTTACAGTTAAGTCAAGAAAGATGCTGTGATTATATTGTTAATTTTATGGTTGCAGGCAGAATTGCAGATATGTGGCCTGAAATTTTAGTAAATTAGTAGTGATGCAGACAGTCATCGAGATCTCAATTTCCTGACATTTCACATTGTCTTGTCAGTTTTTTTTTTTTTTTTTTTTTTTTTTAACCTTAATGACACAAAATTTAGAACTCCACTAAGTAACTTTGCCGGCAGTCCTAGAGTGTAATAATTCAAATTCTTTTCTCAAAAGGTTTAATCCAAAATTTCAAAGATCTCACATTCTGATCAGACAAAGCATTTGAGAGAATATAAATTACGGTGATTCAATGACTCAGCAAACATAGCTAAATATCGATGCACATAAACATCTATACACTTTAAACATAATCCTATACTGGTGCTGCCGAAATTCGAAATCAATAATATCATTGGTTATTGTATGAAAGAAAAAAAAAATGCAATGAATAACGTACAATAAAAATAAAGTAGGCCCATGTAAATTGGTAGGCTTTATTTTTCTATTTATTCGATGGGATGAATTGCTATTCTTGGCCCATGAGTTAGTATGAACATGAATTGATTGAATTCTGTGCATTATGAATATGAATTTTGTGTATTATATTAAATGTTTATGTGTCTTTGGTTATATAATGCACAGAATTCTGATTCATTATATCGTGTTTATGTATATATGTATTATGAACATGAATTAAGTGTATTGGATCCGGGTTCACGATATAACGATTGCTATTTTGAAGTACAATCTTATTTTGTCTCGATTTAATTTAAATTATCGTTATATTATAAGATATAATTAATTTTGTGTTGTCACTTTAATATCAAATTAAATTTAAATACATTTAACTTCTCTATAAGTATGATTGACATAACAAGGCCAATTAACAACTCCGAAAATACAACTAGATTTTCAAATATTATTGTTTCATAACTATTAATGTTTGCATATTATGTTGTCTCTATCATCATGTTTTACTTTAAACTAAGCATGCCACTTTTAACTAATTCGACCAAGACTGCATGCTATATATATTGGTCGAGTTCAATCATAAACAATGACGCACATTATTATTTGATAAAAAGCTAAAATCGGATAAAAGTTAAACAGAGTTGTTAGCTGCCTATCATACTGAGAAAAACGAAATTAAGAAATCAAGAAAATAACAAAAACAAAAACAAAAGAACATACGATTCATATGGTTTACAAATTTACATGTGTTCACACGAGCGAAACAGTTCTTTTATTAATTATATATAATAATATATCTAAAGTTACAAGTATCATATTTATATGTAACCCTAAGTTATGATACATTTACGTGATCTATATATCCTATTTCGTTCATTGCGCTCTTTTCTACTTGCTTCACTCCACTATGCTATTTCAATAATATACAACAAACACATTAATTACATGCATGGTTTTCGGCTCGTCCAAGCTTAGCAGCACATCCTCAATTTTGAAAAAATAAAAATAAAAAAAATCGTGGAAAAAACACACACACACACAGTTTTCACGTTTTATGTGTCTTTTGTAACCAAAAAAGAAAAAGAAAAAAAAAATATTAAGATTGTTTCGGATAGGATCGGATGGCAATTGTGGTCAGAGTGTAGTTTTGAGTGATAGAATAAGGTGAGGTGTTAAAATTTTTGTCTTTAAATGGGTAAAAAATAATTTATCATTACCAATTTATTGAAGATTTTGACAAAGTTATAAAACAACTCTAATTCCTTATCCCAAAAGGCTGAATCCTCAACCCTAAGGCCCACATACTCCGATCCGACAAAACATGTGGGAGGATGTAAATCACGGTAACTCAATGGGTTAGTAGACAAGGACAAATGCCACTGCGCACAAGGAATTTGCCCACAACTCTAATTCCTAGTTATAGGGGTTGATAAATCAATTATAAAAGAGGCCACATCTACTACCATTGCACCCAATCAACTATCATATACAATAATAAGTATCATCTAGCCAACACAATCGACTTGAGTAGCACCAAATACAAAGTGCCATATCAACTCAATCAACGAATCTTTAGTGTGCAACTATGATTCATCCAAATATTTTTGAGCAATGCTAGAGACCCCGGCCCAACCCCTAATATTTTTTTAATACTATATTTCCAATATCCAATCTGTCACCCAAGAATCAACAGATCGAACTTCTCGTGTGGGCACACTCTAACTATAGTATCTGCTCAACACCAAATTATGCCAACCCTTGATTGAGGAGATATGACTCGAACCTGAGACATTTCTTATAGAAAGTAACCATCAAACCACAAGGTATTTGGCACCAAGGAATTTGTTAATTAACCTTTTTTTTTTGAAATTTAAAAATTAAAAAAAAAAAAAAAAAAAAAAAAGTGACCAATCTTGCATGCATGTGCAAACCGTGGCTAATTGAATTCCTTCAATAATAGTGCAACTACCCAATTAACCGGTAACTAGTACCCACTTGCTCACCAGCCCTACGTACACTCATTAAAATTACTTGACCACATTCACATATCAAAATAAAAATTTGATTTAGGGGAAAATTTTATTATATTTTTAATTTTTTAGGGGAAAAACTAAGGTATTGATTTATACATACTGTATTGAATCATAATATTGTGAGGACAAATATTCTCACAATACGAAATATAACTAGGCATGTATTTTGTATTGTGTAGTGTTGATATTTTAAAAATTTTTATATAATATGTCCGGTAAGAATATGACAATATTAAAATGTAAGACTCAATATTTAAAGAAAAAAATCTTTTTTTTTTTGTTTGTCGGAATAATATATTACATATTTACTTGGATAAATAATTATTACAACAGCAATGCGATTTGTAAAGTTTTTTTAGTTTTTTTCTTTTGCCTATTAATACTAGTATATTGGCATCAAATTAAACATTGCATACATATTCACAAGAATAATATAATATTATATTCTCTAAAGATAAGGTTCCCAAATTATCCAAATGCAGACTATTAAAGAATTCTTCGCCGGAGTGTCACTTTCCGGCGAACCCAGGAGAAAGAAGAAAATATTCCTAGCGCTCTTCGCATCAGTTCTCCTCGTAGCTGCGGTGGTCGGAGTTGTAACCGGAGTTAAATCCATCAAAAACAACTCCGGCGACGGCGCTGATGTTCAAGCACTTTCCTCCGAAGCCCACGCCATTGTTAAGTCTTCATGCAGCAGCACTCTCTACCCGGAACTATGCTTCTCCGCCATAGCCAACGGCGCCGGCAAGAAACTGTCGAGCCAAAAGGACGTCATCGAGCTATCTCTGAACATCACAATCGCCGCCGTGGAGCAGAACTCCGCGGCCATAAAGAAGCTAATCAAGGCCGGGAAAAACCTGACAAAACGCGAGAAGACGGCGCTGCAAGACTGCGTGGAGATGGTGGACGAGACCCTCGACGAGCTCCACGCCGCCGTCGAGGATCTGGAACAGTACCCGACGAAGAAATCTCTAATACGCCACGCCGACGACCTCAAAACCCTGGTCAGCTCCGCCATTACCAACCAGGAAACCTGCCTCGACGGATTCTCCCACGACACCGCCGATAAGCACGTGAGAGACGCCCTAATCGACGGCCAAGAGCACGTGGAGAAAATGTGCAGCAACGCCCTCGCAATGATCAAGAACATGACCGACACCGACATTGAAAACCAGAAAAAGCTTTCTGGGACTACTAATACCAACAGAAATCTGAAAGAAGACGATAATGACGGTGTGGAGTGGCCGGAGTGGTTGTCGGCAGGGGACAGAAAACTGCTGCAGTCGTCGAACGTGAAACCGGACGTTGTGGTGGCGGCGGACGGCAGCGGAAACTACAGGACGGTGTCGGAGGCGGTGGCGAAGGCGCCGGAGAGGAGTAGTAGAAGGTACGTGATAAGGATTAAGGCAGGGGCATATAGGGAGAATGTAGATGTTCCGAGTAGGAAGACGAACTTAATGTTCATCGGAGATGGAAGATCAAACACCATCATCACCGCAAATCGTAATGTCGTCGACGGCAGCACCACCTTCAATTCTGCCACCGTCGGTAAGCTTATCTGCTTCTAGTTACATTATCCATTCCTCGCATAAATAATATAAATAGAAAACAATGGAAAATACATTTTTGTAAAAATTTTGAAATTATTCTATATTTAGAAACTAAATAAAGGATCGGAGTTCACATAGCCACGTGTAAGGATTAAACAAAATAGGGAGAATGTTATTGTCCGATTATACTCACTCATAAAAGGTCAGTTAAAGAGATGGGAACCAGTAGAGTTAGTTAGGTTATTAACTTGGTCTAGTTCGTCAAATTAATTTGACCAAATTGACCTTCTAGATTAAGTAAATAAATTGTGAACAATTTAAACTAATTTAATTTATTGCGATGTTTTTCTGACTAGTAAACTTTCTTGTAAATCAGAAGTCTCAAATTAGTCTTAGCATGGACTACATGGGTTACTATAACATTTTATGTCATTAATTTTTGTGATAGAATAATTTAGCATTATAACTTTAAGAACATGGATCAAAACATGTAGGAATTATTCTTCCAAAAGGTTGAACCCCAACCTTAAGGAAAACGTGTAGGAATTATTATTTCGGTTTATTATTGTGTTGTCCGTTTTGGACACTTGTGCGTTTGTGGTTGGAGACTGTACTGTGATTTTGAACGGTGGGACCATCCTTAATCTTCTTTGTTTGTCGTGTTTCGCTGTCTGTAACAGCCGTGGTGGGGGCTGGATTCTTGGCCCGGGACATAACTTTCCAGAACTCAGCGGGGCCAGCGAAGCACCAGGCGGTGGCGCTCCGAGTTGGCTCAGATCAGTCGGCGTTCTACCGATGTGGCGTGATCGCGTACCAAGACTCCCTCTATGTTCACTCCAACCGTCAATTCTTCGTCAACTGCTACATCGCCGGCACGATCGACTTTATCTTCGGCAATTCCGCGGTGGTTCTCCAAGATTGTGACATCCACGCCCGCCGCCCCGGGTCGAGGCAAAAGAATATGGTCACGGCCCAGGGGAGAACGGACCCAAACCAAAACACCGGAATCGTGATTCAGAAGTCCAGGATCGGAGCCACTTCCGACCTGAAGCCGGTCCAGAAGCAGTTCCCGACGTTCCTAGGCCGACCATGGAAGGAATACTCTAGAACCGTTGTTATGCAGAGTTCAATCACCGACGTGATTGACCCCGCCGGCTGGCATATATGGGACGGAAATTTCGCCCTCAATACATTAGTGTACCGAGAATACAGGAACACCGGCGCCGGAGCTGGCACATCTAGGAGAGTTAATTGGAAAGGATTTAAAGTCATCACCAGCTCCGCAGAGGCCGCATCCTACACCCCCGGTGCGTTCATAGCCGGCGGTAACTGGTTGAGGGGAACCGGGTTCCCATTCTCTTTGGGCCTTTAATGCCAGTCTGTTTAGTATTGGGTCAGCCTGCAGTGGCGACAGCCAATAAAACATAGTTTAGTTTTCTCGTCCATGGCAAATAATTGTGGATCGTGCTCCACACAGCTTTGTGAATCACGGTTCAAAAAGACGTTGAATTTTATGAGTTAGAATAATATATTGTATGTGTTAGAAAAATGAAACTTATGTGGTAAGATAATGTTTTATGAATTAAAATAATGTACATTATGAAATATAAAAATGTATTTTGTAGGGGGGTCGCGTAAAAAAAATTTAAAAAAAATTACGCGAAACGACGTCATTTTTACCGTGGTCCACTCAGATTTGTGGACCACGGTCCACGCAATAACTGTTGTTTGTCCTTTGTAAATTGCAAAGGAAAATGCTCCAATTAGATCTTACCATTTCATAGGGATGGATGAGAGAGAAAAAAAAAATAGGAGGTATATATAGCACTACTCAATTGTAAATTACACTTTGAATTACCATTCATATTGAAGGTGGATTATGAATAAATATTTATTTTTAGTCTATTTGAAGTTAATTTTAACTGGTATATAAAAAAAAATGAATATTTAATATATTAAAATAATATTTCAAAAATAATATTCACTATATTAAAAATAATTTTTTTAAAATCTTCAATATAATTAAAAATAATTTTTAGTATATTAAAATATATTATTTTTTTAGAACAAAATAGATATTTTGTCAATCATCAGTACTTTATAATATGGACAATAATTTACGGATTTAAAGGGGAAAATGTTTGGTATTGTGTGGAGTTAATTTTTTTTTTTTTTAAATGTTGAATTGCTTAAAATACGATGATGACAAAACGGCGCGATTATCGGTACGCGTGGCTGCTTTTGATCTTATCTTTCACATGGAGTGGTAGAAATCGGCAAACCATGATGCTGTGGGTCAATAAACCCCGTAAACAAATCCACTTGCTCCCAATAATTAATTAGCGAATTGATAACAAAACTACCAAATGAGCATATTTTCTCAAAAATAAAAGATGCAAAAAACCATTGGGTTTTAACTTTTAATGCTCTTAAGAAGAGGAGTCTTGTCACTTGTGATTATTCTTAGTTAATTTGGATTCTCATTCTGGTTAAGTGATTCAGTTATTAGATTGGTAGAATATTCGGTAACCAATCAATTCATTTTTTGAATTTAGTTTCCTAATGATATGGCCGTGGCTCATAGGTATTCAATGTTTAATTAATTTGTATGTACACCTTAGAAAGGACATACTGATTATTGCTAGCTCCTAACAAAATTCATATTTATTCCTAACTAACAAGTTATATTAGCCGGCAGCAGATTGTGAATGCCATAAATCCAACGTAACCATACGCGCAAACCAAATGGTCAACTGGATCGATAATGATGATAGAATCCTTTCACATGGAGAGGCCAGGGAACCCATTCCTGCTACGACTCGTGTTGAACCAGCAGGAAACGTAATCAAAATCTGTACGGGCTCAGTTTAATAGTTCAATAAACAGTATTTTGAAGAAGAGATTATCAATGTTTGAACTTCAACGACGACAGTTGAAAAATTACGTTCAAAGTGGACAGATTTTTTGTAAGTATTTGACATTGTTTGCTCATCTATTAAATTATCGTGATTTATATCCTTTTAAATACTCTGTTCGGATTAGAAATTCAACCTTTTCGAGAAAGGAAACGTAATCAAAGTTTTCAAGGTTCCGGAAAACGATTTAATGACATGTCCGGTGTCTTAAACACGCCGTGATTATGATTCCTGGGACAAAGGTTTGTTTAAACCCAAAATTCGGTCTGCCATATTATTATATTCTTCCAAAAGTGCGATATATTATTATATTGCCGTGCCGGCTGTACGCGGTCCCGCTTGTTTCTCCATTTGTCTGAAAATCGCAACAGCGCAGACTAGATTCCCAGTACAACATGGTATGGTTGCACACCGCAGCTATTAATGCTTCCCAATCAAGCAATCTTACTATTTCCTAAACTGTACTATTTTAATTTAAACATTTCTTTTCACTTTCTAAATAATTACCAAAAAAAAAAAAAAAGCTTAAAAGGAGTTCAACACCTTTAATCACGCAAAGTTCGACCAAAATTTGACGAGTTTAATTTTAAAGAGTAATTTTATTTGCATCTAGTAAAATTTTCAGACAAAATATGAAGAGATCTGCATCATCTTATTAATACTGGATATGTTGGTTTTATGACTTGTGTAATTGACGGTAGCCCACACAATCGGTAAAAAAACAAGAAAATTGATAGTGAAACTTAGATTTATTGAGGAGAAGTGTTTATTATTTTTATTAAAAATAATTTTCTTTACAAGCCTCTTTTTTTTTTTTTTTTTTTTTTCATGGTATTGGTATTTATACCTCTAACATCTAGTTAAGGTACTTGACAAAATTAGGAAAGTAAATCTCTAAGACGTATGCATTAATTACAAACTTATTCGCTGCAAAAATAGGAAAAATAAACTTTTAAATGATTACTTTCAAAAATATGCTAGCATGTTTGGAAATTGCGTATTAAAATAGACTAAACTACTAATGCCGAAGTTAAACACTAGACTGCAAATACTGAACCTATCACACGGTAAATTTCACTTTTTAAATAATTAGTAAAGAAAAATAAAAACTACTTTAAAATGGGGTTTATTGGATGATTGGATCCATTCAATCCATGAATTGAATGTTTCAACTATTGTCTTTAAATAATAATAATGTCCTTTTAGCTTGAAAGATAATTTTCCGAGCTAAATGGATTACACCATTAATTAACTCAACACAACACGCATAGACTAAAGGTGGATTCGGCAGACATCACTTGTCTCCTTAATCACACCTATATGAGTAAACATTATTATTATTATTTAAACTTAGATTACCTTAGTTTTACCGGATTAATCTTGAGCTCATAGGACCCTGTTACTAAAGTCAGTGTGGAGATAAATCCTGAGTAGAAATGCATCATTTTTGGACCTTTTTCTTATAAAAAGATGTTCCCAGTAGAATTAGAATCCCCACATTGCTGCCTTGACCATTAATACGCTAAACTGTGAAATGAAAGTAAACATTAAATATTGTTATATATTGGAGCAATCGCAATTAAGTTGATCAGATAGTTAACTTGATAACTAATCTATTATATATAAGTTCAATGATATACTTCATTGTGGTGGGCACGGGTAAAATATACAGATTGTAATACAACAGGTAAGCCTGAAATCAAACAAAGAAAGAAGCTTCGTGGAACAAGTCAAAGCTCAGTAGGCAACTATATATATATATTAACAGCATCACTGCATCACCCTACAAAACATTATATTATTATACAACGCAATCTCATCGGAGTTCAAAAACCTCCAAAAAACACGTAAATCTACGGGATTCCGCCATTGAAATTGCTCAGCTCTGAGCTTCAGTTCCAGTTATGGATACAATAAACTCCTTCAAGGGCTATGGGAAGGTGGATCCGGCCGCGGAACAAGCTTTCCGGCGGAAGACCCGCAAGCGTATAATCATTCTCGCCGTTTCGGCGGTGCTTCTCGTCGGTCTGGTCATCGGAATAGTCGCCGGAACGGTCATTCACAAGAAGAACAAGAATGAAGGCTCCGGCTCCGGCGAAGGCGGCGATGCCACTCGCAGCACTTCGAAATCCGTCCAGGCGATCTGCAGCGTGACAGAGTACAAAGATTCGTGCGTTTCGAGTCTGTCGCAGGTTGCCGGCGAAAAAACCACCGACCCTAAAAAGCTCTTCGTGCTTTCTCTGCAACTGGCGGTTGATTCGTTGAAGAAGCTGGCCTCGCAGCCGGCGGGATGGAGGAAAGGGACCGCCGACGAGAGCGTTCAGAAGGCATTCGGTGTTTGCCGGGATGTTTTCGACGACGCAATAGATCGACTCAACGATTCCATCTCTTCCGTGGACGGCGGAGACGGCAAGCGGTTTTCCACCGCAATAATCGCCGATCTAAAAACATGGCTGAGCTCCGCCGTGACGGATCAAGAAACGTGCTTGAACGCGCTGGAAGAAATCAAAGCAAACGCTACGGTCGTCGACAATGTGAAGGCGGTAATGAAGAACTCATCCGAATTCGCCAGCAACAGTTTGGCCATCGTGGCTCACATTTTCTCCATTCTCGGCGACTTCAACATTCCGATCCACCGGAAACTACTGGCGGCGAATCAAGACTCGGATAGATTCCCGGAATGGGTTAGATCCGGCGACCGGAAACTGCTGCAGGCCGCGAACCCGAAGCCGGACGTGACAGTGGACAAAAATGGGTCTCCGGCGACTGTAAAAACCATCCAAGAAGCTGTGGATAAGATCCCCAAGAAGAGTAAAACCAGATTTGTGATATACGTGATGGCCGGCGAGTACAAGGAGAATTTGGTGTTGGATAAACACAAATGGAATGTGATGATGTATGGCGACGGAAAGGGAAAGACCATAATTACCGGCAACACTAACTTCATCGACGGCACGCCTACTTTCAAGACTGCAACCTTCGGTAAGGGAAAAAAACATTATAAATTTTGATTTATCCGAGGAATTAATTAAGATCTTGGTTAATTTATTCTTCAAAAAGGCTGAACCCCAACTTTAAGGCCCCACATCCAACCCGACAATCTTGGTTAACTTATTGTTTAACTGTTTGATGATGCAGCCGTTGCCGGAAAAGGATTTATTGGCAGGGACATAACGTTCCAAAACACGGCCGGAGCAGAGAAACACCAGGCGGTGGCAATGCGGTCGGGGTCCGATCAATCGGTGTTTTACCGCTGCTCCTTCGACGCCTACCAAGACACGCTCTACGCCCACTCAAACCGGCAATTCTACCGGGACTGCGACATCACCGGCACCGTCGACTTTATTTTCGGCAACGCCGCCGTGGTTTTCCAGAACTGCAAAATCCAGCCGCGGCAGCCGCTGCCGAATCAATTCGTCACCATTACCGCCCAAGGAAAGAAAGACCCAAACCAGAACACCGGCATTTCCATTCAGAAGTGCGACATTTCGCCGCTCGATAAGCTCACCGCCCCAACTTACCTCGGCCGGCCATGGAAACAGTTCTCCACCACCGTCATCATGCAGTCAACGATTGGATCGTTCTTGAAGCCGCAAGGCTGGATTGAGTGGGTCCCCAATGTTGATCCTCCGGCCTCCATTTTCTACGGCGAGTATATGAACACCGGCGCCGGCGCCGGCGTGGAGCAAAGGGTGAAATGGGCTGGGTATAAACCTAGCATCACGTCGGACCAGGCTTCGAAATTCACAGTCGAATCTTTCATACAAGGCGGCGAGTGGTTGCCGGCGGACGTCACTCATGAGCCAACCCTGTAACTTAGCGACTCCATGGTAGACTAATTTACATTGAACATTATATTTCCTTTCATATCTAATACCATAACATTTGTGTGTTTTTTAATATATAAAAAGTTAAATTTTCTTTGTCATTAAATGTATATGGTCATATGGTTACTTATAATGTTACTATAAAGATAATAGAAGATGAAAATGTATTGATTGTATAATTTAAGATATTGATTCTTTATCAAGTGAATAAAGTAATTCAATCAACTTGATGTACCTATTGGGATAATTATTTAAAGAGTTAGATGAAATAAAAGATGTATCTTAAACCAGATTAGAGTATTCTATTTATCTTAAATCTTTCTATTTAGTGTATGATGCTCATAGCAAGTGGGTCAAACATAGCGCGTTTTGTGTGTAGAGACAGACAATCAACTCATTACCCTTACAACCCCTCATATTACAATGTGTTTGTCCCAATAGCTAGGCAAGTATAGCTTGGCCTACCTAGGCCAGGTTAGTATTCTCGATCACCTGGTCGGTTTAACTTTTTAGATCACTAGGTCAATTAGATTGTTATACAATTTTATCGATACTGTTTTGGTAGCATTGATGGTTTCATTTTTTCTAGCCATCATTTTCTGATTCATTATCTTAGCAGGGGGAGGGGATAGCACCGGTCTTGACTGACACTATTCTTGTTCGAGTAGATGAAATATATCAATATCAATCATATCGAGATTCAGAAAGGATGAAATTAGGTTATAAACAATTGAACCCTCACCAACAAGAGGTGCCACCTTATCTAAAATTGTCTTCTATTAAATAATAGAGCTAGTAGCATTCAAAAAAAAGTAATTTAGTTATTTTAACTGCTAAAATGTCAACATATTAAATCCCGCCAATTAATGCGGTATTTGCTATAAAATGAGTAGAAGTGGTATCTTCCAAAATTCAACGTTGACTTAATCAGTGTACTTTGACAGTTATACTGTTGATTGATGTCCTTATTGGGCTTGTAACGGTTAAACATGAATCTAATGAGCTTTAAAAAATAGAGTAAGAGAGAAAATTAAGACTCCATTATTAGAATGTAAGCCCAAACAAAATCCCTAGGAACTGTGGTTGGGCCTAACAAATTCCCAAAATGATTTGGGTTTTGCGTGAGGGTGTAATTGAATTAGGCTAAAATCGAGTATTAAGATACTTGAATTTGAACATTCATTAAATAAGTAACTTAAGAATAGTTTGATTCATTGACAATAATTGAATTGTTGTGCAAAAATGATAAAACTTATCATTGAAAGGAATTTTGTTTAGTTTAATTGGAAATGCAATTTAAAGCAATATTAGTGTATTAGAATCCAAAGCCCATAGGCCATAACCATAAAGTAATTACAAGGCAGAGAATTGTTATGAGTGCCAGTTGCAATAGACAATAACATGCACGGTGGATGAAAGGATTGGCTCCACCTAACAAGGACTGTACAATTTGGTTCGAACCAGTGGGGTTGCTCCCACCATCCTCATTTTCTACTTAGATATTTTGGCGTGAACACAACACTTATTGTTGAAAAAATATCAAAATTGCACCTTTTCTCTCTGAATTATATGGTTATAACGCTTTATCACTTGAATTGTTCATATATCAACATTAGTCCCTTCAGTTATTTTAAAAGTGACGGTTTTTCTCCTTTTATATTAAATAGACACTTTACCCTTAAAAATACGTATTTCATTTATTTTTATTCTTCATCAAATTATTGCTTATATGTGATAATCAAAATAAATGTAAAAAAGAGCAAACACAATTTGTAAATGTTATAATTATAATTTTAAGCTAATGTTAATAACAAAATTAAGACTTAAACACAAATAATTTATTAATGCTAATTAATTACGGAGTATAACATTAATATTAATGTTACTGGATATGACAGTGGTTCCGGTTTCAGTTTCAAACCGATGGTTCACGATTTTGAAAAATGATAAATCGGTGATTCCGATTTTAATCGCCAGTTCAAGCTTTTTTCTTTTCTTTTCTTTTTTTTTTTGGGTGTAAATTTAATTTTTAAAATAATCTAAATTCAACCAATTTTTTAATATTTTTTTTTGGAAATGAACTAAAACGGGAATCTTTTGGGTTTCGGTTCTGAAGTGTAATAACCAGAACCGTCCCTATGGTTTTGATTTTTGTTCAGTTGCTATAGTGTCATGTTCAATTTGAACGGAACAGTTGTCATCTCTAAATGTTATTAGCATTAGGTTAAAATTATAATTATAATTATAATATTTACAAATGATGTGTACTCCTTTTTACATTTATTCAGATTCCACATATAACTATATAAGCAATAATTTGCTCCAAAACAAAAATAAATGAAATACTTATTTTAAGGGTAAAAATATCTATTTAATAGAAAAATGAAAAACTATCACTTTTAAAATAAATGAGAGGTCTAGTATGAATACATAAATAATTTAGAGAGCAATAACGTACACTATAATCATATAATTTAGGGAAATTAGTGTCATTTCTCCTATCAGAATAAGAAGGTAGTAAGAGTGAATTAAACGGTCAACAAATGATACTACCCATAGTATCGTTCTGATCTGGCATTATCCATTGTTAGCTAAAATGTTGCTTTCACAATTCATGCAAACGTTATTAGACGGCACAAGTTGAAGAACGATGGCCCAAACTCTCATAACTCCTTTTTCTACTTGTCCAGGGAGCCAGGGAGATTGAAAAACATCTATAAAACACGTGAACCAATTTCTTTCCGCCATTGTAATTGCTTCAAGGTTCATATCAGTTCCAGTTATGGATACAATCAACTCCTTCAAAGGCTATGGGAAAGTGGACCCTGCGGAGGAACAAGCTTACCGGAGGAAGACCCGCAGGCGTATAATCATCGTCGTCGTTTCCGCCGTTCTTCTCGTCGGTTTGATCATCGGAGTAGTTGCCGGGACTGTTGCTCACAAGAAGAACAAGAGTAGTGGCGGCTCCGGCGACGACGCCACTCCCGGTTCTCCGGCCTCTGTCGAGGCGATGTGTAGCGTAACGGAGTACAAAGAGTCGTGCATGAAGAGCCTGTCGCCGGCTGCCGCCGGAGGAAAGGTCAAAGACCCCTTGAAGCTTTTCGTGCTTTCTTTGAAAATGGAGGCTGACTCCTTGGCGGAGCTAGCGTCGCGGCCGGCGGGGTGGATGAATGGGACCAAGGACAAGAACCTCCGGCAGGCATTCGAGGTGTGCCGGGATGTTTTTGACGATGCAGTCCAACGCCTCAACGATTCCATCGCGTCCATGGAGGTAATGTTAGATTTCAGGGTATAATATACAATTTTGTAGAAGGCATCATCGCTAGTCGGGCCCCACAGGTCGAGTAATTCGAGTATATTGTCTTTCACTTGGATATAGGAGACTATTATTATCTTCTAAACTAGTCAAGTGCTAACTCGGCTAAGTCAACTCAACCAAGTTAGACACTCAACTCGGTCAAATTACGTGCCCGACTCGGTGTCTAGATTACCTAGTTCGAAAGTTAGTCACTCGGACCGAGTCAAAAGCTGCCTAGCGTTGAAATCGCCTCGACCAAGAGGCATCTAGGCAGCTGTCCAGACTGATTTTTACAATACTGTATTATTTTAGACCTTAATTATGCGGTGTAAGTTTTTAGTTTGATTTATTAAGTAGTTATATAAAGCTTATAGATTACATTTTATTTATATTGAACAGGTGCACGGGGTAGACGGCAAGATACTCTCCTCTGCAAGAATCGCCGACCTGAAAACATGGCTGAGCGCCGCCATAACAGACCAGGAAACGTGCTTGGACGCTCTGGAAGAGATCAAAGCAAATGCTACAGTTGTAGACAACGTGAAAGGGGAGATGAAGAACTCAACCGAATTCGCAAGCAACAGTTTGGCTATTGTGACTCACATCATTTCGTTTCTCGGTAACCTCCACATCCCGATCCACCGGAAACTACTGACGGCGAATCAACACTCCGATGGATTCCCAGGATGGGTTAAACCCGGCGACCGGCGACTGTTGCAGGCAGAAAACCCGACGCCGGACGTGGTAGTGGACAAAAATGGGTCTCCGGGGAGTGTTAAGACCATCAAGGAAGCTGTGGATAAGATACCCCCGAAGAGTACGTCAAGATTTGTGATATACGTGATGGCCGGCGAGTACAAGGAGAAATTGGAGTTGGATAAATCCAAATGGAATGTGATGATGTATGGGGATGGCATGGGTAAGACCATAATTACCGGCAGCGACAACTACATCGACAAGACGGCTACTTTCAAGACGGCAACCTTCAGTAAGTATTGGGGTCCCATCGTTTTTGTCATTTAGACTATTACTTTTTTTTTTCTTTTTTTCTTTTTTTTTTTGATATTTTTAGTCTTCTCATGACTTTTTCTATTTGTAGTAAGCATATTTTTGTCTCTTTTTCTTTTAGGTATTAATTAAGATGTTGGTTAACTTATTGTTTAATTGCTTGATGATGCAGCCGTTGTCGGACAAGGATTCATTGCCAGGGACATAACGTTTCAGAACACGGCCGGAGCAGAGAAACACCAGGCGGTGGCAATGCGGTCGGGGTCCGATCAATCGGTGTTTTACCACTGCTCCTTCGACGGCTACCAAGACACGCTCTATGCCCACTCAAACCGGCAATTCTACCGGGAGTGCCACATCACCGGCACCATAGACTTCATTTTCGGCAGCGCCTCGGTGGTTTTCCAGGGCTGCAAAATCCAGCCGAGACAACCACTGCCCAATCAATACAACACCATTACAGCCCAAGGAAAGACCGAGCCAAATCTGTCCTCCGGCATTTCCATTCAGAAGTGCGACATATCACCGCTGGGAGAAGTCACGGTGCCAACTTACCTGGGCAGGCCATGGAAACCATATTCCACAACTGTTATCATGCAATCCAGTATTGGGTCTTTGTTGAAGCCCCAAGGGTGGATTGAGTGGTTCCCCAATGTTACTCCTCCGGCCACCATTTTCTACGCCGAGTATATGAACACGGGCGCCGGTGCAGGTGTGGACCAAAGGGTGAAATGGGATGGGTATCACCCCAGCATCACATCCGACCAGGCCTCCAAATTCACCGTCCAATCTTTCATAGATGGTGACCAGTGGTTGTCGGGAAAAGTCATTTATGAATTAACCTTGTAACTTTAAGACCAGACCAAGCATAAGAAGAAGAAGATCAGAGTAACTGGTACCGATCAACATCTTAAAATTTTTATAAATAATGTAGTCTTAAGTTTATTAAACATAATTATGTTAATTTCATCTTTTGCAAAGAAAAGGAATCAAGAGTTGTGTTAAAACCATCAAACTTCTCATGGAAAGAAATCATTCTTTTGTGTAATTGGCAATAAAACATAACACTCTCTTAAAGCAGAGATGCATTTGTGTTCAAACCCCATAAACCCAAAGTCATAAACTAAAGTAACAAGGCAAGAATCTTGGAACTACAGAATAAATGCCAATGCCACGGTTCAATGCCAGTAACAGGAGAATGGATGAAAGGAAAATTAACTGGGAGCTCGTCTTATAGGCGGCTAAGGACAGCCTCCACCTCGCTTGGAGTGTACAGGTGATAATCTGGAGCAACCTTTGCAATATCAACGTTGTTGGGAGTCACCTGAGATCAATGGATGGAGGAGCGTTAGATGTTTGAAGGGCACATTAAAGCATGAATTAATTTGAAATGGCAAGCTTACCTTTTCTTCCATAACTTGCTTGAGGATGGATAGTGCTATCGTTTCGGCTTCCTTCAAAGTAAGGTCCTGAAAACAGCATGAGCATTGCAGATTCAAGAAGCAAATCTAACAATACACAATAGTATTAACTTTTTGTTTTCTCGTGTTGAAGGTGAAACTTGGTGGTAAGTTATGACACTTTTGGTGTAATTGACGTGTGTTTGAATCCCATTCCCCCAGCAGATGTACCCAAAAATAGCTTTTGTTTAAAGTTCATGCGTTGAAAGGAAGGGTTTGGAAAAAAATTGCCGTCGAATACATACCTTGTTGTACTGCTCTTGCAAAGAGCTGTCAGCACCTTCAGATCCCGAGCCTATAGCTTTTGCATTGCATTGCCAGAATGTACCAGATGGGTCAGTATAGTATCTGTGTACCAAAATGGTTTTCATTAGTCGGCATTTAGTTCAGCAGTCTCCCAAATTTATTCACAGTTATTTAACAAATTTGCAGCATATTCATCACCAAATTCTTTTAATAAGACACTTTCTAATAAATTTTAGAGCAAGAAGTGTTGATAGGCTGGTCTCATGTAATCCCTCGAGAACATTTTATGATGTACAACCTACAAGCACCAAGGATCCCAAGTCCGGTATTGAATAGGATGAGAAATGAGCAAATTCAACACACAAAGGAAAATGCTGACAAAGTTCATAGAGGAAGTTAAAATTTACTCAGTTTTCACGATTCTTGTATAAAAATATGGACTATTATATTTATAAACTATGAAAGAGCAATACTTACAAGCTGGGACCATTCTCATCATGACCAGCAATGAGAAGAGATACACCGAAGGGTCTTGACTGCATTAACCAAGGAAGTTAAAACATTAAAGAAGCTGAGAAGTGATATATTTAAATTCACACCAAATACCATTTGGAGATTCACTTTGTTACGTAAAAAGTAAAAACTACGGAGTAGTGAACATGGATGTACAAAGGACAAAATAATTCAAATAGTATATAGTATAGTAGTGAAAACGCTACAGCAGTGTGGCATCATACGTAAAGCAAACTCTAAACAGAATATCACACCAATAGCAAGACACAGTATAATACCATGGCAAATCGCAAATTCAAAATGAAGAAACAACATTGATGATAGCTTACTAAGAATAACTTGAAACGATTGTTTTTATACCTGCCTCTAGTTCAATCAAATAAAATAAAGCCAATATAAATGCCACTGAAGCACAGTATGACTTCAGTATTTAAAAACATGAAAGAAACTATAGTGTGAATAAGCCTACGCAGATAAATTATTTTGAAGTATTTTCCACTGGAAAAGAAAGGATAGGGAAGGCTACTAACCATAGATTCTTCATCACCCTCACCAAATCGCAGAGCTAAATCACAGAGAGCTTGGGTGGTAGACTCAACAGTCATAGGTTCACCATAGGAGAACCTGTGATTCTAATTACAACAAAATAAAAAAAGAAAAACTTAGTCACTAAGTAGATAGGATTACACAAATGCTCAATACTTGCATACTACAGTTGATAGGTACCTGAGTCTCCACACGTGCATGCTCTACAAGCGTCCGTGCATCAGCAATTAATCCACTCATTGCACACCCAATATGCTGATCAATCTCCATAATTTTCTCCACACTGCTAGGTTCCTGCAATTGAAGGGGAGTCATGACATGAAAAACTAAAAGGTTAAGCTGAAATCTGCTCGATGCTGTGACCACAAACAAGTTGGCAATAAATCACTGTTGAGCTGAAGAGTCAAAGAGGAAGATTTGAGCTGCTTGGCTCAGGTTCTACTCCACAACCTAACTAAACCCATAGTTCAAGCGCCCTTTCTTTCCATATTCAATACCAGAAGTATCCAAAAACCGATTCCATTATATGCTCAATTATCAGGGTTCTACCATCTTATGTCCTTAGCCAGATATAAAATGAATCCATATGTGTAGGAATCCCCTATTTCCTTCAACAGAAGTTTCACATCTTATCCATGGGTGTACAATTCTATAGTTATCGATCATTACAGTTGTTTCTTTTACATTTCTCTAATAAAATGTTCACAGATTAAAACCTAGCTACTGCATCCTACTACCATCATGAGTCTGAATATGGTTTTGCCTACTAATGAAATCAATTTTAGCAACCTACACTGCTCACCTTCTGCAAAATAAACTACTCTCTCCAATATCAAAGGCAAGTCTTCTAATTCCACTCAAATACAAGTGCACAAATCCATATTTTTCTCTGTACATAAACTGAAGTAGTTTCGAGACCTAGCCAGGAAATCCCTCTACCAAAAAGCACAGAACTCAAATTCAGCTCAATTCCATGATAATTCAGAACTATACTAATAACCAAATACAAGATCTTAAACATAGCTGTGGTGACTGCAATAATTTCATCAAACAATCAATAAGCTTCTCATCCTACAAATTAACAAGCAGAAAACTCCATTACAGAATTACAGAAACATACCAGGAGGGGAGAAGTGATGCGCTTCTCGACAGCAAGAACAACCCCTTCCTTAGTCATTATCCCGATTGCCGTTGAACCGAGCTAAAAGAACAATAAAACCATAAAAATCAGGACTCTAAAACATTTCTTCCTTCACAAGACTGCATTTTTTTAATCAAATAAACAGAAATCAATCGTCAGAATACCTTGATGGCTTCAATAGCATATTCAACTTGGAACAATCGGCCCTCGGGCGAAAAAGTGTTGACACCTCTATCATACTCGGTTCTTCACTCCCCCCAAAACCCAATGCAAACAAAAGACGAAAGCAAAATAAAATAAAAAATTTTTAAAAAAAAATACTACTTCAGAAGAAGATAAACATTAATCACAACGACGATGAAGACCCAAAAACCCTAGTCTAGTTTAAGTCAAAATTCGGGTTTTACCTTGTGAGAAACATTGCCGATATGATTCAGTAGAGCTTCAAAATTTAGATCGTGTCGTCGCAGTTGAAGGAGCAAACAATGCCTTTTACTCTCGCCGTTTCGTACCCAAAAAGAAAACTCGAAGGAGAAAAAAAAAATGAAAATAGAGTTCAACTTTGGGCTGGGCTTAATTATGGGAGGAAAACAATCATTGGAGGCCCAAATTCCCGTAAGCCCAACCTAATTTACTAGTCCGGTGGGCCAATTTTATGCTATGGTCCGGTTAAATCATGCCCACAAAGGGAGCGTTATGCTGTGCAACCGTGTGCACACGATTGCAAAAACGACGTCGTTTTGACGTCTGACTTAAAAAAAAAAAAAAAAAAAAAAAAAAAAAAAAAACAGAATTGCATAACTACATATCCATAACTTCATAACTATACATCCAGAATTGCATAACTACACATCCACAACTTCATAATTATACATTCAGAATTGCATAAATACACATCCATAACTTCATAACTATACATTCAGAATGTGAAATTATAACTTCATACTTTCAGAATTGCATGCATAATTACACATCCATAACTTCATAACTATAAATTCAGAATTGCATAACTACACATCCATAATTTCATAACTATAAATTCAGAATGTGAAATTATAAAATTATGAACATATGTTTACGTAAGTAACGACAATCGAAAATGATTTTTTTTTATTTAAGTAAAACGACGTTGTTTTTGCATCAGTGTGCACCATGCATGGTGCACACGAATGCACAACATAATTTACCATAATAGTTTGAGAATGAGTTGTTATACCATGGACTAGGGACCACCTTGCAATGTGGACCTTGATCCTAAACGACGTATAAATTGTGTATTTTTAATATTGGAATGTTATTTTTAAAATACATAACATCTGTAGAAAGGAATTTGTGAGTGCAATACAAGGTCATCAAATCTTAATGTGTTATTATTGTGTGACTGTAGCATTTAAAAGAAACTTGTGAATACAAACAAGGTAATCAATTACATATATGTTAACACCGTGTGTTCTTAGTATACAAATTGTGATTTTTTTAAAAGCTAAATTGTGAACATTTAGCATGATAATGGTGAACCATTAGCATTTTGAAGAATGAAACACAAGTTTACTCTCTCATATCATATAAGGCTTGTGAAGAAGAAGAAACATGATTTTTATGTTTGTGTACACAATAATAATAACACTACATGTGATGGTTATTACAAGGGAAACAACCACAAGAATTGGCACGAGAAACATTATTAATGTTTTTCCTGTTGTTCATCATCATCATCATCTTCTGTGTTTGTTCACTCACTTTCTGTATCTGTTCTGAATGTTGCAGCTGTGCCACAGCTCTCCATTCTTCAGCTTTTCTGTGAACTGTCGACATTCTCTTCATCAACTTCTCCTCCAGATTCGATCTCATCTTTTGAATTTTCACCTGAAAAATTCTTCCCACCATTACACTTACTTACATACACAAAGAATCATCTCTGCAACCTGTTGTGCATATAGCCATTAATGTGCAATCCAACTATCCGCTTAAACTTTTAGTTTAGATGGAGCACATACTTCAATTTGGTATCAAGAACCAGACCAAAGGTCATGAGTTGAGCTTAACAAAAGACTAAATGGGGTTCTGTAAATTCAATACTTTCTTTCACATGCGATTGCAGAATGAGAGTAAAAAAATGCAGACATTGCTGACTTCTATTGCTCTCTTATTCCCACCAGTTCATGCCTTCAACTCTTAAAGCCCTTTTTTTATTATTATTACATATATGTATATATTGTGAGGAGAACATGGGGAAAAGCGCAGTGGACCAGCAAGTGGAAGATTATGCTCAAGATGCGAGTGGCTCGATGAAGATGAAGACAATATAAGAGTGTTGAATAATACTGAAATCACATGTAGAGTCAAATGTTGTTCAGTGACTTTAATGAGCTTTTTTTTGTTGTCGCTTTCATCAGTGCTGCCATTCAATTCAAACAAGCTTGTCTGTTGTTCCTAGCAGCCTTTTTTAACATGGATTATATTGTTGGTTGTTGAAAGTGTTTAAAAAGTTTAGAAGGGACAGAAAGAAAGCAACAAACCTCAAGCTTTTTAGATTGAGCTTCTGATTTTGCATTCTGGAGGTTCACCCAAGCTTGAATCTTGGCTAGTTCTCTCTGGTACCTGAAACTCCAATCACCATTCCATTCGTGTAAAGATACAAGCACAATTAATGCGGGATCGTATATATATATATATATGTTTTACCTTAGGCAGTGTTTAGTCTTCTCCTCTTCCTCCCACGAGGGGCAGGCTCGGGACTCAGACACACTTCTCCTGCACTCATTACTCATCTCGAAGTGCCTCAGGCTCTTCGATATGTCCTCTTCTTCCTCCTCCCTCGAGCTCCAGTTGGTCGTTACAGAATCATACTGCCCCGTTGTCCCAACGTGCAGCTTTGCTAAATGGCACTCCTGCAGCTGCACGATATCGATGACCGTGCTAGAGGAACTGGACTCGTTCGACACAGCCAACGGGCCAGACCGGCTGGCAGGAGTGTTGTGCCTGGCGGGCGAGGAGCTCTTGAATGGCGTGTGGCATCTTGAAGTCGTCGAACTGCCAATTGGTGTCATTTCTGTCCCAATATCTCTATGTTTAACCTCTGGTGCTACATTGTTCATAGATTTTCCAAACAAAAATCCCTCTTTCATTGACTCACAATGCCTTAAATTGGGACATGTAATAGTTTCTACCTCACTTGTGAACTTATCTGCATTTTCAACACCAAATTACACCCAACAATCAATCAAGATCTTCATTAAAATCTCCAAATGCCATTGCAAATCCAGGAATCATATAAAGATAGATCCTAAAGTGTAATCAATTAATTCACAGTTGGGAACAAACTTTTCAGGACAGACATAAATAAAAGCTAATAAAAAGTGGAAAAGTGTGTGTTTACCTTTTAGAAGCACATCTGATGTGGCAGGGACACCATTGGAAGAGCCTTGAAAGCTTGAAGACTTTTCATCAACTTCTTCTTTTGGGGTGACCCCATTAGAGTGGTTTGATGAGAGCTTTATATGGGCAGGGGATTCATGGCAAGAATTGCTGCCATTCACAACCCATTTCTCTGCATCATCCCATTTGGAAGGGAAAGATTTTCTTGAAAAACTCCCAACACTGAAGCTGAAAATTGGCCTGCCAGGGGTTGAAGGAGCCTCCACCACACCCCTCTTGGGCACTGAACTCTCCCCCCCTCCCTTCTTCCTCTGAACAACCCTCCTGCTCTCTGGACCACCACCATTAATGGCTGCTGTGGGGAGTGACTTCACAAACTCAGCAGTCTCCTTCAGATTAATCTTGCAAATTGGGTCAGGAAATGAGTCCACCAAGAATGGGTTCCCATGGCCCCCCTCAAATGCAGCCTCCTATATCACAAACACCCCAACAATTCACACCAAGATTCCAAGAAAACCCAACCAACAAAATAAAGATATAAACTTTAGCTTACCATTTGAGATGAAAAAGCTTGAAGATCCATGGCTGAGGGTTTAGAGTATCTAACAGTACACCCTTTTGCAGAACCCTGATATGGTCTTGGGAAGAAGCAGCATCATGGGTCAAAAAGAAGTGATTGGCAGAGAAAGTGAGTGAAGTAGAAGGGAGCTAGTTGAACAGTACTGCAGAGTTGATGAACAAGAAAAAAAGTAGAAGAAGAAGAAGAAGTAGTAGAAATTAAAACACTGTTCAAGAATGGCCAACCCTTTCTTCCCCAACATGCACTTCAGGACAAAACCACTCAGTCCTCCTGCTGCAAAATTTGAAGCAACAGTAATATAGACCTAGCTAGGGGGGATTTGGAAGAAAACAAAACATGACTTGTTAAAAGGTGTGTAGCCAACTATGGGGTACTGTGGGGAGAGTAGTAAAAAACTTTGGAGTGAATTCTCTTTTTGGTTATAAGACTTATCGTGACTTGGATAATTTTGATTTTCCGTTTATAATTCTATCAGTTGATCGTCTGAGAGGAGTATTTCTGTCAATTCACTTGTCGAGATTAAAAAACCATGTCATATGATCCTAGTTGATAAAAAATTTTAAATGGGTAAATCAGTTTATGTTGTTCATAGTTGATTGGACGGTAATAAAAGTTACCATTTTTATTTTGTATGCTCAGTGTTTTTAACTATGTATTATTAAATTCTTTTGAGGAAACATTATTAAACATAGAGCCCCATAGACATTATTCATCATTATGAAGAATAACATATAAATAAATTGGGCTATATGGTGAGCTATGAGCCTGGGAAACTTCTCTTTTTTTTTGGTGTGGATGACCACTTTTCTAGCTACCTGTGCACATCAGGGCTCATAGCCCAAAGTTTACACATGAATACTTTACGGGCGTGTTTTGTTTATAAAATATAAAATACTTCAAAAATAAAATAATATTCCCTATAATAGATATATTCCATCTTTGGTGAGAAGGGTTTATAAAGTGGTCTTGTCATTCTCATTGTTAAGGTTTTAGTTGGCTATATCGTTCTTAGCCACCCTCTTCGATTATGACTTGTGGAGCGTTCAATGTACTTGATTTAATTTTTTTATCTTATAAAATATTATCGAGAATAAATAATACTCTTTGCAAGAGAAATAATCATTCTAAAAGGATATTAAATTAAGAGTTAATACTCAAAATGGTCCCTCGACTATGTCATAATTACCAATTTGGTCCTCAACTACCATTCTTACCCAGTTAAGTCCTCAACTATGTAACTTTTACTCAATTAAGTCATCAACTATACAATTCTTACCCAATTTAGTCCTCAACTATACAATTCTTACCTAATTTAGTCCTCTGTATTAATTTGACTGTTTGTTGACTGTCAAAAGTCGGGATAAAATTATAATTTTACAAGATTTCTCCTTCCTCTCCATTTAGCAGCGCCAAACCATGCAGCAATACACTCCGATCAAATTTCTATCGTCAAAAAATCGTTGAAAATCAAATTCATGGGCTATCCGATGCATAACCACTACTTCGATACTGACAGGTTTAGAATCCAACCGGAGCTTATTGCTACATGGTTTGGCGCTGCTAAATGAGGAGGAAGGAGAAAACTTGTAAAATTACAACTTTATTTCCACTTTTAACAGTCAAATTGACAAAGGACTAAATTAGGTAAAAATTGTATAATTGAGGACTTAATTGGGTAAGAATGATAGTCGAGGACCAAATTGGTAATTACGACATAGTCGAGGAACTATTTTGGGTGTTAACTCTTAAATTAATTATTTTTGAGTTTTAAGTAATAACTACTTTATTTTAATATCGAAAATACCATTTTATAATGGCACATATGTAACAGATAATATAGGCATATATACACACATACATATTTGTGTATTGAATTGCACGCCCTCATGAGTCATGACTCCTGCCAAACATTACCATGTTGAATCATAAATTAAGAGTTGGGAGTAAGGATGATTAGAACATAAGTAGATGCAGAAAATAGAATAAAGAGATACCATACAAATATGTAAACATGATTATTAAAGAATCAGAATTATTGGGTTAAACCATCTTTATTACTATAATTCAACAAGAAACACTTGCAATGATGAAAGAATCTCTTTAACGTATGAAAGAATAAGGACAAAAAGTGTTTTTTTCCTTGATTTGAAAACTATGCTTTTGTTTCTATGTGAAAGTATCTAATTTATGAAAACATTTAAAACACGTACAAAATACAAGTTTAGCTTAAAAGAGTGTTGAAAAAAAAAAAAAAAAAAAAAAAAAAAAAAAAAAAAAAACCTAAATTCACGACTTTCAAAAAAAAAAAACAAAAAATACATGTTTTATCCACTTGATTATTCCTTTCTGGATCCTAGTCCAAAAATTATGTGTTTGCAATTAACATATTATATATCTTCAGTTAATAAATTATATATTTTTTTGAATGCATTGAATGTATATAATATGTTAACTACCATCACATAATATGTTAAATACATGTTTTATCCACTTGATTATTCTTTTCTGGATCCTAGTCCAAAAATTATGTGTTTGCAATTAACATATTATATATCTTCAGTTAATAAATTATATATTTTTTGAATGCATTGAATGTATATAATATGTTAACTACCATCACATAATATGTTAACTGATGACATATAATATGTTAAATGCATATTATATGATTGTAGATAACATTTTACGTGTCCTCAATTTATTTTCATATACATAATATGTTAATTATAAACACATAATATATTAACAGCAGACACATAATATAAATGTTATTTTGGATCATGATCTACAATGCAAGGTGGACTTGGTCCATAGTATAATTTGGCAGATTTATAAGTTGGGCTTTAACCATATTGGGCTAATTCTTTTTTTTTTAGAATAATATTGGGCTAAGTCTTAGTATACCCAAGATCCTAGCTGGCCCATTGATTGCATAAAAGATTATTTGCAGAACTATTGACTAATGCAGTAATACAACAAATACTTGTGAAAAATTTTCTATCTATAGTAACATATTTTGATTGGTTCAACATTAAATTATCTATCATGGATTGATGTTGTATTGGACGAAGGGCTATAGAAACATGAAGCTTAAACCTAACAGGGTAGCTCAAGTGGCAAATAAGCTCTCTTTGTGGGAGAGAATTTTGGGATAACTCGGATTTGATTCCTACAAGTGACAACGATTCCCTCTGGGTCAGTTTCTGTGCCTCTCGGAGCGAACCGAGTGGACCTAGACCTGGACCGTTAAACGGACAGAGAAAGACCTGGACCACATTGTGGTTTACATAAAAAAAAAACATGAAGCTTAAGAAGATTAGACATGGTCGGGATAAAAAGATTGATTGAGAAAAACAAGATCAAAAGATTACGAAAATAAAAAAAAAATATAAAGTTTACGTTATTCAGCTGAGAGCCTACGTCAACGGGAGCAAAGAAAAATATTTTATTAATTTAGAAAAATTACCCATGTATCATGTCACGCAAACGCTCCTCCCGCACCCCAACCCAGTTCAAGTTCAAACAATAAAGATAGGTGAGATGTTGCTCCATTCAAACACATGTAATAACATATGACACATACACAACAATCCTCATATCCATCTCGAATTCTCGTTAATGTTATTGCGAAAAGTGTTATGCCCTATGTTGACATATGGACACTAATTTTTGTACTTTTATTTTTTTTTTCTATATATAGTACATATTTTGATTGATTGCCTAATAAATGAAGAGAATTTTAATTTAAAGTCAACCCACTAAAATGCATGACTTATCAAGTAAGATTGCCATACAAAATATTTCAAACATTTTACAAGCTACGGAGTATTATAGAAAGATCCATGTTTGAAGATTATTTAAAGAGTTGTTTCTTGAATGATGCCAAGGGACAACTATTTACACAAGTTATCAATTGACTTTTTTGTGCTGTTAAGAGTACATAGTTCCCAGATTGAGCTTTTAGTTTTAAACACATATTATTATATTGTGTTTAGTACATTGCTTCATTTTTACTCCAATAGTTACATATGTCGTGGTAATTAACCTGATTCTTATTTTAGTCATGACTAGGATTAGAATACGGTTTTATCTATATCACATTTTTAGATAGCGATTGTAACTTTTTTTCGTAAATCGAAAGTATATATGTCGTATTTTGTAGTCACAATTTACTCACACACATTGACTTCTTATTAACATATAATGTGTTCAGCATTAGAAGTCGTCGTGTAATATAAACTTGAAGTCATTGCTTGTTCACACAAGTGAATAAATATTTTGTAACTACCAACTGTCAAAGTGTTCCCTTGCGCGCACGGTATCTTGAAACCTCTTTGCTTGCAAAGATAGGAGTCAAGTAGTGGACACGTGTTTTGCACATAAACATATCATTGGTTAATGTAAAAAATTGTGAGTAAATTAATATTGAAAAAGATGACTGAATGATAGCAATCGTTATGCTATGGATCTGTGTCCAGCATGCATGCAAGACACGGTAATGGTGCCGTTAGTGGCACCATTCTCTTCCACTTTTAAAAAAAAAAAAAAAAAATTTCAGACCACTTTCTTATAAGAGTATATGTTCATAATTTTGTCACTATATGTTCATAATTGTAAGTTCATAATGTCAAAGCTCTGTGTTCATTATTACATAACTGTACATTCATAATGCCACAAACGACGTTAACGGCGAGACAAAATAAAAAAAAAAAAATTACTGGAAGACGGCGTTTTCCCTTAAAACGACGTCGTTTTGGACTCGTGTCCACAATGCATTGTGGATACGAGTACACAACATAATTTACCGAGTGATAGAGTATAATTTTTGTACCAGAATCATGTGTTCAATTTATATTAATGCTTTCTTGATCGAATCCGTCGAACAAAATTTTCCATGCCTATAATTTTCCTCTTTTATTATTTCATCAAATAACTTATTTGATAAGTGCATAGGTAAGATGGGGCCACGGCATTTTAAGATTTTAAATATCAAATGGTACAATGTACATTAGTTACGTGACACAATTTTCAACATTTCTAGCAAATAAGAAGCCATAAAATCCCATAATCAAAGACCCACTATACAAATAATAAAATTAAATAATGTCATCAAACCGGCCAATGACTCATCATGTTAATTAACAGCCAAGAGATAAGATGAATGGACCCCACCAAAACCAAATTGACAAAAATAAAAAATGGGAAATCAAATTCTCATCCATCTTAAATTATAGAGAAAATAATAATTACCTTCATTTAATTATATTATTGTCACCTTTTATCTCTCAATTATTAACAAAATAATTTTTTTTCATCCTCATTTATTTGCAAAGTAATTTTTTGAATATAACCATAATAAAACCAAAAAATGAAAAAAGTTATATCACAGACAATTAAAAGATAAAAATGACAACCAGTATAATTAAAAGATGAAAAATATTATTTTTTCGTAATTCAAAGACTTAAAATGTCACCCAAAAAAAATAAAAATAAAACAAAACAAAAACAAAAACAATGTCCTAATGCCTTATGACAAGCATCCAGCATTGGCCAACCCAACCACCTTGAACCAATCATTTGTTAATTGTTATTAAACATTTGTTAATTGTTATTATTAGTGTGTGTGTGTGTGTGTTTTTACTGAGGGAGCCAGCCATGAGCCATACATGTCACAATCAAATCATTGTATATTATACGTATGAGTATAGAAAATGGCAGATTGGCATTGTTTCTGATTCTCCCACTTTGTTGTTTGTATGTTTTTAGCAGCAATGTCTTCTCTTCTTCCATCTCCAGTTTCATCAATATTCTCATCAACTGGTTTCATCAGAAAAGGAAGGAGTGTTGGCAGAGCTTTAGTGATGATGAGAGCCAGCAATCACCATGATTCAATCAACAGTTCCACATCTCCTCTTCACACTGCAGGATCACCATCTTCCAAGAACAGGATTAAGGTTTTCTTGAATCTTGAATCTTGAATCTTCTTTTTCTGGTTTTCTTCATTCTGGGATTGTTCATGTGTGGTTTAATTTGGTTTGGCTGATCTTGAACAGGTCTATGAAAATCTGTCAGAGGGTGTTGTCTGTTACAGAGATGAAAATGGGGAGATAATATGTGAAGGGTATGATGAAGGCCCAAGGCTTGATTGCCACCAAGTTTCTAGTTTTTCTTGTAATTCAAGGTAGCTCTCAGCTATCTGATCTGCAACTTAGTATGCAATTATGAGTTTTTTTTTTTTTTTTTTTTTTTTTTTTGGATTATGAGAGAAACCTGCAATTATTATCTTATGTGTACTGGATAAACTCTGCCTTGTGATCCTAGCCGGACAAATGACCATATAGAGATAAACTACCCTAGGTTGTCTATAGCTTACCGACTCAAACCAATAAGGCTAATAGGTCTCTCCCATTGAAAATTGAACTTAGAACCTTGTAATTAGTAAGTCAACCTAACCAATTTGGCTGGGGTTACTCTGAGTTGTGACAACATATGAAATTGTCCCATGTTGTAGGGATTATCACTAACTACCAACTGTTTTGTTTGTGTGATGAGTAGGGTTGCAGAAATGGTTGATCTTCTGGAAAGGAGTTGGCTAAAGGTGGAGGAGAGAAAGGAGCAGTTGATGGGGGAAAAGATGATGGGATGTGAAACTCTCTGACTTTGTTAATTGTTTACAGAGAGTTGGCTCTGCTAATGATCAAATGTAAAGATGAAGATTACAACTTAAGGCTCGTTCAACAACATATTTTTCGTCTTGCTTTAATTTAGATTGTTAATAAACATGTTCAAATCTAATTCAATTTTTGGTTTTCCTTGTGACAAAATAGTTTTCAGACTTAAATAAAAAGGTGAAATTTATGAAAAAGATGATGAAAGAAAAACGAGTATCGCTTATTTTTAGATCATTATGTATATGTTATGTCTTGTCTTATTATCGTTGAGTCATACATCCCAAGTTATTCTTTTTCCAAAAGGTCGAATTTTCAACCTTAAGGACCCCACACCCCGGCCTGACAGAACATTTGGGACAATGTAAACTACAGTGACTTAATAGCTCAGCAGACAGGGACAAATATCGGTGCGCACAAGGAATCTGCCCACTTTAGGGTAAGAGCAAAATTTGAGTTCTTGAGGTGGGTGTAAATCTGTAATGGCAAAAACTGAAACACACAACACATATCAATTGATAATTGAAGAGAAGGAATTTAAAAAATGCATATATTGCACAAAATCTGCCAAGAGTGCAAGTGAATTGAATCACATATACAATTTGCATTGGATCCTAAGACAAAGTGAGAGCACAAACTAAAAAAAATGTACAAAAGAAGTATAGGCAGCCAGCCTGCTATCTATATGGAAGAGACAATCACAGATTCAATCATATAATGCCAACTGCCTCCCAAAAGAATGGAAAAACTGTAGGGGTAGATATATATAGATGTGTGTATTTGATCTTAGAGAAACCGATGCAAAAAGAATTGCAAACTATATGCTTAAATGTATAAACAAGCAGATTCATAAAATCACTCTGCAGATGTTGAGCTGGGCGTATTCTCCTCACACAATTCGGCCTGCGAGATGCTGGGAATCAGGGTGGAAGATGACCATTGATCTGGGATCATCAGAAAATAGGTAGTCATCGCCTTCCTGAACCTCTTCTTATACTGTTTGGGTGAGATGACAGTTGGTGAAGCGTTCTTGGGACCGCCTAGGATGCCGGAAGCTTTAACCCAAGTCTCGAGATGCTTGTCCCATGTATATTGTCTCATAAAGTCAATAATCCCGAGAACCAGTTCGTGCTTCTCTTCGTCAATTCCAACGAGAAGAGAGTAATCCATTACGTCAACCGACTGCAATGTAAAAGTGAACCCAGCCAGTGAGATTCGATCTATTTAACTATTAAATTAATTTAATTTGGTAACTTACCGCAAGGAAAGCAGTGTCGTTCCAGACAGCTCTCTCTAACACCCTCTTAGCTTTGTTTCCAACGAAAATAGGAGACGTTGGCATAGATTCAATCAAGTTCTGATCAAGCAAAACCTTGTTACTCCCACTAGAATCTGGATTGTAACGAGACCTGGAAGATCCCTTAAGGTCATACAACCGCGTAATCTTTCTTCCGAATAGAAGATTCTCCATTACCAGCACATCCATTTTGGATTCCTTCCCTCCTTTAAGATGCTTTGATGTAACCTTCATAAAAACCAACAGAGAGATGCTCAAGTCTCAGATGGCCGCAAGTTATATATACTAATTGTCATAATATTTCAGAGAGTTAATTCTAGCAATGATCCTCCGACTATATAGATTTTCCAAAATTAGTCATCGACTCTTAATTTGGACAATTTACGTCCCTTTGACTTTCAATTTCTTTCCAATTGAGACCCTTTCGTCAAATTACGGTAAATTGGACTTTAAATGAAAGGGTAAAGTAGTCATTTCATCTGTCTGATGTATAATTCTTTGTATTTCTCCCTTGTATGCGTGACTTCGGACATCAGATTCACTTAATTGCTTAATCCATAAATCCACTCGAAGAACAAAATTCCATTAGAGATTAAGCAATTAAGTGAATATGATGTCCGAAGTCGCGTATACAAGGAAGAAATACGAAGAATTATACATTAGACAGATGAAATGACTACTCGCGTATACAAGGAAGAAATACGAAGAATTATACATTAGACAGATGAAATGACTACTTTACCCTTTCATTTAAAGTCCACTTTACTGTAATCTGACGAAAGAACCTCAATTGGAAATAAATTGAAAGTCAAAGGACGTAAAGTGTCCAAATTAAAAGTCGGGGACTAATTTTGAAAAATCAATATAGTCGGAGGACCATTGCTGGAATTAACTCTATTTTAGACTATAATATCAAATATTTTTGCCATCCATATACAAATAAAAGTTTTGCTATCTTCCCGAAGAAAGAGAAAAAAAAAAAAAAAAAAAAAAAAAAGAACATAACATACCTGATAGATCCCCAGAATCTTAGCCAAACATGTTGGACTTCCAGAGCTTATTGACTCGGAAAGGTATTTGAAATACCCTGGAGCGAATTTAATGAATGATTCGAGCTCTGTCTTTGTCACTTGTTTAATAATGAATCTATCATCCAAGGTCTTTGCGAAGAAGACATTGCTCTTGCCTCCTTGGGCTCCCCACTTCTTGCAACGGCTAAGAGATCTTACAAAGTCCATCTCTGATGGGCAACAAACCCTCCTCAAAGCTTCAAAGCGCTTTGCATAATAACAAGTCACTGTATATTTCGTTTTCCCCTGCGGTCCATCATTGGCAAAAGAGACTCTAGCATGCATTGTTTTTGTATATAAGAGAGGATCCAAAGTACGCGAACCAGATAAGGACAAGATACTCTCATCAGAAGATGCAATATCATCCAATGCTTGAAGGCCCAGGAAACTTCCTGAATCAAAGGACTGTAGTGGAATGGTATAGTCTGCAGATTCCTTTGGTCTATCAAGCTCATCAGAGAGTTGGAGAATATAGTACGGTGAAACAAGTGCATAAGATATAAGGCTCGTGGGTTCATCGTCGTAAATTGGTACAACAGTATCATTAACCCCTACAGGCAGAAGCAACCTCGCACCATCTTGGGCATCTGGTCCCCGGAATGATGAAATATAGACAGGATTATACTCACCAAGTGTATCCAGTTTCTGGGCACTACCCAGAAAGTTCTTGTTCAATGACCTATAGAAGTTTATGAAAGGCATGCCTAACCAGCTCACAGAATCTTCCGTATTTTCTAAGGCTTTGGAAGATACAGACAATTTAGGTACACTGAGCTCCTCTCCACTGTCTTCAACATCTACCGTTCTTGAAGAATCCATGGTTGGCAGATGATAAGGTTTGCAAGGACTATCCTTTGGCGTTCCAGCACTCATTTGACTTTCACCAGTCCAAGCAGCATCAAGAGTGTCAGACAAGCTCTCCATCATCGGAAACTGCCCATCAGAAAGGACTCTACGAAGGACCAGGGGATCAGATTCACTGCCGTTGATTACAAAGGAAACACTATTTGGATTTCCAATTAGATTATTAGAATCAAAACCTACATCATCGAGTTTTTCTCTCACTGAGACAAGATCGGAATCACACAAACTCTTGCTGCTTGGTTCGAGAGGAATATTTGGATCACTGTACTTGTCATTATCAAGAACTGACTTGTTGACATCTGAAGTACAGACAACCTCACCTTCAATACAATGGCTCACTTTATCCAAACTAGCTGCATATACCAGACGGTGGTCCCACATATAAGATTGGAAAAGTAGTTGTCTTCTCAGTCTATTAATTTCAAAAATATCAATAGCAGGTTGGCCATTTTTCACTTCTTTATTTAAAACCTTTTCAAGTGATTCCTGCTAACAGAAAAAGCTCATCAGAACCATCGTAAGGAAAAATCTGGTTATAACTGTGAATAGATAAATCTATCCCATTCATAGCATTTCTAGGATCATTATTTTAAAAATATAATACAATCCTACACATCATGCTTTTAAAGTTTTGGTACCCCAAAAAACAATAAGGAAATGAAGAAAGAACATTTAGATACAACATCATTGGAACGATGTTGTGGATTAATTACTATAATTGACCAATTGATATATACAGATAAGAACATCAAGAATCTATGGTCAAGATATCAGCTTGGCTAACAATTTTATTTGATATTAGACAGAAAATATACCTCAAACTCTGCTTTCTCTTTCTGCAGCATCCCTTCCAGCTCATTCAAATGGTGTTTAGTTTTTGATAGTTTAATACTGCTGTTAAGCATAACACCACATTTTTGCTCTGCCAAATTACCAAGTGCATTGAAGACTTCAGAAAACAATAGCTCGGCTCGACCAACAACCTGTATGATTTATAAACAAAAAAAAAAAAAGTTGAAAGAGATAAAAATCAAGGGTGCAACATGCTCAGAAATCCCAAAGTTACATTCTTATACCTCATTTACTTCTTCCTGTAACCAATCTTGATTCTCATAGTTGAAATCCAGCTTTGAAGGTGGTAGGTACACTGAATGAACATCAATTGAAGCATAGCGAAAGCAAGCAACCATTTTTCCAAAACTGCAAAAAAGTAATGGAAAGATTAAGTTCAGAAAACATTCATCAGTGAATTTTAGAAATTCTCAGTTTCCATGGTATACACTTTATTCTCACATATTATGATAACAAATTAACAATAAGCAAGGTACCTACTAGTATGCTAGCAGGTCATGGTGTTGTTCGGTACATGACAGAAGACTAATAAACACAAGGGATCCAAAGATTATTTTCTGCTTGAAAGAAACTACACGAAATCATACCCATAAAAGCGAAGGCAGTCTCTATGCAATGAGTGGCCACAGCTGGCAACCCTGCTAGCAGCTGCATGGTTTGAAAAACTAAGCTCCAAAAACTTCCCAAAGGACAAACCCCAAGCAGCATCAGACATCACCACTCTTCGAGTTGCAGGAGGAAAGCCATTCAATCGTGGACACTTCAGGCACCTGTGCCACATCCAGATTTTTCCTTCCCTTTCACCTGGCAAAAAAATTTCTTGTAGCTTCTTTACAGAAATTGTTAGGGTGCCCTGATGGTGGGTATAACACTGAACATGTGCCTCTGATGGCATCTCACATGAACGACACCGATAACTCTGTCCATAAAGTAAAAACCATATTAGTTTCAGAAAAAAGTCCGATGTTTTCCATAGAAAGAAGACTGGAAGGACAAGAGGTTACATGATCAAACAAGTGGTCTCGCAGAAAACGACCCAAGGGTTTGTCAAAGTTTCCATAGTACTTGATCCGAAAAAGATGCGATCTTTCACAGACAGTCCCTTTCCACACACACCTGGATGATAAGGAAACTAAAATGCTCTGATGGTCAGATGAGGATGGAGGAAACCCTTCCTTTGAAGAACCTGATTCCTCATGAACATGTTTAACCTCTTGTTGCAAAGTTGGATTTGAAACTATTTGGTTAGCATCCATGCCATTACAAGTGTTCTGCACATTCTTGGATTCCACACTTTGTTCCAGGGCACCTGATGGCCTAGAATCATTTGATACAAGATGGTCTCTCAAAACTTCAAGGATATCGTTGCGTACTAAAGGTTCATCCCTGGAAGATGTTAAAGTTCTCCCCTCGGGTGCATGACAGAGGGAGGGCTCATTGGAGGAAGAGTTTGAAATACCCTGCTGAGAAGATGTAACTGAGGGAATTATGCAGTTCGTGCTAATAGCAGCGTAGATGGTAGAAAAATCTTCTGGCTCCATTTTCTGAACCAGATCATTAGTGGGGACAGTGAATGACCTCTGTGGTTCACCACTGGGTGGAGGTCCCAGAGTCTTTTCACTAGAAGGAATGGTGAAACCAGGGAATGTTGAGATGGACCTGACAACAGTTGATGTTTTATCTGGAAGTGCCACAGTAATTGGAGAACCCAAAGGAAATTCAGGAAGAGTGGCTCCCTCGTCTGCAAGAAACGATGTTTCCAGAGCCAAGTGGTAAGCCGCAAAAACTGAATATTGCACTATATGCTTCACTTTCTTCAACTCATCAGTGTTGGCACCTCGGAGTAATACCTGAGTCAACCACATAACGAAAATCCATAAAAGATGAGTTTGACAGGTCACAAGCATTTAGTACACTCCGTAAAATGTTCTAACAAAATCTCAGCCACATAAGAATAAATGAAAAACCACTTTGGTAATTAGTGTGAGAAGATTTTCGGATTCAAAGTAAAAAAAATTTCTGGGGTATCTTTTATATATACACTTCTAGACCAAAGCAAGATACTTTAACAACTTTTTTGGGGTAATTCAACAGGGAAACGAGACTGAAGACAAGACCCTGCACAAATAATCCAGTACTGTAACATTTCTATTTGAACTCAATATTTAATCTTGTTCCCATAAATGATGGTAAATAACTTACAGTGCATCCCAATGGCTTTGGACAACCTTCAAAGTACATCAGTGTCTTCATAAGCTTCTTTGCACTCTGCCCAACCGCAACATGCTCTTCTGCAAACTTCTCAACATGGAACATATCACAGTATCCCAACTTTGGTGATGACAGATGATCAATTGAAGGAACTATCTGACCACCTGTGCACCGGGCAATACGTTCCAAAAGTGGCTTTTTGATATTTAAAGCTAGTGATATATCCTTTGCCAGAAGGTAGTCTTGTGCATAGCGAGAAACAGATTTCTCCACCAAGAGAACATCAGGTTGGTGTGCATCTATTTTTGCAACAGCCATCTTGAGATGATCCATTTCCTGGATTCCCCAAAACACAAAAAGGTCAGTTAGATTTTTTAAACACATTGACGCAAATTAAATGCAAATTAAACATTCATGATCACAACCTGTTGCAATAAAGTATCGACACTTGACAAGAGGTTAGAAACCCGCTGGTATTCAAGAGCCCCGCCAAGGATCAGTATCCGAGGTTTATCTATTTTCGATGCCATTCGCCGGTGAGCCACATTTTTCTTACAAACAATTCCTTTGACCACCACACTGTTCAAGGAGAGAATGTTTTAGAAAATGTTTTCATATCTAAATTGATGCATAAAGCCATGTTAAGAATAAGCTTCACAAGTAAAAAAAATAAGCTGTAGAAATATGTGTAAAGCTACATAGTACACACTACAACCTCACAAGAAGCTCATACAGAAATTAGCAGCTCATTATACTATAATCTATATATACAGTCCTAGAAATGAGGACTAGAAATGCCAATTTATCACTAATTTGCATGATTCTTCGCATTTTGATAAGTATATTCACCACTTTCACAAACTACATTTCAAACAGACTTCTCCCTCAGTTGAGAAAACTTGTGCTTACAAAGGGTAAACAGTTAGATCTTTTGGTGAACATTCATAAAAGGATCAACATTCCTATTTAAAAGCATTTATAATTAGTGCATTATGCCTCTTACGATATTGAAATACAATGGTTGAGAAAGCAAGCCATGTTCAAAGATAAATGCTGCCAACAAATACTACCTCTATCTTACAGAATATACTAAACATGCATGCCAAGATAGAATTATGCACACAACGGAATAACTTCACTTATATAGCCTTTACCTGTCTCTGCAATGACCAGAGGCTATACATTTGACCTTTACATATCCCCCAGGGTCCATTCCCCCACCCTTGCTGGTGTCTGGCTTTAACAAAGTAGCAGCCTCCCAGGAAAGGGATGTAATTATGTCTATCCAATTGTCTTTCTCATCTTCCTCACCCATGGGAAGATTCTCAACCTGCATAAGCTGAGCTACCAATGCCCTGAAGTGCCCATCAACCACATGCTTCATAGCTTTCTTATGCTCTTCATTTGACTTGTCTTTACTTTTGTACTCCCCACTGCCAAAACTGCTTGAAGTACGAAGAGTTGCCCATTCTCCAGCAGCATCCCCATCATCATCGTCATCAAACAGAAATGCTTCCCTTTCATCTTCTTCATCTTCTGGATCAGGAGGAAGCCACAGAACCCCATTGTTCTCGAAATCAACAGGTTCAGCACTAACATCTTCAGCTACATACATAGATGAAGATGTTTCACAATCATAACCAATGTCAGATTCACCTTCCTTTTTCACAATCTGTTGAACTTCTTCTGAAGTCTGGGAATCCATACTATTATGTACAGAAGAGCTGCTAATGCTTTTTGTATCAACAGCTTCTCCATCAGGATGAATTTTGTGTGATCCAAACTCATTGCCAATACCATCAAACTGAATGTGATTATAATAACCATTACCCTCAGATGAATGGTTTCTCTGGGAACCTAACTGGTATGAACCATATTCTTCTTCTTCATCATCACTCCTAAATTCCAAAAGAGAGCAATAAATAATTAAATGGCAATGGTGCATCTAAATTTGCAAATAAGACTTGCACTGAAAGGAACAAATCATTCAATGAAGTCTAGCAAGAATTGCTTATAACCCCCGAAAGACAAATAACTCACATACACAGAACCATAATATAGGGCACACAAGGACATCTAGAATGTGAAAAATGTAGGAGACATCACCTTGCAACATAATTTATAATTACAAACATCTATTTTCATTAGAAACATATACATAACTAATGAATTAATGAACTGCCTCAAAAACATAATATGGACCATAAGTTTTGACAATTAGGCAATATTAGCAACCTTCATAAAGAAGGGAAATAAGATTAAATAATGAATTAAGAATCCTAGAGGAAGCTTTGCTTTTTCTTTTACTTTGTAATGGCTTAAAAAATCAATTGTATAACTAATTGTCTAAATTGATGATAGGGGATATATTTACTCAAGGTCATGCATAATTGCATATGAATAAGAAGTGACCAGATCCTTAACCACTCCATAAGATTTGTGCATGGATTTGATTGTAAAAGGTTAAGACAGCAAAGGTAGCTATATGGATAAGAATGCCACTCAAATGCAACTAGTAACCCCAACTTCAACTATGCAATATATTTGGCTGTAATGCATACACCACCAACAAACTTAAAGGGTTTAGACGCTTAGTTTTTGGTTGACCTAGGTTATTTAGGAGTTATCTAATCCCTCCCCCAACCCCTTAAAAAAAAAAACAAAATAATAATAATAATAATAAATATATATATATAAAAAATAAATAAATAAAGAAGAACAAAAAGAGGGGACCAAAAAAAAAAACTTGAGGGAGGGTGTTTGGTTCAAATATGGCAATCAAAATTAAAATCAGAATCAAATACTTAGGGATGGGAATGACTTCTAATAAAAGTAGTGTATGTGTTTGGTAGTAAATTGGAATCAGAATCGATTATAATATTATCTATTGATGGATTTGATGATAAACAAGTCACCAGGGAAGAAGCTAGAATTCAAGAAATGTGAGGATTGAGTTAAACAGAAGCTAGAAATATGCGGACTGAGTTAAACACAAAGCTCTAAATTTGAATTCAAATACAACGCATATCATCTTTAGGAAGCAGATCTAGCACAAATTAAAGCAGATCAAAAGAAGAAACATATCAAAATGCAGAGCAGATAAGATCCGAACCGAACAATGATATGCGATTCGGTTAATCAGTTTCCATCTGCAAATCTGAACACGAATATGGCTACGGGCAGTTGAGAGGGTGGTGATGTATGAAGGTAGCGATGGTGGATATGGTGCTGCAAATACGCGATCCAAACTTTCTCTCTCTTCTTATTTTTTTTTTCCTTTTCTCCTAATTTCTTTTTTATTCGTGCGTAAAACGCATGACTTACCATTTAAAGAAAAAATCTATTCTTGAGTTATTTGATTCCAATTACTTTCGCTTAAAATTTTGAAAACAAACTACTCTATGACCCTTGAGGTGAATTCCATTCCTTCCTTCAAAAGTTGTGAACCAAAGGTCCCCTTAATTCCCAAGGAACTCCAATCCGAAGGCGAGGCTTTTGAAGAAGCCCCTTTTACAAGAAGCAAAAATTAGGCCAAGCATTGAGTACCTTGTTATACAAACATTGTAACAAACTCAACATATCAATTGAAGTGTCAAACTGAACTAACAGATGCTGATTATTCGAAAGATCAATATTTATGCAAAAAAGTTAAATTAGTTAAACATAACAAAATAATAACAAGCGATGTATAATGAGTACCTTGCTGTAAAAAACGCATATCTATCTGAAGACTGGTTACAAACACCCAGGTCTGCAGTAGCAATATGACTACTATCTCTAGCTATGATGAAACCCTGCTTGTCTACAGTTGACTCCATAGTTGCTGCCTGATTTAGACTGAGTTCGGCAGCAGAATATGGCATTGATGCAACAGTAATGCTACTACTGTCACCGGTTCTAGTAGATTTGAAGCTAATAAAACTCGTTGCTGAAAGAGAAGTACTAGATTCCAGGTTATCAACCTGAATTCCATTATCAGCAGAGGCTGCTATACCTTGTTCCCATTGCTTAAAACAGTAATTACAAACCCTGACTTTTTCCCACTCATCCTGGTGTAGCATGCATGGCTGACTGGATGGTGTGGGAACCCAATTAGATGTGCACTTGGTGCAGAAAATTCGTCCACAATGTCGACAATGGTGCCTACGGTTGATCAACGTAAACTGGGAATCACAATCATAACATACCCTACAGCTCTGATCAGGCATCCAAAAGTCCCTTGACACATTAGCTGGTTCAGACCGCCAAGGGATCCATGATTTCAGTAAACCTATGATATCAAGGCATGTCCTATCCAAGGAATCCATCTACACAAGAAACCCTGCCTACCTCTCATTGTGTTGTGCTCATTTGCTAGCTACTAACACATCACTCCTGACCCACCATGGGAAGACAATCCAACAAATTCTACATAAATCCTAATTACTATACTAAGGATCCCTGATCCCTTGTAGCATCAAAGGATCACCAATAAGCTGACTTCATCAATCAACACACATCAAATACTAACCTAACCATGCACCCCTGATTCAGTAAGAACTTACCAATTTTGATGACTAAAAAACTCGGTCAATTACCAATAAACTACCTGATCTCCACCATTCAAAGTATCCAGTCAATATAACTCACTCTGATATCTTCAATCAACCCGAATCCCAATAAATAAAACCAAAAACGTGCAGCGATATGTCAAATACCTGATCAAACAGAACCTACAAAAGGAATCCAGAAATCCTGCTTAAACAAAACCACAACTTATAAGTCGGGCAAATCAGAATTAGGAGAAAACACGTATTTCTGGATGAAATCAAGCTGGACCGGACGCGGAAATTCATATACAGATATAAGAAATCAAAACAATCAAGAAACCCCCATGGCAATCAATGAATCTCCAACCTGAAATTAAAAAACTCAATCATTACCCAAAATAAATATCAATACTTGTAATAATTATTTATATTTGTCAATAGATAATTCAATAAGGAAACACACACTGCGTCGTCAGCTGGAAAATAAATATAAATAAATAAATAAATAAATATTAAAAAAAAAAATTAACTGTACGAAAATGGCCATCTACGGATACAGCTTGGAAGTTGAAAACATAATGAATTGAATAATACGAAACATATCAGTGTCGAGTGAAGACAAAAATCCATAGGAACTTAAGCCAATTGGCTGCTGCCACGCAACTGCGTATACCCCCAAACGGGGTAGGTCTTTGAATTTTCTCTCTTTCTTTAATTTATTACATTTTCTTTTCTGTAATTTTAATCCAAATAAATACAACTGTAACTTGTAATTATCACATATACGCGATTACGCATCATCCTTTTCTTGGTCAAAACTATTTTATATATTTTTGTATAACCATGTTTCCAATTTCGGCAGATTATATTGTAGATTTTAATTAAAGCATAATAAAGCTCATGAAAAAGATAAATCTCTAGTTGTTTAAGTGATTTTAAGTTTCCTTACATTTCACACAAAAGATTTTACTATAATTGGTTAAAAATTTTCAATGACTCCTTAAGTTCAATTCCTGTGAAGTTTGAATTCCATTTAAGTTACCTAATGGATAACTATTTTCTTCTTGCATATGATACCTAATAGTTTATAAAAATAATATGAATAACTTATGTTATGTATGTTTTATATGTTATTGGAAAATAACAATTTGTTTTTAGTATTTCGTGTTGGGTATATGTTTGATATGTTCATATGTTATTGGAGAATTGGAAGAAGTGAAACGGAGTAATAACACATTAGGCACCTTAATGGGTTTGCCATTTGCTAAGTGGATCAAGGGTGTGGGGTTGGGGCACCATGCATGAGTAATTTTATAAATAGAATGTTGTTTTGTTTCCATAGACTTAGTTACATTATCGAATCATATGTAAATCTTGTGCCTTTGTATTTTTATATTTGATCTTAACTTTTTGATCATATTTTTTTTAGATTCTTGTAGAATACGAATTCCCACTGATGAATGTATTAGAGACGAGTTCGGAACAAACTGACCCGAAAGCGCGATATGAGGGGCCGAGGGCAACCCGACAGGATTTGACCTCGGCCAAGGTCGACCTCGATTGGAGTTGGCCCCAACTGGGGCCGGCGGCTACCCAAGGGCCCGTGGCAGGTAGCATCGGGTGCGTGCCTGCGGACGCGGTCAAACTGCGATCTAACCGCCCACCCTATTCTCGTGGGCGGTTGGTGAGCTAACCTTGTATAAAAACGGACATCTTTGTCCAAGAGATCTACTTCTTGGTCTAAATATTACATTCACCTTATAATTTTCCTACGAATCAATATCAAATTATCAATACAAAAGTTGTCCCCGCGATCTATATTCATTGTCTTTTACTATTTATCATTTATTATTGGGTTTAGTAAATTCGGACTACCCGCATTAATTAAATTCATCACCCACTATTCAAAATATTACTTTGACTCTCAAATTGTATTCTATACTTTTGTCCCTTAGCTTCACTCAAAATTTTGATGCAAAATGAAGATAATTCTGTCATATTTTGAAGTAAAAGTGAGAAAATAAAAATAGGGAGCTCATGTAATATAACTTAAGACTAAATATGGATTGAACGATCACTTAAGCTACATATTTGGTGTGGCAACTATTTTCTACATACCCATTGAAAAGTGATAGTGATAGAAGGTATTGAATGGAGAGAGACTTAGGCACATTGTCATAAAATTTTTATTTGTATTTTTATTCTTAATTTCTTGAAATTTTTTAAAAAAAAAAAAAATTAGATTTTGATTTTACTGAACTAATATGAACAAGAATCAAATTCGTCATCTTCAGATACAAAAATTATACTCTAAGGACGGAGTCAAAGGGGGGCAGGGGATGCTGCCCTCCTCATCCCACCCCCACCCCCATCCCATATATAATTTTTGTATGTATATATGTATATATAGTACATTTGTTAGTATTAGTAAAATAAAACTATTGAGTATCAACAAGAGTTAAATTAGATGAGTTGGTTGAGCATTGAGTTATGGTAAAGGAATAGGGGTTTGAATCTTTGCATTAACATAGGCTTCTTTTTTTTTTTTGACTCCTTCCCCATAGTTTGAACACAGTTACGTTTTTAATAACTTCTTAATATTTAATACACACAGATATATATAACATTCTTTTGTATTAATAATGAGATGTGTTTATTTTTTTTTTAAATTATCTTTTTTGTTTTAATATTTTTTTGAATCCATCCCTACTTCTTCGCCACCCTCAACCAAATTTCTATCAGAGTATCTACTATCTTCTAATATCTACTTTTGAATATAGCAACAAAATTGTTACTGAATTGTGCATTGCAATTAGCTAGTGGCAATATAATCTAGCCTTACAATCATTTACCAAGGCCGGTTAACTATGAAACACGACACGAGATAGACTTTATGCAAAGACACTGATAAGCTTTCTTAGTCATTAGTCCCGGAGAGAAATTTAGCCTAGCTATTATCCGAAAAATAATAATATTTTTTACCTAGGATATGATAAGATATACTTATATTCTACGCTGATATTTTTCTCAAAAATATTCATAAAAAGGAACAAATTAAAGTATTAAACAATTTAATTTGGTAGGGTGAAGAGAATATAATAAAGGAAAAGAGTTTTAATTAGAATCATACTATGTTGTTATAAAAAGCAAACATCCTTTCGCACTCGTATCGATTTATTGAAACCATATATAACATAGTACACTTTAGCAGTTTACAACGATCTATAAAAAATTCAAAAGACCTTTTTGCAGTTGCTGGGAAGAAGCTGCTTCCTAAGATCAGCAGCATCCACATCGTCAAAATGTATTTCTGGCACCCAATTTCCGCTCTTCGGATCTCTCATCCAGAACACCGCCTCTTTCTCTCCGGCCGCCGGAGTCTCCACGGCCGCTCTCTTCACCCCCGCAGCCGCCTGCCCCTTCACTCTCTCCGCCGCCACCGTGTACCCTCTCCTGTTATCACACGCAATACAATACTTGATATGCAAGAAATATCAAACATGCATAATGCATATATGTACTAATTATATAAAAAAAAAAAACAAATTAAAGAAAATCACGTAATCAAAAAATCGAGAGTTTGAATTCATGTGTACCAAGCAATACTCTTTTAAAAGAGTTTTTTTTTTTTTAATCACATTTAATATTCAGCTTAACGGGATGCAAATACTAATGTAATATATATAAACAGATTAATTAAGAAACATAAATATATACCTGAACAAGCTGGTGACAACCTTAGAAGACATGATTGATGATACTGATCAGACAAATAAGATTGAGAGATTGTGACGAATTGTTGACGGTTCAATCCTGAGACGGAAGAGGTGTATATATATAGAGAGGGGAGGGAGAATTGAAGCATGCAAAACTATGTATTATGTATATATAGGATTTCCCTTGGATTGGGGTTAACCTTTTGAAAAGTAGGTATATATAGAATTTATGGACTGTGGTATTTATTAATTAGGACTTTGTATTCTAGTCACATTAAAATTTCTTATATTTATCTTCTTGTGTTATTGTGAATCTGTATCATTATATGACTAGGACTCTTTTATTCTTATAAACATATTTTTTATATATTTTTTAAAATTAATTGTCCCACTAATTAGGGAGATTAATGATTATATAGTAACTCTAACAGGGCGTTTGGTTGGAGGGATTTTAAATTCCCTTCCCACTTAATTCCCACCTAATTTCAAAGATCATTAAATTCCGTAGTTTGGTTGGAGGGAATTGCAATTCCCCCATTTTCATGGAATTAAAATCTCATGTCCCCCCTGTTATTTTAATTCCTGGGAAAAAAAGATAGTAATGAGTCAAAATTACCCCTTCCTTTTTTAACCTAAAATTAATGTCTAGCAACAATAATGGACATTTTTGACTTTATACTACTTATTCCCTTTCAATTCCCATGTATACCAAACATTGGAATTGAAATTCCCAGTAATTTTATTCCTGTCAACCAAACACTGGAATTTAAATTCTCACTTTATTCCCAGTAATTCAACTCACATGGAATTACAATTCATTTCCCACATAATTTCCTCCCTCCAACCAAACGCCCTGTAAATATATAAATATCTGGAATATAATAGATGTGTAGGGAAGACTTAGGAGAAGTCAATATATATATATATATATATATATATATATATATATTGTCGTGGGAGCATATATAAAAGTAAAGAATACATTTATTTATTCGATGAATTTGTGAAAGCTTATGCTTTGTCTTTTCATTTCACAATCCTAAATATAGGTAAAATGCAGGTTTCATATTCTTTGCTTAAACATGGAATCAATGTGGAGGACAGCAAGACAATTGGAGATTCGATACTGATGTTTATTTGACATAAAACGTGGGAGTATAATTAGGCTATTTGAATTATTCTTCCAAAAGCTGAACTCCAACCCTAAGGGCCCCCCACACCCCGGAGGTTGTAAATCATGGTGACTCAACTGAACATTAATCACAGAGGTTAGATCGGTGCTCACTGCGCACAAGGAGCCCCCTCACTTTGAGAGGTTGCTCCCACACTGCCGCTATTTGAATTATGATTATACAGGGCAAGATTTTTATTTTATTTTTTATTTTTTTGACAAAAAAAAGTTATAATTACGCTAATTGATTATACATGTCAAATTTGGTCATTCTAATTTTAACTTCTTTTTTTTTTTTTTTTAATCTATTGAAAGCCTCAATTTGAGGAATAATTAGGCTATTTGAATTAGGATGATACAAGGCAAGATTGGTCATTCTAAGTTTAATTTTTTTATTTTTTTTTTGAAGAACTAAGTTTAAATTTTTTTGAAAATATGTTTTGATCGATCTTCTCGATTTGAGATAGTCTTCTATGGTCCTTTATCGGTGCAACAAATTAAACTTTTTCACAAATCAAAGATACGATACTCGTGCAAAAATTGCTTCCTTCCTATATATACATGTAATCTGTACATAGTTGTTATTCATTCAATAATAAACAACTCTATCAGTTCTCATCTAGTATCAGTTAAGCTAGGCTTTCTTTCCAATGGCTGACGGGTCTATTAATTCATCTTAATGGACCGTCTCTAATACTCCTATCTCTTCGGCTACATCGGTGGTTAATTCCTTATCCACCTCTCACCACTTCATCGGCATTGAATTGACCTACAAGAACTACCTGTTTTGGAGAGCTCAGGTTGTTCCGTTTCTTGATGGAACAAATCCATGTCCACCGGCCACCCTTCCCGTTGACGGCAATGACTCGGCGGCGACACCCAATCCGGCACACCGTGCGTGGATTCGATAGGACCAAGCCTTATTATCCATGTTGATGTCATCCCCGGCGAAGTCATGCCTCTCGCAATCGGTCATCGCACCCGTCGAGCCGTTTGGACTGTTGTGGTTGGTGCGCTGGCGTCATCCTCTCGTTTTCGTTGTCTAAATCTGCTCGACAAATTGCAAAAGCTCAATCAAGGAGATATGTATGCGGCTCACTACATCGGCAAGGCTAGGGTTTTGATTGAGGAACTCACTCTCGCCAGCCGACCTCTATGACACTTGAAGAACAAAACCTGTTCATTTTTCGGGGGTTACGGCCAGAGTTTAGAGGACTTGCGTTGTTTCTCAATGTGCGTGGCCAACCGGTCACACTTAGGAGCTTGCGGATCTCTTGAGCGCGGAGGAATTGGAGGAATTTATGATGCACGATGGTCTCGGAGCTAATTCGCCGGCGTCGTTCACAGCACAAAGAGGCGGCAAAAAAGGCCGCAGTTCTGGACGAAACAATGGAGGCCGTGGGTCCAGTCAAAACAGTGGCCAAACCGATCAGCCGCATGGTGGTGGCGGCGGCGGGGGACGTGGTGGAGGGCGCAACGGCAACTGGCAACCCAAGTGCCAACTTTGCCACGTGTTGGGTCATACTGGTGTCACGTGCCATCTTCGGTATGCCAAGGATATCCTCAGGCTAACATAGTATATCAGGAATCTCCACCGGACCCTCAAGGTTTGCACACTTGATTTTCATATACAGGTGCTATCAATCATGCCACTCCGAACATAGTTACTCTCTCCTTCTCAGAAGAGTACAATGGTAATGGGCCTATGGCCCAATATCTAACACAAAACTTCACTTTTTATGTCGATCTCTGTAATTTTAGATGATAGTTAATAAAAATATAACGTACATTCGTACAATGTACAAGTATAAAAGTTCAATTTATTGTAAATATTGTCTATAATTCGAACATCGATTATTATACATGTGATTTATAGATATTATAAAATTAATGTATAAGACATTACACAATATCATAACAATTGTCAAAACCGCTACTCTTAAACAATTATATATAGAATACGAAACATGACACGAACATCTTTCCGCGCCGAGGATTGTTGCGTTCCTTATTAGCAAATGATGCCATGTGACAACATCTACTACTATACAAAACTCTACTTTCCGGTTAACATGTGAATTGAATCTTCCAATGTTCTAACATAGTCTTCACACAATGCACATGAATTGCACATCCCAATGAAGAGCGTCAGTAATATATTATTATAAAATTAATATCATACATCATATATATATAATAAAGCCATATGGTCTTGTGAAAATTAAATGGTGATAATTAACATTTAATTTTCACAAGACCATAATAATATTGTTAATTATAATAACAATAACAATAATAATAATAATTGCAATAATAATAATGATAATAATTTCCACTGACAGTTTCTAATATATATATATATATATATATATTTATTTATTTATTTATTTATTTATTTATATTTCAATTTCTACTGACAACTTATTGTCTGAACGATGGTCCACATAATTGTATGGATCATGAATATCAAATACATTTTTAATATATTAAAAATACATTATTTTTATATTGAAAGTACCTTACATACATATATAATGTACCCTTAGTATATTTAAAATATACTTTTTATTGCATGCAACCCCAAAGTTCTTAAGTTTGAAATTAATATATGGCATAGCTAGGCGGCCTAATATTTAAGATTGTTGATGTGCATATTGAGGACTACGGAGACAAAGATGCGTTATTCGTGGATTCATCGGATACTTCCAACAACACTCTCCAACTTAATTGACGTGAAGTAGGCTTAGTAACATTAAGATTATATTCTCGAATTATTAGTTCTCATCTTTTATTGATTAGACACTTAATTTGATAGTATTTGGAAGAAAAAATCAATGTTCGAACTAAGATTGTGATTTTGGTCTTTAAAGGTCAATTGTATGTTGCTACATCTAGAGTTAGAAATCTCAAAGGTCTAAAAATTTTGATCCGTGGTGACTCTAAAATTGTAATTCAATTACTATTGTAGTTTACTAAATTCTTAAAAATTTGTAATATTAAATACTATGTACTAACTTTCAAAAAAAAAAAAAAATACTATGTACTAAATTTTTAATATAGTTTAAGACTTGTAGTAATCACCCACCTTAAATATTATTTTAATTGTAAATATATTTATGTTCATAATTTTATCATAGGAATTCACACATAATAATTATTAAATAACAAAAATTTTATATGTGAATAAACCTCATATATGGTATATTTTTATAACATATTTTCCGTGCATGGCACGGGACAAATACTAGTTTTTACTAATATAAAGACATACAATTGTAATAAAATATAGGCAAGTACATACCAGAACTGCCGACCAACAAAAGTGGTCGTGCTATGAATAACAAGAGTTTGGTCGGTCATTGCATACAATCTCATTATTCTTTTATCATTCTAACCCAACCAAAGAACATAATTAATATTCTCAATAAATTCTTTTTCACCAACTAAACAATGTAATCAATTTTTATGATAACTTATTTTTTTTATATGGAATTTAATTTCTATTTTATTTCTCCTCAGATATTTTTTCGTGAACCAAACGATGCCTTAAAGGCTTTGTGCATTAGTTTAAACATTTGTCGAAATAAAAATTAAATAGACCATCAAACTACATACAAAAGTGTACCGTAATTTGACCATCCAACTAAAAAATTACAACTGAGTCTTTGAAAAATCTAAAATCATGAGAATAAATCAAAATTGACATGTTCTGATGGTTACTGTTGTTGAGATGGTTAATTAATTAGAAATTACGAAGTAATTTTTAAATTTATTTTAATAACTCAAAAAAAAAAAAAAAACATTTCTTGAAAAACCCAACCTCCTCCCCACCTCTGTTTTTGTCACGTCAGCAAAAATAGAAAGAATATGTTAATTTTGGTTTAATTGAATGATAACTTTGAATTGTTTAATGACTCATTTGTAAATTTTCTAAATTTGATGGTACACTTATAATTTTTTTACTTTTGTGTATAATTTAACTAATTGTTAATATTATATTTATATAATTCAAACTCTTTTTATTTAAGATAACGTCTGATGTTCACAATTGAAAAATATTTTTCAACAACATATATATATATATATCATCTATATAGTCACATACATGGAGTGATTAAGTCCATTGCAAAAGGATGAGATTATCCACTCCCACTGTGAGCCTTGTCAGGATTCAGGAAGTCTAATCACAATTTGCACGTTTTCAATGCCCAAATATACAAAGGTAACAATTTCTTTAAATTCTGCCCCACACTAATAATTAAAAGTGTATGTCACATGTCCCACACAGATTAAGCTAACGTGGTCCAACATTCCAACGTAATAATTTACAACATACACCCAAAAGGATTAGATATGTGAATAGAGTAAGATTTTCGTACTAAAAAAATTAAAAGTTTGAATCATATTAACACTCTCGGTTAAATATATCACATATCGTAAAGTCATTTTAATGTAATTTACATTTTTTAACTGATTTGTAAGTTGTAATTATTATATAAGAGTGAGGTTTACCTGTTTTTGTCACAAAAATAATAATAATAATAATAATATACGGAGTACAACATTAAAAATAAATAAAAGATTTTGTGAGAATCAATATTATATTGCTGTAATTTTATACCACGTGTTGTTATTTCTATTCTAAAAGAATTATATTGTGCAATAGTACCAATACACATAATCTCTCCTGTACCAAATATTCTCCATGTGTTTTTCCCTTATAATTCAAGGTGAATAAATTTTATTTGAATTTATTTTTGACAAATAAATTTTTTAATCTAAAGGTAATTGGTCACGAGGCCGGTGTCACAAATTGCGGTACCAATATTTTATTTTTGATACACCCTCATATTCTTCCAAAAAAAATATTTTATTTTTGATAAATAATAATAAAAATATACTAAATTGTATAATTAAATTACATGCATTCAAAAAAAAAAGTATAATTAAATTACATGTAATTAATAGCGAATTTTTAACCTGAGACAGGATCTATGTTGTCATGCGCTCATGGTTAAGCAAATATATGGGCACAAAGATTGGATGGCTACAAGTTTAAGGCATTTGTAAGTCGGTGTTTAAGTCATTAATTACTATTAAATTGTATTATACAAATCCCGATGGCTAATTTGTATTGGACTGAGACGAATTTTGTCGCATTTTACAATCTCAGCTCATACTAAATTATAACATCGTCATATAGCTCGGGGCTGGGTAATATTTATCATGGGATTCATAGTATGATGATTCTAGTATATATAATGTGGATGCACTATCTGTCTTTATATTATTGACCAAATACATATATAACTGTCTTGAAAAAATGGGTAGTTGAGTAGATGGATTACAATTTTTGTACTAGAAGGTCATAAAGTTGATTCTTGCTAATACCTTTTCGAATACCAATAAACCTTTAAAGAGTCTTTTAAAAATTTAAATCGAATACCACCAAACTTTTAAAGTCGTTAAAAGTTTATAAAAGTCTTGATTGAATACCCCCTTACACCCCTAGGTGACTTCTTAGTCTGGTATAATTTCACATAAAATGCGATGCGTGTATATATATATATATATATATATATATATATATATATATATTCATGATATAAAATATGGACCACAAATTAAGACGACCATGGTATTAGTTTTTTGGGTACATAGAATACAAGTTTGGTCGCATCTAACTTTGCAAAAATTGGTACATATTATACCCACACATACCAATTAACTTGCATACGTCACCACCATTTTCACTTTTATTTGCCATTAAATAACACTCCCACTCCCAATTCCCATCCCTCAACCTCCATTTTCAAAACCACACGCTTTGTCGTATTCCCTGCTCTCTCTCTATCTCTCGATCTCTTCTTCTTCTTCTTCCTCAAGGCGGAGTGAGTAACATTCAATTGGTGTTGAGAATGGGTTGGATTCCATTGAGATTCAACCAAGAACCTGCAAACAGATCAAAATCTGCAGTTAATGTCTCCCATGGCGGTGTTGTCGGCCTGAGAATTCTTACCCATCATCTTCCTCAAGGAGATCATCATCGTCCTTCCAGCAATCTTCTCCTTTTGTCTGCATTGAATATCAGAAAACCCAGAGCTCCGCAGCAACCTTGTTTTCTTAAATGGTGTTGTCTCTGCAGAAGAGCTCTCCGGCTCGATAAACAAGTGTACATGTACAGGTAATTGCCAGAAAACCTGGAATTGGAAACTCGTAAAAATCTATGTTTTGTTTTCTGGGATTGTGTTCTGAAGTGGACGGTTGTGATTTGTGCAGGGGTGATCAGGGGTTCTGCAGCGTGGAGTGCAGAAGCCGCCAGATTCTTATGGATGAGAGGAAAGAGATAGAGATTGCTACTAAAAATAGACTGGCTTCTCTCCGGCACCGCCGTGACGGCGGCCGCCGGCGGTGTGATGCCAGTGCTTTAAAGTTAGACGAGTACCCACACCGGAGCAAGACGTTGTCGCCGTGTTCCAATCGCCGAGCTATTTTCACTCTCTCGTAGATTGTCAATTTTTTTTGTTTTGTTTTGTTTTTTTTTTCCTTTTTCTTTTTGGGGTAATTATTTACACTTCCTTTTCTTGAAACCCTTGCCAACTCGAAGGGAATATAATTGTTGTAGCATATAATATAGGGAGAATATTACTAGTGAATCTTGGACAATAATTTTTGTTGGAGTTATAGTGTTATAGGCACGTGCACGGATCAAGTGACAAAAAATCTCATTCGTACAATCGCACCCGTAACACAAAGTCATTTTAATTCAATTTACTGCACCTGTGTAATTTGCTAATCAACCCCGGGCGGGGCTAAATGTCAACAGATGCCTACTTTGAGCATAATCCCCACACTGTTGGTGTTGAAGTTCGATTCTAAGTATATTATCTCAAATATTATTTATTGAACTAGTTGGACTTTATCAATTATCACAATTTCCTTACTCTATTATTTGATACAAAACCATCATATTTGGCTCGATTCCAAAAGTCAAAACGCAATTTTGGAGCTCTAATGGTTTGAACCTGATTCAAACTCAACATAGTTTAACTTGACTTGAATATGTTCAATCCAATAAAAAATATTACGCGTAATATTTTTACACGAAAATTATAATAATAAATTATTACAACTAAATGTTAGACTTATAAGCTCTCAAATCAATTATTAAGATGCTTGAATTTGTATTCACTGCACTTGAATTCAATCTTGTCTCGATAATAACTAACTCTAATTCAAACTTTCACGGAGCCGTGCACTATTAATTTGACTAAATTATATAATTCTCCTACATGCAAGTCAACTTATTTATTTATTTATTTGTTATTGATTCAATTTTTTTTATTTTTTTATTTTTTTGCTTGATGGGATTCTATTTTATTTTAAAATATCCCAAGTTAATAAATAAATAATACGGAGTAATAAAATTGTAATAAAAAATACCAATGTACAAAATATGATAGAGAGAAATATATTAAGGTGTACAATTTAAGATTGCTTTCAAAATTTGGATTGATTTTAACATATTATTCCTCTTTACAAAACTGGTTGAATCGAATTTTATGAGAATGACTCCAAAAAGAAAAAGAAAAAAAATACCCCATATACAATAATGAAAGTAGGTGAATATAATTTTAGGGAAATTCTTCGATAAAAGCATTCCGTCTTATTTTTAAAAGAGTACTACACATTCTTCCTAAAATTTTCATCATGATGACATGTTACTATATGGTTGGATCATTTGGTATCCAATTACAAGTATGTGAGGTTAATCAATTCATGGGAAATCTAATAGTACTTTTTTCTGTGGTTGGGGGTGGGGAGGTGGGCGGTTTAATTTTAATTTTCGGGTTTTCACAATTTTTTTTTGTCAAACAAAAAAAAAAAAGGAAAATATAGAGCAAGTCATTGTTGGCCTAACAAAGTTGACAAAAAATTAAGATACATACACAACCATTGTTATTGCTATAAATGCACATAAACCACGTCATTATAGGAAATTAAGAGTGAAGACTTTGAGGATAAAAATATTTTACTTTTCAAAACTTTATTGTTGGACCAATACTAGAACAACAAAGTTTCTTTCTCTTTAGTTGAAATTGAGATTTTTTTATTTTATATTTTTTAATGTTACTGACTCTATTACAGAATACATAGTCAACAACGTCTCCACTAAAGTTCGATCTCATGACCTCTCACATAGAAAATGTCACTATATGCCATCTGAGTACAAAGTGCTTGACAGTTGAAATTAAAAATGAGATTTGTTTGCGCTTATATACAACTGATGGATACTTAAGAAACAAAATATGTTCATCACCTTATACTTAAGGGACCATATCAAAAACTTATGAGACAATTATTAAAGAACAAATATGTTTGCGCTATAGTTAAAAGATCATATTTTAACATACAAGTTGATTGCTAATGACTCTGTGGTCGAGTGACATGAATTGATTCTTCTAAATGGGAGATCATGGGTTCAAGCTCTTAGTGGGAGCGATATTGATTATTTGTGACTACGGTGCTATTTTTACATAACAACAACAACAAACTTGATTAAAATAAAAAATAACAAATGACACTTTCACCACCTAAATGAGTTTTTTCCACTTTTGGTCCCTCGACTTTACTTGTGGTGACAAATGGGATTCACGACTTTTATTCCGGACATAATAGGTGCTCAACTTCAATTTTTTTTCCACATTTGGTCCCATCCGACCAAGAACCCGGCCAACCCACCGGAATTAGACTCAACCCTTGTTATGTTAAGGGTATTCTACTCATTTCTAACCCATGTAAAATAATTAAATATTTTACCCGGTCAACCCACCGGAATTAGACGACCTTCATCTCCACCAGCCATAGCTTTGGCGCCACTTGAAGAATTTCCACCATTAACGTTACTCTTGCTTTTACCAGTCTGATTCCCCCTCCCTTTCCCCTCTCCACCCTATACCCTGCTTCACTCCCGATCTTCTTTACCTTCTCCTCAACCTCTCCTACCTCGGAATTTGTGGTGAATCTCATTTCTTTCTTGTTCAATCCCGCCTGGAATAGCCCTGATAGATCCAACCGGGAGACATTGAAATGATATCGAATGCGTTCATTTTGGTCAAGTGTTTGCAATCTTTGTCGAACTCTTGGTTCCCGAATTGATGTTCGTCTGTCAAATCTATCACTGATGATGACTTCTTGAACCACGGGAGCTTCATCAGTTCCTCGATGGACATTCTGGTTACCGGATTGGGATCGAGCAGTCGGAAAATTATGCTCCGGGTGGGCTTTGTGATCCAATCCGGGAACTGAAACGCGCGGCTTCGTATTGCACGGTACATGTTTGATATATTGCTGTCGTCGAATGGGAGGTACCCTGCGAGGTAGGCGAAGAGGATGACGCCGCAAGACCACGCGTCGGCCTTGGCGCCGTCGTAGCCTTTTCTGATCATCACCTCCGGGGCGGTGTAGGCCGGAGTACCGCACGCGGTGTGGAGGAGGCCGTTCCGGATCTGCTCCGGCAGCGCGGAGAGGCCGAAATCGGAGATCTTGAGCTTGCCGTCCTTGTCGAGGAGGAGGTTCTAGGGCTTGATGTCACGGTGGGCGACGCCGTTCTGGTGGCAGAAGTGGAGGGCGAAGACGAGCTGGTGAAAATAATACCTCGCCGTGCGAAGAAATATCTTCCTTCTTCGCACACCTTCGATTTGAACATAGATAGGCGAGAATGAGGTGTATATACAGAATAAATCTTATATTTAATTATTTTACATGGGTTAGAAATGACTAGAATACCCTTAACATAACAAGGGTTGAGTATAATTCCGGTGGGTTGGCCGGGTTCTTGGTCGGATGGGACCAAATGTGGAAAAAAAATTGAAGTTGAGCACCTATTATGTCCGGAATAAAAGTCGTGAATCCCATTTGTCACCACAAGTGAAGTCGAGGGACCAAAAGTGGAAAAAACTCCCACCTAAATTATTTCGCTTTGAGAAATTTGGCCCCCCTATAAGTTAATTTAAACAAATTCAGCCTATTAATAATGTTGCATTTTTAATTAGTCATTAATGTTATATAATTGTCAAACTTCATTAACATATGATGATTTTTTTAATCATTTAGAATCAATATTCACTAATAAAAATGTCGTTCACACGGATAGAATGAAACCTTAAGGATGCATATTAATTCTAAATGATAAAAATAACCTCATAAAAAATTATTTATAAAATTTGATAATTATATAACATTAGAGACTGAAAGTACAACATAATTGACAATTAAAAGAATAAATTTGTTTAAATAAATTAACAAGGATCACATTTCTAAAAGTATAACAATTGAAGAGTTACATTTTTTTTTTCAAAAATAAAAATAAAATTGAAACCCACCATACCACATTTGGCAAAGTGAAGTGACGACTTACAAACTTGTAGGCCACTTGTCATCTTATTAAAAACAAGGTACGGTATCATTTTGGTAGACTTCATCTTTTGAGGATAAACATACTCTAATGTTAACATATTCAGTACAAATAATGATTGAATGCAAAATTGATTATCAAATTAGATTAATTTGAATTGAAAAATGAAGGGGAAAAGAGTTATAAGTACTTTTTGTCTCACACTAGAAATATAAAAGCATTTACAACCCTATATATACAAAAGTCTTCTAAAAATAGTTTGATATCATAAAAATTATAGCCAAATAAGATTTTAAGAATATTGTAGGTATCAAATAACTCAAACTAATATTTTTCAGGATTAGAAAAAAAAATACTACATTTATATTTTAAAATTTTTATTATATGCAAAAACTCTTGATCTAAATACCTTTTTAAAAAAATTCCCACATTGAAAATATTTTATTACGGAGTTTTATTTATCTTATTGAGAAGTGGAAATTGAAAATTTGTGTAGCAGTAAAAGCTAAAGTAGAAGGATGGTAAATACTCCGTAGTAAGTAACAAACTCGAGGGTAATTCCAAATATACACGTAAGCAGTGAACACGCGCCAGCGCTTGAGGCTGACATTCTTGAAAGAAGCTCATCGATGAGGATGGAGTGAGCAAAGCCGAAGAACCCCAAGTCTTGAAATTGGAAAAAGACTGCGTTTTTACAATTTCCGGATCTGTGGGCACCCCATTAAGCTTCATGATTTTTATTAATTTTTTCCCCGTTGAATTGTTGAATCCAATCATTTCTCAAATTTAATTCTGTAATACAGCCACCCTCATCAATCACCTTTTTATTGTCTATTAAATTCGAATTCTACGATCATGATGATCATCCACTCGCACATACGTGGAAAAAGCCCAGAGATTTCTGGGTGTCTTACCCGGATTTTGGTTTACTCTCGCACTACATTCGTTCTTGTTTTCCGAATAGAACAGACTGTAAAAGTGGATGATAAAAGGAATTATAATAATAATAATTGTTTTTACTTTTTTTTTTTTGCTCGCGTTTGTTTTGGTTCGTGTTTTTGATGTGTTAATGTTTGACTCTGTGGCGTGTATGGGTAATGTAATTGTCACTGCTCCAAAGCTGACACAGCCTCCCAAATTATTCGTAAGAGTAGAAAAGATTTATATTTATATTTTCGTTTTTTGTTTTTTGTTTTTTAATATTGAGTACTCTTTTTGGGGTATTTGATTTTAACGGTTGTTGATTGTGAATTTTATTATCACAACTAAGAGATGGATAGATATATGTGAAAGAAAGATTCTTAAATCACCGTTTTTTTGTTCTTTTCTTTTCTATTTTCCTTTTTCCACATTGATTGGATGGATGGGTGGATGGATGGTTAGATTTTTAAGAATAGGGTATTAGGGTTTCTTTCATTCCTTACTCGTACGCATTCTTTTTGTGGATTTGGAGCTTCCAAGTGACGTGGACCCTCGATCGTTGTTGATTTCTCCTTTTGGGTTCTTCGGATTCCTCTGTTTTCTCATCTGGGTCGGTGAGTTTATGTGCTATTCACCTTCTGACTTGTTTGATTTTGCTTGTTTTTGTTCGATTTCCTCCTCTGCGTTTGGGAATTTTCCTTATTTTGCTTGCCTCTGAGGTTATACTGTTCTGGGTTTGCGGAGTAATTTGTTCATTGTGTTCTTCTTGTTAGATTAGGGTTTTACTATGGTTTCTGAAGCCTTTTGTTATCTTTACTTCTGCTTCAGGAGTTCAAGGGAGTCTTGGTGGCATGGTGATTGGTTATGCAAGTCCAGGATTCTATATTGGGTTTGAGTAGCTTTGGAGTGTTTGATGTAGCAGAAATTGCAGATTTCCATACTCTCACATCATAAAGTGAGGAGCTTGATTGGTTCTGTAGTTCAAACAAGTTGGCAGTCAGGAGACAACATCTGATGTATTCTGTTCAAGGGACTTCCAAACATAGTTGCAGTCTCCTTGCAGTTGTGTGTGGTAGAGCTGCTGAAAATATATACAAGCAAGATGTTGCAGATGAGAGGCCAGGATATCCCACTTCAGAGATAGCATCATCTGGTCGTTTGGAGGTGTGAATTTTATTTATTTATTTATTATTATTATTATTTTTTGAATTACCTTGTTTGGATTTGTAGCTTTCAGTGCTGAGACGAGTTTGTATTAACAAATTGTTTTAATATAATATAGTTATCTTGCTAACAATAGTTTTTCGCTAAGTGCAGGTTCAACTTCTAAAAAACCCAAGCACAGATGAATTTCGTAAGGCTCTGGATACAGTGAAGCCAAACATAGTCTTTTTGCAAGGAGATCAGCTTCCAAACGATGAATTTAGTTCACTAGTATGGGAAGGTTTTAACTTGTCTTCTGAAGAAGCCATTTCTGGGCTTTCAAGTGCCAGATCACTAACCACAGTATGTTACTCCATTCTTCCTTCCTTCCTTCCTTTCCGATAACTGTTTGTATGTTTACCTACTTTCAGAGATTTCCTTTACCCCCCTTGCAAGCAGAACGTTTCTTGATGGAACATTGTATTAAATTGATTCTAAAAGTAGTTTAAGAATTTAGTTTTTTTTAGTACCAAGATTAATCTTTGTTTATAATGCCTTTAAAATATTAGCTGTATGGTCTATTTCAATGTCCTTCTAAAATGTATATTGTAGTTTTATGATTCTGGGGTGCTTTCCGTCATGCATTATCTTTTGGTACTTTGTTATGTGGGTACTTTGATAGAATGTATATTTGCTCCTATCCTCTATTATCAACTTACTGGATCAATGTTATGCTTTGTTGTTTTATATTTTTCTTGATCTTCTTACTCTCCCCAGTTTTCCCGAGGCTATTTGATTGCATGTGGATAACAGGGCAGAACTTTCTTGTTTCTGTCTTATTATGAGTGTCCAGGACTCCAGGAACAGAAATAATTTGATATAAATCATGATTCCTTGGGTATTTCTATTGTTTTATAAGTTTCAGAGTCACTGTTTTCCTAGGTCTTGATTTTATTGCATATTAAAAACTCATCCAGGTTTACTTGGAGATCCCAGAAGGAGAAGAATTGGCTGAGGCTCTTCACTCCAAGGTAACAACCAATCATTATTCAGTTCTTCAACGGGAATATGTGGAGCAGTGATTAGGATCAAGCAAACTGCTTAGTTTATAACCATATATGGTTTTTCTGTTGATTCATTTGCTATATAAATGTTTGCAGGGAATTCCATATGTGATATATTGGAAGAAAACGTTTTTCCATTATGCTGCCTGCCATTTTCGCCATGCAATGTTCTCAGTTCTTCAGAGGTAATCTTGCATTCTTGCATAAATTTTTAAAAAATTCAGGGTAAGTGGCATAAAGAATTTATGCCATTTCTGATATCATGATCTGTACAAATTCCCGAATTAAGTATTCTACATTTGTTCTTAATATTGTTTTTTTTGAGGAATTGGTTTCTTCCACACTTTCAATCACTCCAAGAGCTATGTACAATCGAACAATTTACTTATAAGTTTTTGAATCTTATTGTCCTCTACTAATTGTTTTTAAACTCTTCTGTTTACTGCAGTTCGTCTTGTCACACTTGGGATGCTTTCCAACTAGCACATGCTTCATATATGCTCTATTGCGTTCTCCCGGATAACAGCCAAACGGTTAGTGGTAAGGTGGTCCCTCTTATTCTTGGAGACCCTCCGAAGATCGATGTTCCTCCACCAGAGCTAGGTGGTGAAGATGAAGAAGAAGGCTCCTCTGAAGCTCTTCCTGCCATTAAGATCTACGACGAAGATGTGACCATGAGGTTTCTTGTTTGTGGAATGCCACGCTCATTGGTAAGAGAAATAGACAGTTTTTTCTTGTTTCCGTTTTTTACTATCTATTACTTCGACTGTGAATTCAATAATTCATTGCTTCAGTGTAGAACTTATTTGTTCACGATGTGGATTATTTTCTTCAGGATACTTGTCTATTGGAATCTCTGGAGGATGGCCTTAATGCCATTTTAAGCATAGAGGTGAGTAGCATTATTAAGATTCTTATTTAATCTTGCATTCTCCCTTCTTCGCCCCCCTCCTTTTCCAGATAAATAAAGGGAAAATGTATTTATATGGAAAAATGTCACGTGATTGAACATTCATAAAACAAATTAAAAAGGTTAATGTGCGTAGTATCTCTTAAATAAACGAGGAAGAATGAATCTCACAATTGATTTTGTTACTGAACCTATTTTTATTTGTTTATTTTTTCTGTTTACAGATGCGGGGGAGCAAACTCCATAATCGTGTCAGGTATATTCCATCAAACTATTCTTATTTTTATTTTTCCTTAGAAGTCCATGGAAAGTTGGGTTATCCAATATTCTGAACATAATGATGTGGTAGTCCAAAAAATGGTCAAATCCCGTTAATTGCTACTAAACTAAACCTGTGTACAGTGCCCTTCCACCGCCACTCGAGGCAAGTACGTTTTCTCGTGGAGTGGTGACCATGCGATGTGATCTATCAACAACTAGTTCAGCTCATATCTCGCTTCTGGTGTCAGGCAGTGCTCAAACATGCTTTGATGATCAGGTAATGCCAGCACCGTTTACTTATTAAAAAAATAAAAATTTCTTGTACAAAAAACTTAAAAAATCAACAATATTATCATCTCATTATTCATGTTCTCTCATATTCATTTTCAGCTTTTGGAGAATCACATAAAAAGTGAAATAATTGAAAAGACTCGACTGATTCAAGCAGTGCCAAACGGTGATGAGAGACGAATGCATTTGTCTGAACCCCGAAGATCCGTTTCAATAGCCTGTGGTGCAGCAGCTTTTGAAGTTTGCATGAAGGTTCCTACATGGGCTTCACAGGTTCGTTCTAAATCTGAATGCTTTTTCTTTTAACCTTCCCTTCTTCCTCCGATATAGGCTTTAAATGGTCCACACTCTTCCCGGTTTAGGCTGTATGACTTGGAATTTTAGTTGAGTAAACCCCTTTCCAGGTTCTAAGGCAACTTGCACCCGATTTTTCATTTCCAGGTTCTAAGGCAACTCGCACCCGATTTTTCATATCGTAGTTTAGTTGCACTTGGTATTGCCAGCATTCAGGGAATAGCCGTTGCCACATTTGAGAAAGAGGATGCAGAACGAATCGTTTTCTTTTGCTCAGAGCCGGGGAAGGATCTCCATTCTAGTAGTTTTAACGCAATCACCCCCCCAATCTGGTTAAAACCGCCTGCTCCTAGCAGAAAGAGGCCTCGTATGTGCCAAGAAACGAGCCGTTACCCCCAAAGGGATCATGATGGAGTAGCAAATGGGCTTGCAACACCTACGGTTCCCGCTAGACAAAAACTGAAAGCGGCAGCAATGAGGCCCATTCCCCATATCCGTCACCGAAAAATGCTTCCCTTTTCTGGAATGTCAGAGGCGGAGGCACATGACAGACACCCGGTTAAATCTAATTTCCCCGTAGTTCCTTCAACGAAGGCCAGTAACGTTGGAGTTACTCCTGTTACTCATCGCAAATCAGTGTCGAGCTCTCATCAGGCAAAGCAAATTATATCTCTCAATCCCCTTCCTCTGAAGAAGCATGAATGCGGTAGAAGCCCAATACATGTTTGCTCCGAGGTAAGAAAACGTCGGTTCTGAGTTTCAATAGGAATGTCCTTGAAGATTACAATTGATGTTCTCTGACCTTACTAACGTTATTCTCTTTTTAACTACCCTTTTCTCTTGCAGGAAGAATTCCTTAAAGACGTAATGCAGTTTCTTATACTTCGTGGTCATACTCGTCTCATTCCTCAAGGTGGACTTGCCGAGTTTCCAGATGCTATACTCAATGCCAAGCGTCTTGACTTATTCAACTTGTACAGGGAGGTGAGCTTTCTTTTCATTGTCCTAAAGTTTTTGTTTTATTTTATTTTTAGGCCGGGAGTTCAAACCGCCCCTCGTATGGAAAAACTAATCTGACCAGCACTTTGCCCCTTAAATGGGCCGGCCCGGTGCGAACCGGGATTAGTCTGAGTATGGTATAGGCTTAAAGGTGCCTTCTGCAGTTAGGGCCTGCTCAAGACACCTATGGTCTGACCAAAAAAAAAGATTTTTTTTTTCTTCCTTGTTTCCACTGATCAACTTGCTAATAAACATCAATTTAATTGTAACTGGAATCTAAATATTCCATCAGGTTGTTTCTAGAGGCGGTTTTCATGTTGGAAATGGCATAAATTGGAAAGGACAAGTTTTCTCAAAGATGCGCAATCACACGGTGACAAATAGAATGACTGTAAGTACATAACAACTTGAGTGAAACATAGTAACTCGTGATAGTGTTGCGTACTTTTGGATTCCAACTACCAACATGGAAGGTAATTCCATTTGATTTCTCGAACAGGGTGTTGGAAATACGCTTAAAAGACATTACGAAACTTACCTCCTGGAGTACGAACTTGCCCACGATGACGTTGATGGAGAGTGCTGCTTGTTATGTCACAGGTCAATATCAATATTCATCGATCAAATATATAAGTATATGTTGACAAATATGACGACGATTGAACCCTAACATTACTGTGCATTTTGAATCCTCTACAGTAGTGCAGCTGGCGATTGGGTTAACTGCGGGATTTGTGGCGAGTGGGCACATTTCGGTTGCGATAGGCGGCCTGGACTTGGCGCCTTCAAGGTATTTCTTACTCTACATACACTCTTCTCTCCAACTAGTTCTTCCTAGAAAAGAAAAGAAACATATTTCTCGCTGTTTTGACAATGCAGGATTACGCAAAGACAGATGGACTAGAATACATATGTCCTCAGTGCAGCATATCGAATTTCAAGAAGAAAATTCAGAAAACGACGAATGGCTATTCTTGAGGAGGCCTAACACGACAACCCGGTTTCCGGGGTTTAACTAATCCTGATTCTTGTCTAAATTTTATTTTGCTATTTTTTTTTTTTGTTCTGCCTCTCTGCATAGTTAGATCTTCTTGTTACTGCGTAGAGTCATGTGATATTTAGGGCATAGGTAAGTTTAAGCTGTTGGGGACAAATAGTGGAAAGTAGGGAAAATAGAAGCAAGAAAGTGAAAAAAGTGTAACAGCAAGGATGAGTGAGTGAGTGGTGTAATATATATATCCATAAACCATTTTGTAATTGTAGCTTTATCAGTGTAGTTACTAGTTAATGCACATTTCTCTGAGTTATACCATGGACCAGGGTCTATTGTAAGGTGGAGGTGGATTCTGGTCCTAAACGACGTATAAATTGTGTATTTTTAGTAATGGAATTGTGAAATTTTAAAATATAAATTGTGTTTCTAAGTCAAAACACATTACAATACAAGGTTATTAAATCTTAATTTGTTAATATTGTGTGGCTGCAGTATTTGAAAAGAACTTGTGAATATAAAACAAGGTAATTATTACATATATGTTAACATTGTGTTTGTAGTATACAAATTGTGAATTTATAAAAGATAAATAGTGAACATTTGAATCTGAATCAATAGAATAATTTAATGTATAAATTGTAAACATTTGGATCTGGATCAACAGAATAATTTGTGCATTCTCCTTTCTACATCTCTTTCCACTTTGGGTTTAAGGATGTTGTTTTTTTTTTTTTTTTTTTTTTTTTTTTTTTTTTTTTTTTTTGAATAGAAGAAATATAATTAAAAAACCGATATGGTATCACCCCATTCCAAGACCAAGAATCAACATTGTCGGCATTTCTTGTAGATGGTCCCCCACCACCTCATTGCATAGTTCATCTCATATGATTATGGATCAAACATTTTGTTCAACTTTACACGTACCATATTCTATAAAGTTCATTAACCCTACAAAATGGATTTTTTTTTTTAAATGAAAAAAGTATCCATCATTATATGGGGTATGCGTTAGATACATTCTACTTCTATGTAATAATTTTTAAACTACGAAAAAGATATAAACAATATTATGGCCTATGAAAATCGATGTGACGGGTTCAATCAAAAGGACATTGACAATAATTAAATTCGTAATATTTAAGTACGAGAATCATATTGCACCAGCTTAGCCCTGTTTTAGTACATGAATCATGCTATTTTAACTACAGTATATTATATGTTAAGTGTTGATACAACTCCCTATTTAATACCTTCCTTTTTTGCTTTAATCTATTTTTCAAAGCAAAAAGTTAAAGCAGATGACGATGATGATGAGGAGGAGTGCAAGAAACTAAGAACCTTCGCGAGTTAAAATTTTTCAAAGAGATAAACACTTGAAGTTTTGAATACAAAATTTCCATATGGTTTCCACTAAAATTAAGTGGTAAGAGAGAGCAAATTAAACAAAAAGGAAAAGTTGGATCCAATATTTTACATCACTTATAAAGTTGTAATCATGATCTTGATTCATAATTGGATTTGTGGCATTCTTTATGAATGCCAATTTTGATCTAAAGTGTATGTGAATATAATGTTCATTCACCTCTTAGTCAAACTAGGAAAACACATAACTTGTGTTGGCCCCTTAGTACAATGTGTCTTGTCATTGTCTATTTTTTTTTAAACTCTGTTATAATATACAGTATTTGCTCATAACTACTTTCTCAATCTACTGAAACACAAAGAGTCAATATTGTCCATTGAGACTCGAATTCACAGCCTTTTATATAGGAGAGCGTAGTGCCACTAGACCACAAAGTTCTTGACATCTATATAATAAATTAATATTATTGTATGGGCATAATAGGCAAAAGTGTCGACCGGGTGAATCGACAACCAACTCTAATTTTTCCTTTGATGAGTATTTTCTATACCGTTTAACCACAACGTCTTTGGTTCTCCCTATCATACTCGTTTAGGGCTTTACCCCCTTTGATATATTGCATTTGAATTGAAGAATTGATAGTCGAAGTCCAAACACACAACTTAACCACACATCCAATTACGTACATACCCATCATTGCTTGGCCTACCATAATTAAAGACCTTCCCGGCCTTCCAATATTGCAATGATCGATGTCGACAACTCCAAATTACTCCCGCCAATCATGACCGTCAATCCTTTTTATTTTCTAATATAATGTTATCAAACACTATACTATATAATTTCTTTTTAGCTAGCTTGGTCACTATTAATTATTACTTTCTTTTTATACCATGATTCAATATTATGTCATGATAACAGTAAGACTTGAATGGCTAACCAAAATGTAGTACGTAAACGTTTAGAAAATATTAAATGTTGTAGTACAATGTTAGGTTAGTGGTACTACTCCTATCATCATTATTATTATTATTATTATTATTATTATTATTATTATTATTATTATTATATATATATACTACTAATGACTAGGTTTTTGTACGTACAATGTTTGAAGTGTCAATAAACACCCTAACATGAATTTTTTTTTTTAACGGTTCACTTGTGTGTCAATCATGCACAACCATGCATATAGTTCATGTAGAAAATTGTCTCCCTATGTATGTGTTTGATAAAATACGTCCAATCTATTATCAAACATTGTCTAATAGCTTCAAGCAAATGATATTGCAGATCTTGAATGCTTGAAACAAATTTCATTTTATTACATAAAATAGAAAACAATAAACAAAATCCTTTATTACAACGAAGTATAAGTCGGATACATAGTTCAAATTTCTACCATAATTTTTAGAAGTGAAAAGGTAATTAATTTTGTTTGATATATTTTAATATACACAGACATTATTTTTAATAATGTAACAATAATTTCATTTTATAAAAAATAAATAGTGCAGTACAATATTTATTGTGTAATGTATAACTTCATAAATTCAAAACTGCAAATACAATTTATGGAATGGAGTGTAGTACTCAAGAAATAAAAAATCGTTAATTCACATTTATTAAGCTTATATATCAAGTAATAAATGAAGAGTTGCATTAAAGGGGTAGTATGGCAACACGGGTAGTTTTGTTTTTTTGTTTTGTTTTTTTGTTTTTTTTTTTAATGCTATTTGTTACTATGTAATGCATGCAAACCTCACAAGAGAGATAGATCACATTAGAAAAACTCTGTATAATAGATTTATTAGGATCAAATACATACCAATACGCCAAAATTGTAACGAAGATGCAACTTTATTTTCTTATACCGTCATATTTTTGAGAGACAGGATACTGTACTTGACCCTTCATGTCTCTACCCAACAATCTTCTAACCACTAAATGCTGGACTTGACCCTTCACTGGGTTCCGCCACCAACAAAACTTGATTGAAAATATCAAATATTAATAAGAATCAAACTTATAAATTTTTACTACGAAAATTATGCTTCACTTACTAAGTCACCTTTTCAGGACGGAGAGGGTGAAGTTTTAGTGGGCGTGCGACGTGCGTGGTGGTGGTATGTCTCTCCGGAAATGAGAAGAAAAGTGATAGGTGGAGAGTGGAGACAGAAACCCTAGATTGACTATTAGTCAAATCTACACTCTTTCACTCAATGATATGTATTATATTTGTCATCACATTCACAACATCGTTAGTTGTACATGACGTGAGTCGGTGTTTACTTGCATTATATATATATTTTTAAATTACGAGATGGTCCGAGTCTTTCTCTGTTCGTTTAACAGTCTAAGTTCACTCGATTAATCTCCACTCGTTTCGGGAAGCACGAGAGCTGGTGCAAAAGGAATCGTCACTTGTGAGAATCGAATCCGAGTTATCTCAAAATTCTTCATCACAAAGAAAGCTTATTTGTCACTTGAGGTTACTTGCATTATGTTATATCGCTGCGTATGAAATGATGATTAGAGTTGCGAAATATATGGCACTAGTCGACCGACCAAGTCGAGTATTAATGCTAAATATTATGTAAAGTCAAAAGATTATTTATGATATAATTGAAAATCAAATGATAAAAATTAATAAATATCAATACTCAAGAGATCATTCATGGAGTTAACTCAGTATTCATTTATTATTGATTATTCTTCCAAAAGGCTGAACCCCAACCTTAAGGGCCCCCCACACCCCGGCCCGACAGAGCAGTGGGAGATTGTAAATTATGGTGACTCAACTGAACATTAATCACAGAGGCTAGACCGGTGCTCACTGCGCACAAGGAGCCCCCTTCACTTTGAGAGGTTGCTCCCACACTGCCGCTGGTGAGACTCGATCCCTGGTCATTCTTCCAAAGTTTCACCTCTATTATTGATTATTAGTAAGATGTCATGTTGTGGGAGGAAATTTCCATTATTAGTACTCCTTAGTTTATATTAAAGATTTAATGTAAGTAATTATTTTGGTAATATTTGATCAGATAAGATCACACGTGCAACTGCTCTGATTTACATAATATAGTATTATAGTATATTGGTTTTCACAATATTTTATTGGGCAGTATATACGTACATAGAAGAAAGAATCAGACCAAAATGAAGAAATAAAAATACAATTTATTAAATGACAAAAAACATATCCGACACCACCAGAAATGTATCAGTGCCTAGACTGCATCACAATTATAAAATGTCTCTTCCTAATAACCACTGTCGATCTTACATATAACTAATTAATTAATGGTGCATGTATCTTTTTTACCATTTGCCCAAGTTTTAATCCAAAGAGGTATGACTGGTAAATTCCGTTTATGTGTAATACTCCATAGCATATTAGTTAAACATGAAAAGTAAATCGAATTAAAAAAACTTTGTGTTTGACCTGACTCAGTAATAGTCCAAAAATCACTTAAGTGAGATCGCACTAAAAAGACCCTATGAAGTATACTCGACTGAGAAAATATTGACAAAAATCAAATTATTGATCTTATGATATAATAATTATGTTACAGCCACTTAATCACTTTTTTGGAATTTTCAAATCATTTTCTTAACTTTATATTTAAACGGCCTTCAACACAAAGATATGGAAAGCATGTTTCATAAATCGTCTAACAAAAGATAAAACGAATATTAATAAATTTCAATCTTATCATATCTTAACTTTTTAATCCAGCTAAGGCTTCTCGAACTATAATACAAAATATATATAGTCATAAAGATTAGTTTTATGTTTCTGTAAAAATAATTTGTGCTGTAAAAGAACAAACTAAAAAAACGGAGTACGAAGCGAAAGAGACTGGCCACCGAAAAGCGAATGATATAAAATAGAGATAGAGGACAGTTTGGTAGCATTAAAGCGAATGCACCAAAAAGTCCACATTATTTCCAAAAGGACCTACTAAATTCCAAACAATCCCTTAAATCACCGAAATCCCTATCGAATCCAATTCTTCACTCTCGATCTCCTAATGTCTCATCCTCAACAATGTCCGCATCTCATCCCCTTCCCACGTTACCAATAAATTGACTTAACTTGCTATTAATTTTATGACCTAAGTAGTCAATGATTGATCAATATAGTTGGTCATAGACAATAAATAATTTTGTTATTGTTAATCAAGTATTATTTTTGCATATAACAACACTAAGAATGCAAATGACTAAAGTCTAGCTAAACTCGAATTTAGGTTAGAGTTTGAGATTGAAATGGTTATAATGATCCACTCGAGCTCAATCAAACTTACAAATTTATACACGAGTTTGGCTTGTTACTTTTTATGACTCACGAGTAATTTGATGAGTTGGGCCATCAATGTTTTAAACTTGAACTCAACCCGATTACTTAACAAGTTACCTCTAGTTTGACTTTAAATTTGACCAAATTAGAACTAATTAACTCTTTAACATGACGTACACATATAAGAGTCCGGGGATGTAACTCTTTGAAAAAGCAACCTCAATTGTATGAAATTTTCATTGAGTTTTCACGTGTCTGGTCGCGTGTAGGTGCGCTCGACATACACCTGCAAGATTTCTTCAGTTTTTATTAAACATTAATGGATCCCGCATAAAACTAAAATTTACAAAAAATAAATAAATCATACTCATAGTTTTTGATCGATAAAAACCAGCAAAAAAAATCCTAATGAGGTTGCTCTAAGAGCAAGGAAATCAACATCATAAAAACGCGTCTACGCGCCCGAGTGGGCGCTCATTGTGCGCCTCACGTGCAAAACCTACTACTTTTTTTCTGGTGAGGCGCCGCTCATTGTGCGCCTCACGTGCAAAACCTACTACCACTAAAGAAATCTTTCATTTCCCGACGAAAATTTTAATGACGCTCTAGAAAACGTCGCTAAATATAACAATTTGTGACGATATATTAAATAACGTCACTATATATTTTGGTAGAGACAATAATTTTTTTTTTTGGTAATATTTGTTGACAAAATATAATTTTGTTGTCAGTAAATATATAGAATCAATGACGTTTTATAATAAACATCTATAAATGTTTTATTTAAAAAATCAATTTTAACATAAAACGTCAGGAAAAGTGAAAATATTTTTGCAGGAAAACTATTTATCCTTTGGCGCGATCTCATATATAAAATTTTACAGCCACAAATATTCCTCATTTACTCTAGTGAACCTTCCTTTTCTCCCAGTCAACCAGTATTACTCTCTTTGTCTCTCAATCTCTCCGTCTCTCGCAAACCCTAAAATCCTCTCAATCTCTCCGTCTCTCGCAAATCCTAAAATCCTAATCGCAAATCGCAACCCTCTCTGGCTTCTCTCCCTCGCTCTGTCTCTTAATCTCGTCAGTAAAGACATTTAGTGACACATTTTTATTTTTACCAACGTTTAAAAAACGTCGCTAAATGTTAATATTCTTGTAGTGTACTTTTCTTCTGGTGAGGCGCCGCTCATTGTGCGCCTCACGTGCAAAACCTACTACTTTTCTTCTGGTGAGGCACATTATACCTGCAAAAATTAAAGAAATAGTATGAGCACCTTAAACACCTTCCCTGGTCTCTCCTCCCTCTCCCACCTCCACATATACATTGTTATCTCAAAATTCACACTAAAATACACTAGTGTTGATGCTCTAAATCTAACCATTATAAGGAGTATTAATCATTCATTGTCCCCAAACACAGCTTTAACTTATTAATCTATCATTATTCTTGATTGTGGGAGAGCTATCAAAAATCAATGTTAGGGTGTATGAATTGTACATGAATTATAATTGGATTTGTCAATCAAAGATTAAGACGACACGCTTTACAGCGGTGTCACGTACTGTAGTAAAATATGTTGTTTCTCATCATGTGAGTTTCACTGCAGTAGCGCACTATTATCATTGTTTTTATTATTATTGCTGCCCATTTCACTCATTTCTATGCTCTCTAATGGCGATTTCTTCTCTTTCTCCAGTTAGTACACTTGTTCTTCTGCTTTCTTGTTTTCTTTCCTTATTACTTCTCTCGTCGGTTTTAGCCACCGGAGATGGAAGGAAAACGTTCATCGTTCACGTTCAGCGGGATGCTAAACCTTCGGTGTTTCAGACCCACGAGCACTGGTACGAGTCTTCACTCAAGACTCTTTCCGCCGGCGCCGATGACGACGGGGGTGGGGCCAATCGGATGATATATTCGTACGGCAATGTTTTTCATGGGTTTTCTGCGAAGATGTCTGCGTGGGAAGCTCAAAAGCTGGAGTCTTTGCCGGGGATTCTTGCGGTCATTCCGGAGCAAGTTAGGCGTTTGGAGACAACCAGGTCGCCGGAGTTTCTTGGGTTGACGAGGACGGACAGTGCTGGGCTGCTGAAGGAATCGGACTTCGGGTCGGACCTGGTTATTGGAGTTATAGATACTGGGATCTGGCCGGAGAGGAAGAGTTTTAGCGATGAAGATCTCGGGCCGGTGCCGGCGAAGTGGAAGGGTGAGTGCGTTGCCGGGAGGGGTTTTCCGGCGAGTTCTTGTAACCGGAAGCTGATTGGAGCGAGGTATTTTTTTAGCGGGTATGAAGCCACCAATGGGAAAATGAACGAGTCAACGGAGTACCGGTCTCCGCGAGACTCGGATGGGCATGGGACCCACACCGCCTCAATCGCCGCCGGCAGGTACGTATTTCCGGCGTCCACCCTAGGATACGCCCGCGGCGTCGCTGCTGGGATGGCTCCCAAGGCTCGCCTCGCCGTTTACAAAGTGTGCTGGATATTAGGCTGTTTCGACGCCGATATTCTCGCCGCATTTGACTACGCCGTCGCTGACGGCGTCGACGTTATCTCTCTCAGCGTCGGAGGAGTTGTGGTGCCGTACTACCTCGACGCAATTGCTATCGCCGCATTTGGCGCCTCAGACGCCGGAGTTTTCGTCTCCGCTTCCGCCGGGAACGGCGGCCCCGGTGGCCTCACAGTTACCAACATCGCGCCGTGGGTTACCACTGTCGGAGCGGGAACAATCGACCGTGACTTCCCGGCAGACGTGCAGCTAGGAAACGGAAAAATATTCCCCGGAATGAGCATCTACGGCGGCCCTTCTTTAACTCCTCACCGGCTTTATCCGCTAATCTACGCCGGAAGTGTCGGAAGTGACGGTTACTCGTCTTCACTGTGTCTTGACGGCTCTTTAGACCCTAACGTCGTTAACGGAAAAATAGTGTTATGTGACAGAGGTATCAATTCAAGAGCGGCGAAAGGGGAAGTGGTGAAAAGAGCCGGCGGAATCGCAATGATTTTAGCTAACGGCGTTTTTGACGGCGAAGGCTTGGTCGCTGACTGCCACGTGTTACCGGCAACGGCGGTGGGAGCAGCCGCCGGAGATGAAATAAGGAAATATATAAGCGTTGCTTCAAAGACCAAATCTCCACCAACCGCCACCATACAGTTCAGAGGGACCCGGCTCAATGTCCGGCCCGCACCCGTTGTGGCCTCATTCTCTGCCCGCGGGCCCAATCCGGAGACACCCGAAATTATCAAGCCCGATGTGATAGCTCCCGGGCTGAACATCCTCGCCGCTTGGCCCGACGGAGTCGGGCCGAGCGGAATCCCATCGGATAATCGCAGAACGGAATTCAACATTTTATCCGGCACCTCCATGGCCTGCCCTCATGTTTCCGGTCTAGCCGCGTTGCTAAATGCGGCCCACCCGGACTGGAGCCCGGCGGCGATCCGGTCCGCCCTGATGACGACGGCGTACACCGTCGACAACCGCGGCGAAGCAATGACGGACGAAAGCACCGGAAACTCATCCACCGTGATGGATTTCGGCTCCGGCCACGTCCACCCCCAGAAAGCCATGAATCCCGGCCTGGTCTACGACATATCCTCGTACGACTACGTCGATTTCCTCTGCAACTCCAACTACACCACCAAAAACATCCACGTCATCACCAGAAAATACGCCGATTGCCGCGGCGCCAAACGCGCCGGCCACGTCGGAAACCTCAACTACCCGTCATTCTCCGCCGTTTTCCAACAATACAGCAAGCACAAACTCTCCACCCACTTCATAAGAACAGTCACCAACGTCGGCGACCCAGACTCCGTCTACACCGTTTCCATCAACACCCCGCCCGGAACAACGGTGACGGTGGAGCCGGCGCGGCTGCCATTCCGACGAGTGGGCCAAAAACTCAACTTTCTCCTCCGGGTACAAACAGAAGAAGTGAAACTATCGCCGGGAAATTCCCGCGTCAGCAGTGGATCAATAACTTGGTCCGACGGAAAACACCAAGTTACTTCCCCAATAGTTGTCACATTGCAACAGCCACTCTAATCGACATTCCCGGGAATAGATCTATTCCATGAAATGGTATTAGTCATCTATTCCACGAACCAAACACGGTTTAAGGTTCATATGTGTTATATATATATATAATGTAGTATAAGCCCTGTGGACAGATATCAGACAGTACACTCTACTATCTGATCTGAGTTAGTAACTTTGTATTGGGTTTTCGTTTTGTAACAGTTCATAAGCTGAGCTGAGTTTGAGGGATGGATAATCTTTTCTTCTTTGTTGTAGAATGACAATGGATCTTTCAAGTATCTTGTGTAAAAAAAAATGTTGTTTTATGCTGAGACAAAGATCATGTCGTACGATGTTACCAGGCTTTCAATTTTTGTTTGTGGTTAAGACAGATAACGAAACACTTGTATCCCATGTTAATGGGTTGTGTTGATACTTGATACCATTTTACACTTTGTCAATTTAGGAAAATGGCATACAAAAACACATGAAATTAGATCTTAATTCATTTGGGCTTGGGGCAATATATGGCTTTTGATAAGCTGTATTACTCCGTATATACTATACAATATAATAAATATAATAAAGGTTACTAATGTTAAGGTTATAACGGAAATAAAAATGTATTAGTGTAATAGAATGCATTAAAGACTTGTTCCTTATAATCTCTCATCTTTTAAGTTTTTTCTTAACACTATTACATCTCATCGTTAAGTCATGATTAATTTGAATTAAAACTATGTTAATGTAATTGACTGCATCGATAACTTATACATTAGGCTTTCTTTATTGTACATTTACAAAAACTTTATAATTTTACCAATTTTCTTAATTTTGCCTACAACATTTCAATCCAAAAGATTTGGTATTTTTAAAAAACCTTTCTATGCTTTTTGTTGAACTGCATAATTTTCTATAGCATTGGTATATATAAAATTTTTAGCTTAAATATTGTGATTGTAAATATAGTCATTATATTATGGATTATATTTCATATGTAAGGTGGACCACTGACATAATATACATTTTTAAGCTATTAAAGATAAATTCTTTAAAGGTAAATTATTTAGTATATTGTCAAATAATGAACAATCAATACACAAATAATATAACTTTAATATATTAAAATGAACACATTTATTCATTACTCACATTATAATTTGCCAAATTCGAAAACCATTGTTATAGGCACCTTGGGCCCAACAATAATCTAGTGTAAAAGATTATGGGCCTGTTTTCCAGCCCAATGGTTGACTTGATTTTGCAAGGCCAGATTATGTTGATCCATTGGGCTTCTTCCGACTGGAAACCAAGTCAACACAAATCATTAACGTGTTTTCAACTAACAGTTTATGTGTATGTATATAAATAAATTGAATGCATATAACATGTTAACCAAGTTAGCATGGTGCGTATTATGCACGCGCCTTATTGAGCACGCTTTTGTGCTCAACACGCGAAAATGCCAGTTACTTTTTTCTTTTCTCTTTCAGCGCGGACTGCACTAAAAATCTAAATTTACAGGAAGGAAAACCAATGAAAAGCCATCTTCTCCATTTGTCAATAATCATCTACTTAAAATTTTCCTCTTGCAAAAAACAAGTCACTAATAGGGATGGCCTTAGATCAATTCATGGTCACCTACAGGTGCTAACTGCAACACGATGAGATAGAGTTTTACTACTTATACTTTCAAATCTTACTCCCTAATATGATTGGTTCTGATAATTTATTTTTTTCATGTGAGTCACAGTATAAATGTTTACATCAAAATTTTATGTGTAAAGTAAAAATTGAGAGTAGAAAATGAATGTACACGGATAAGAGCTGTGAAGATAGTTAATAATTTAACTTTATGAAGAATTATTATATATTGACAAGATAGTTTTAGTCCAGGTTTGATTATTTACTATCAGGCTTGAGTTGTTTATAGTCACGTTGGTGAATGGTGATTGAACTGGACCTGGTAGGAGTGATAGGTGAACAGACTCAAGTGGACAACAATTTTGTGACGTCAACGTTTTAAATACCATAGATTCAGAGGAAAGACGAATAAACATGATGCGATTGAGGTGGGACATATGTTTTTTTGTCATGGGCAATTAATTTGGTTTAAATGGGCCAAGCCTGTTACTTTCCACTTGCCCAACTTGTTTTCAGAAATGATTTGATTGGGGCCCATCTTCATTAAAGAGTTAAATTTTATTTTTAAGGGGTGTTTTGTTCAAGTTATATATTTTTTCTAATGTTACTAACTCTATTACATTGTAGTATCTGGTTAAACATACTTTCTCAACCTAATGAAGTATAAAAAGTCAACAACATCTCCACTGAGGTTTGATCTTATGACCTCCCACATAAGAGAGGTCACTACATGCCATCTGAAGATTATATTTGCTTGGGAATATAAGATTATCATATTTGGTTCGGGTTATATAATTTTTTCAGAGAATGTCACGTAACTTTTACATTAAGTTTTTAGCAATTGGACAGAAATGTAAGATACCCTTCTTAGGTAATATCACATTCCATTGTCTTATTATAATTTTGGACTTTTGACATTTTAATCAATTTGTCTTGTTATTGTTGTTTTATTTGCATACCTTAGTTTTAAACCAAACACAAGAATCTAACATTCCCTAAGGTAATATAGTTTGTAGTTTTTAATTTCAACAAATTTGATTATTGAATTGTATAAAATTTTGTAAATTAAATCATTTTAAAGGATTAAATTGATGAAATTTAAAAAATGTAGAAATTATCATTTTGGTCCCTAGAATGCTTTAATTGACAACATTTTAAACAATTAAATGATTAAATTGATTGAAATTAAAAATTATAGATTACATTAATAATTGAGAAACAATTAAGAAATCAAAATGGTGATTAACTCTATTAATAATGCAATTTGCCTTGCATAGTTGCTTGTTATTGTGGGGAAACCAATGAATTCATGTTGATGGTTGCATACAGGTGATTTGGTATTTAGTTTCAATTTGAATGGTTAACTTTGGCTTAAGTTATTGGCCCAAAGTTAATATAGTCTAAAATTTGAGGGATCTATTATCTTATTTATGGAAAGCATACGGGAAAATTTTTGGATCGAATTTACAATATTGTTTTTCTTATTATTTCGAAATTTTACATTCTTATGTTTAAGAAAATCAAATTGTGATTAATATTTGATTTGTCGTATTTCAGGTGATTCTTGAATAATAATTATAAGTAATAATGCATGATTAATAATTGACAATTATACTGTAGAATTACATTTAATGTGGTGGGCTCTTTATAAATATGAGACATTGATCCTTTCAGTTAATGAGCTGTTTATTGCATTATCGTAATTTACTTATTTACTATCCTGTTGGATTACAATAGAAAGCTAAAGGTGATGATGAGTGAGCTACTAGCGGTTCAAGACGAAGTGATTACGGGTTTTGTTGATAAGTGATAAGGATTACGGTTGCCCCACCCAACTACTACTACTTGCGCCCATTTATCATCATCACCTGCAACTTCTTATCCCATTTTCAATTCTCTCGCAATCTAACCGGGTTACGTTCTTCAATTCCTTTTTTCAAGTCGGCTAAGTATGTTATTCGATCGAGATGATGACAATGAATATGATAATATTGAATATTAAAAAGTGTTGAACCAAAATATAATCCCCTATGAAATTCGTTTGACCGTTATTTTGAATCAGAAGTTTTACAGTTTGACTTTTTAGTTGTATAAATTATATTTAGATTTTTCAATTTGAGACAGTCAGACAATTAAGTATGAGAAATCTAAACTAGTTTAATGTTGTGGATATACTTCACTCAAAATAACTTTTTCGGTTTTAGACAATCAACTATATATATTGTAGACTAGTTTAGGATCACATGTTAAGTTTCATTCAAAGCAATTTGATCGATTCGAGTCAATTGTTAATATAGTGTTATAGGGCGATTTCACCTATAGCAACCTTCTAGTGTGGAGCCAACCGGCTTGACAACCAAGACTGATTTAGAGTTATAGGGTTTAACTTCATCCATAATGACTTTTGGTTTAAATTGGTCAGCTATAGATTTAGGCTACTTTAAACTTATAAGATATGTTTTTACTCCGTGTACATTTAAATAATAAATGCAAACTTAAAAGAAACCCAAAAAAGAAAAAAAATAAAGGCACAAGTGTCAAATAGGCCCATCTACTACTGCGAAGTGCTCAATTCCCACCCTGAATTAAATTAAGTGTCAAATAAGTCTATTTACCAGCTAAAATTGTTCAATTAACTTTTTTTACAGGTTATCAATAGGTTGCCTGTTTAATTATTAAAATAAATAAATAAATAAAATAAAATAAAAGAATTATAAAAAAAAAAAAGTAATAACAGCCACCGGCTATCCTCGCCGGACAGCCGGTGGCTGCCCTTTCAAAGACAGCCGTGGCTGTCCGGCGAGGACAGCCGGACAGCCACGGCTGTCTAATATGAGGTCATGGCTATCCAGATATGAGAAAATATCACTTCTTCTCGAGTAAGCTAGCGCAGGTGAAGAAGTCAACAAATTCGCCATTAAAATCTCAAGCTTAGCTTATTAATGGATAACATCATATCAGCAACGAACAACAAAAGATAGATAGATAATGGATATGAGAAAGCTGCCGCAAGATGCCATTGAAGAGATCCTCTCGAGGTTGCCACCCAAACCACTAGGAAGATGCAAATGCGTTTCTAAATCCTGGCACGATTTAATCTCTAGTAGAAATTTTGTGAAAAACATCTCGATCGAACCCTGTCCAATCCCCCCGACAACCCTTTCAGAATCCTCACGTATTGGTGCTATGAGTCGCCGTCCGCCCTCACATCCGCCCCAGACTCCGATGATGTCTTGGTGGACCTCGACGATCCTCTCGGCCCCGAGGAACCGTGGCTGTTTTTTTTTTTTTTTTAAATTTAAATTATTTTATTTTATTTATTTATTTTAATAATTAAATATGCAACCGGTTGGTAACCTGTAAAAAAGACTAAATAACCTGTAAAAAAGGTTAATTGAACAAATTTAACTAGTAGATAGATCTATTTGACATTTAATTAAGTTCAGGGTGGGAATTGAACACTTCACAGTAATAGATAGGCCTATTTGACACTTGTACCAAAAATAAAGGTTTTCAACGGTAAATGTTGGACTATGAATTTCAGAAAACAGGTTAGTAGTTAACGGTCAATATATTACCTGAATAATAATTTCTCATTCCTGACTTTACGCACGTTACAAACGACTGGGATGCGTGTTAGTAAGACTAAGAAGGGTTTGGTTAGAGTAGTTATTAATTTTTAATTAAAATTTATTTAATAATTAAGATTAATTATGATCCACCGCTCTCTAATTCTTATTAGGAAAAAATCCAATATTTTGTATACTTAAAAGAGTACTAGTTTAAGCATTTTTTTTTGGACGTGATTTTCATTAATTGAGTTTTTATGAATTGACTCACTTCACAACTAATTAAATATTAACTATTAAGACTACGTGGTCTAATGGTATCTAGGTTTGATTTTCATTTGGAAGATTGTGAGTTCAAGCTTTAATACTAAATTAAGAATTATATTACTTCATAAAATTTATACAAAGCTCTTTCTAAGTTGGTCGACCAATTCTGCGATCTAACTAAGTGCGAAAAATTTCAATTCTTCAATTATGACTAAAAGGTAAATTTATGTATTTAATTATTTAAAATATAAATTTAATTTATCAATTATCATTTAAGAGATATATTTTATTTTTCAAATGACTAAATCAATTAGCAATATATCAATTGGTAATATGACAAATTTGATCGTAAAAATCAAATTTGTTATTTTGATAATAAATAAAAGATTTAGCAAATATATATCAAATATATGATAATTGTTCATTTTCATAATGAAAGTTTTAGAATAATAATGAATTAAATGTACTAAAAATATTATTTTTCTCTATTTTTATTTTTACCCCGTCCAAGTAACATTGATTGGAAAATACATTTTTTTTATTAGAAATGCCATAATAAAATGAAAGTTACTGAGAATTTACCGTTTTACCCAGTCGCTTTTACCAATTTAAAAGAGATATATAAAAGCCGGCTCCTGGAACCTAAAACCCCCCAAATATTTCCCGAAAAAAGAATTACTTTCTTTCTTTCTCCCATCATTTCCAAGAAAATCTCTGAAAAAAGCTTTCTTTTGATTCAAAGCAAGAAATCATGTGTGGAGGTGCTATAATCTCCGATATCATACCGCCCAGCCGGTCGTCGCGCCGGCTCACCGCCGATTTGCTCTGGGGACCCGCTGATCTGAGCAGCAACAACGGCGGGAAGAAGAAGAACCGCAACAGCAACTCGTCTGGAAGCTTCTACTCCAGGCCCTCGCGATCTGGTATCACCGACATCGATAATGACTTCGAAGCTGATTTTCAGCACTTTAAGGACTACTCTGATGTTGAGGTTGAAGAGGTGGATGCCAAGCCCTTCGATTTCTCCGCTTCCAAGCAGCCTGGATTCTCTTCTGGTAAATTTTCTATTTCACCTCATTCTAGGTCAAGTTTATTCTTTTGTTAATTTTCCGGTGGTCTTGAGCATATGTTTTGTTACTTTGGGTGGATTTTCCGCTGATAAGGGTTATATCTGTGTTAATTTATCACCTATCATTTCTATGTGTGCTCATTTCACTGAAGATTAAAATAATTAAAAAATTTCCCCTTATTTTCATTACCATTTGTAGGATTTTTGGGATAATTTGTACTGATGGTTGATTTCAGGTTCAAGTTAATATTTTTTTTGGCTAAGTTAACTGCTTGCTTGATATTTTGGTCAAAATTTCCATCTAGTATCTATTCTCCCTGTGTTTATATCCTTTTAGAAAAGTAGTAGTCCTTGGGAAATTTTTGAAGGGGATAAACTGAAAAAAGAGAGAATTGTGAATTTGTCTATAGATTGAATATATGTTTGATGTTTAGAAAAAACTAGTGGATTGCCAACTCTACTTTGAGATGAGAAGTTGTGATGTTTTTCAGTATATGACTTTCACCATTTATGCATTGATAATACAAAAAGCTGTTTGAATACGTGCTTCTTTGAGGAATAATGAAAAGATAGTGCCTTGAATTTCATGGCTGCTTCCAAGTTGTTTTAAATCATTGTTGGATTTCATGGGTTTACTGGATGTATGTGATGCTGCTATTAACAAAAATTTTTGTGTCCTTTTATACATGAAGGCTCCAACTCTGATTTAACCAAGGATGCTGACAAGTCCTCAAAGAGGAAAAGGAAGAATCAGTACAGGGGTATCCGACAGCGTCCTTGGGGTAAATGGGCTGCTGAGATACGTGATCCTGTGAAAGGTGTCCGTGTCTGGCTTGGAACTTTCAACACTGCTGAAGAGGCTGCAAGAGCTTATGATGTTGAGGCTCGAAGGATCAGGGGCAAGAAAGCTAAGGTTAATTTTCCTGATGAAGCTCCAATATCTGGGTGCAATGTTAAGCCGAATGCTAGGAAAGTGCTTCAAAAGGAGAGTTCACAGCCTGACATGTCTTTCACGAATATGTTGGAAAATGTGTACTATGAACCTCTGAACTCGCTGGATGAGAAACCACTAACAAAACAGAATGAAATCATAGATGCTTATGCTGCTCCAGGAGATATGAGTCACACATCGTATGCCCCATCTGATACTGCCAACCTCTTCTTCAACTCTGAGGAAGGAAGCAATTCTTTTGGCTGTTCTGAGTTGGGGTGGGGAGACCTTAGTTCAAGGACTCCAGAAATATCATCTGTATTGTCAGCTGCTGTGGAAGCTGATGAAGCTCTATTTGCAGAGGAAGCCAACCAGGCAAAGAAACTGAAGTCTAGCTCTGAAAATTTGGTGGCTTCTGATGGAAACACTGTCAACAAACTATCTGATGAACTCTCGGCTTTTGAAGCAGAGATGAAGTTATTCCAGATCCCATATCTCGAGGGAAACTGGGAAGCATCCATTGACACCTTCCTCAACGGAGATGCAACACAGGATGGTGGAAACGCCATGGACCTCTGGTCCTTCGACTATGCTCCAACCTTAATGGGGAATGAATTCTAGTCAGCAGAATTTCTCCCCTTACTAGCATTTCGTGAATAAGGCTTCATGTGAGTAAAAGCTTGATAACTGTACTGCTGTTTAATTAGAAAAATTTTATGCCCCCGGAATGGAACTTGATCTGTTTATGTTTCGTATAGGTTGGCTTATGTTTGCTGAAGACTACAGACAGCTCAAACATGTTTGAACCATGACGAGTGCGTGCTTAGGGGAGTAAATATTTTTCGGTTTTAATGAAACTCTCGAGACTTTAAATTGAAGCTGTTTAAAATTTGGTGATGTCTGTTAGTCTGTAAGGATGATGAACTAAAAAGAACAATAATTTTCCTCCTTTATTTATATCCTGTTGCCATTTATATCAGTTTTGTACTCTGCACAAATGGAGATTGTTCATTTCATCTTCTCTTTCCCTTCATTAGTCTTGTGTTTTTGCCAACCTAGTTAATAGTTATCCATGTACAGTTAGACAGTTAAGCAAATAATATTGCCATCTTTTATGACTCGTGGGTGAATTCTACATGACTATTCTCATTCTTGAAAAATGGTGCCATGTGTTGCTGTGAATTTGGGTGAAAGATGAAAAGTGGAATCTTTCCACCATGGTGGGTGAGGGGTAAGTAGGTAAATTCCACTCATTGTTGTTTTTGTGGTTGGTGTGACGTATGATGGTGATGGGGGTGGGGCTGAAAATGTTAGCTGGAGATTATGGAGATTATGGAAGTGAAGGGTGATCTGAGCCGCCTACCCCACACTGCAGTCTGCAGATTTTTTGAATTGCGTAATCAGTGTGTGTGGGTTCAGATCAGTGAGTGGCTCTCTCGAGTTCTCGTGATTCTTCTTTTCCTGTTTATATATCCCGTGTTGTTCTCAAAATGATATAAATCATGATAACTTAACTGAACACGGGAATTTAATTTTTACTTATTGCACGTAATGAGTCTATTCATTGTGACCAAATGAGCTGTCCATGCGGGCCTGTTTATATCTCCCCTTCTCCTCTTTAGTGGCCTCACCATCATTTTCCAGCTTTATGGTTAAGCTGTAATGGATTTACCATTATTAATTTGGTTAAAAATCAATATAAATGTTTAGTTAATTAGTTTTTTTGTAACTTCACAATGTTAAAATTTAAAATAAGTTCGAAACAACTTTTTGAATTAGCTTATTGAAGAAAAAAATTATACCAAACAGCTATTAGCTAACAGTTCTTTTTTCTACAATCAGCTAATGTTATCAACTAGTTATACTCTCTAATTAACTCAATTAGCTAACATTCATGTACTAAACAGGGCTTATATGAAAAAGTTGACCCAGTTTACTTTGTGCATAAGAATTCTAATTCAAACCCAAACTCTCAATGTTTGTGACAGAAATTAAACTTTCACACAATTTTTGAAACATGACTTGAATGATATTTCTCATGCATTAACTAATGCCATGAGAGCTAAATTGTAGATTCTTTCCCTCACAAAGTCGGCCTAGCTTTAAGGAGTCTCACGAGTATGAATTTACTTGAAGAAAGGAATAGGATCGGAAAGCCCTGTTCCCAAAGCAAAACATCAAATTCTCATCATCCCAACACACAAATACAAACCATTTCTCTTTTCCACTTTAATCTAAACATCATTAGCCTAATTAGGACATACAGTACAGTTACCATGAACCTGCAAACAAGATCATCATCCAATGTTGTCTTCATGTTTCCAGCAATTCTTCCATGCATTCTCCTTCAAAAGATGCTCCCTTTTCCTCTCCATTTTCGTTCTCGCCATAACCCTAATCCTAGGATCCACTGCACTTGTCATCATCTTCATCCTCAAGCCCCACCAGCCTGCTTTCTCCCTTCAAGCCATAAGACTTGAGTCCTACAAACTCGACGTCTCAACCGACCTCTTCGTCTCGTCGGTTGTTTCTCTTACGTTGATGGCCGGAAATCCTAACAAGTTCGGCGTGGGGTTTAGCCCCACTGTGCTTCATTTGTTGTACCAAAGCGAGGACATAGGAATGGTGGTTGTGCCTGGGTTTTATCAGCCTGCTCACAGCAAGAATTTGACGTTTGAGACAGAAGCAGTGTTCCAATGCGTTAATGTTAGTGAGATTCTTTCTGGGATTTCGCGAAACTCGAGAAATAATGATCCTTTTCAGGCGTCAATTGTAGGTGATGTTGTGGCCGAGGTCAGGCTTCTTCATGTCCACCTGCCAAAGTTCAAGGTCAGTGCTCTACGTACTGCTCTGCATGCATGCATAGTAATCATTTTTCGTGTTTCTAAACATACCATTTTAAATTTTGCCTTAATTGTAATTTTTCTTTTAAAGATTTAACATGGGTTATTTGCAGTTAGCTTTGGAGTGTAATATAAGTATTGATCAAAGCTCTTTTATGTATAGTGTTGAAGCACTTCACAATATGAAGGCAGTGAAAAATCACACGGTACATAAATACACAATTTACCCATATATATACTTTTTTTTTTTTTTTACTTATACTGATTTTTGTTTATTACTCTGTAAAATTTGAAGATATCTCTTCCAATCAATTGGCAAAGCTTCTCCAAGGAGTGTTCCATAGCGGTTTACATTTAACATTATGAAGCATGCACTACACGTCCGCAAGTGAATAAAATTGAAGCAATTTATCCATTTTTATTTTATTTTAATTTTAATTTATCGAAAATTGATGGGGTAGTATTATGTCAATATTATTGTCCACACAAGTTGTTTGGACCATATTTTGTATATTGTAAAATAATGTACATTCAGTATAAAAATAATATATATTATATTCAGGGGATGTACATTATTTTTGTACTGAGTGTACATTATATTATATAATATACATACAGTACAAAAATAATATACATTTAATATATTAAAATTTTATTTTTTATTATGGTCTACATAACATTGTGTGGACTATAATTTACCGTATTATGTGGCCCGTCAAATTCATTGAACCTAGAAGTTAAGTCCAAGACCATGCGACGGATAACGAATTGGCCCATGGACAAAAGGTGACGAAATTGTTTTGATCTTCTTCTCTAGCAGTCTAGCTACTTGATTTTTTTTTTTTAATTATATGTTTTACATTAAAAAATAAATAAAATTCATAGCTCTCACATAAAACACAAACATCAATCATGGTGAATTCATTCACAAGCTGTCCCCACTTATAATTGGCCTCAATTTTATGTAATTAAGAAAATAAATATTATTGTTCTGAAAGGGTAGTTGAGTTGTTTGGTACATAATTCTTATATCAAAATGTCACGATTTTAATTTTAATTTTTGATAATACTTTCTTGATTTTTACACAATAATAGGGTTTATTTGGGGGATAATTCGTAGTCAAGTTTGTCGTGCAATTAATTCCTACCTTCTTGTGGTCGTTTGTTTGCTAATAAGGTCAAAAGACAGACTTCACTCATAAATCATAATGCATATTTGTATACCGATTGTAAACTTTCTTAAAAAAAAAAAAAAAAAACACCAAAGACTATGTGGTCTAATGGTACCCAGGTTGGACTTCCATTTGGAAGATTACGAGTTCGAGCCTTAGTGGAGGCGTTATTGGTTCTTTGTGTTTCAGTAGGTTGATTTCCATTTGGAAGATTACGAGTTCGAGCCTCAGTGTAGGCGTTATTGGTTCTTTGTAATAGGGCCAGTGTAGTCAAATTACGGTTGTTGGTTCTTTGTAATAGGGCCAGTGTAGCCAAATTACGGTTCTTTGTAATAGGGCTAGTGTAGTCAAATTACGGTTGTTACACCATGAACCATGGTCCGAAAACGGCGTCGTTGTCGTTCCTTTAACTAAAAAAACGGTTGTTACACTGTGAACCATGGTCCGAAAACGGCGTCGTTGTCGTTCCTTTAACTAAAAAAACGATCGCCATTAAATTTTAACAAATCATGTTGATAGGATATATATCCCGACACCAACCACCTGTACGTCTATGAGCTCATTATAGTCAGGTCAGAATCAAGCGGTCCGGGACCCGATCCACGGGTCAAAGGTGACGGGCCAAACCCGCCACCTCCCTTAGCCGGTAAAAGGGGCATTACCTTTATACGATGGCTCTCTCTCTCTACACCTTAATTACTCTCCTCCTTCTCTAATCTCTCTATAGATACATGCAAGAGAACAACATTAATAAAGAAGATTGCTTTGTCCTATACCTTCTTGTCTTACTTGTTCACAACATACATACATCTATACACTTACGAGTACAGCCGGCAACCGGGAATTAGTACTATCACATGTATTTCTCGTGTCTTTATGACAAAATGAAACTACAGTGTATCTAAAATGAAACTGAATAATTTATCTCGCATATATTATTAAATGAATCTGTAATTGAATTGAAATGATACCTTAGTTGTGTTGAAATAAACTGCAATATTAATGAAATGAAAGTAAATAACATGTCTCACATATTGAATGTATATTATCAAATAGAACTGTAGTTGAATTGAAATGATACTTGAGTTTTGCTTAAATGAAACTACACTATGTATAAAAAAAAAACTTAATGTATATTGTAAAATGAAACTGTAGTTATATAAAAATTACTCCGTATGTGTTTTCAGGTATAAAATTATGTGTTTTCTATTATACAATTCTATACATTAGGAACATGATTTTATTTTTTTTTTAACAGCAAATACACGAAAAGATCAAAACGACGTTGTTTTGAGTCTGGGCATATAATGCACTGTGCGCCTGGTGCACGGTATAATTTGCCTCTTTTCATTAAAAGAAACGGTACCGTTTTGAACCATAGTTCACAGAATAATTTACGGTCTAATTAGAGGCATGCCACGAGCCTGGTCCAAATGTCCAATACGAGAATTCCAAGGAATGGGCTTCTTATAGGTCTAGACTATACCAGACCACATTCATGTAGAGTGGTCCAAGCTCTCAAACAAATATCCTTTTCAGCTTTTTAACTAAAACAAAGACATGCTCTTTGATGATCACCTGATATAGTTTGAGATTTTATCTAAGAAGTCTCGAAATTATTCATTTGTTGGTTCAAATGCATAAATTAACGTGCAATACTAACATGCATAGTTATATTTATTTAAATAGACTAACAAAATATAATGATAATTAATTGAGTGGTTTAATTTTTTGTTTACTGAAACCACGATAGTCTATCTCATCATTGTCACAGCTAGCGCTAAATCACTAATCACCAGTTACCAGTTAAGCACTTTTGGTGATAGAATATGATGTATTGAATTATCCCTATTCTTATTGCATAGGTCAACTACTATAACGAAAGACGTACACATATATATTCGTGTCCATGTCCAATAAGATTGATAAGTGAACATGTATATCGTTAGAGGTGTAGACAAGTATTAATTACTGCTCTTCCATCTAGCGGAGATCACTCCAATCACTCAATTGACACATGTAGCGCACGCACCCGCTAGGCACTTTCTGTGCATGCAACATGCGACTTTTTCTCGAATATGATAATCTCGGTGCAACGTAACAAACAACTTGCTAAGGTAAGCCCATCACGGGAAGCAATGACGACTAGCTACGTGATTGATCATCAAGCAATTCTCGTCATCTATTTTGGGGTCGGCCGGCATTCCCACTCTACACTCAAGGCTAAAACGGACAATTCACTCCGGCGCGCGCATTCATCATCACCAAATTAACTAACAACACTACAATTTCGGTTGCCCACCCATCCAGTAACTAACGTCTACATTAAACCACGTTGCCTAATTAATTATTTCCTCCTCCGATCCACGTGCAAAAAATGCAGACAGTGAAATGTCCGTACTGCCCCCGTCATTGTCACCGGACGTCGCCGTGTTTCCAGATTGTCGGATTTTGATCGGAGCTCCAGCTCAGCTCGGAATCGCAGTTAGTTTGTGTTGTGATAATTGATCTTAGGTTGTCTCATGTATATATATATGTGGTGCGTAGACACGTGAGCGTCGCTGTCGGCGGAAGCTATGAAAGACAGATGGAGGAGGCAAAGTTCGGCGTCCATGCCGTTTCACATGGCCGGGATGAAACGTCATCCATTTTCCACGTTGAGCTTATCTCCAAGTGGCGTCTTGCCCACCTGGCCCACTCCATCATAACCCACTCATGAGACTTCCCTTTAAACTCTTAAATGCCTTCTAAAAAGTTCTACCTTTAATTTTTATTTTTTTCATAAAATAGGGGAATAAAAATAAATATCAATTTTCAGTTTTTTGCTTTAAAGCCCTAAAAGTTACATTTATATAAGAGTAAATACCCAAAATGGTCCCTCGACTATAGCTAAATTCACAAATTGGTCATCGACTTTCAATTTCAACCAATTAAGTCCTTAACTTTGTAATTTTGACACGATTTGGTCCTCCATCTATTTGATCGTTTGTTGACCGTGATCGACGATCTTCAGAAGAACCTTCAGCTCTCGTCGAAGCACGTGGAGGCCTCCAGGATGACGTTGCACTAGTTCGGAAACACGTCGTCTTCTTCGTTCTGGTACGAACTCATCAACTACATTGAATCCAAAGGGAGGATGAAGAAAGGCGACCGGATTTAGTAGATTGCTTTCAGCAGTGTATTCAAATGTAACAGTGCGGTTTGGAAATGCAATCGAAACCTTAAAAACCGACGATGGACCATGAAATTACATATATATCCTCAAAAATCACAGTCAACAAACGGTCAAATAGACAGAGGACCAAATTGTGCTAAAATTACAAAGTTAAGGACTTAATTGGTTGAAATTAAAAATCGAGGACCAATTTGTGAATTTAGCTATAGTCGAGGGACTATTTTTGGTATTTACTCTTTATATAATTAGGAAACACCAATATTGTCCAAACAAAATTAGTACGTGAAAAAGTGGGCAGTGGGCTAAGGGTTTAAGGAAGTAATTAAAGAACAATTATGACTTTACAAGTGTTTTAGCATTTTTGTCTTTTAAGTATGTTGGTAAAAGAGTTGGATTTGTAACCATAAGTCTCGAGTTTGACACTTTGTAAGAGCAGTGTTGGTTTTTTTTTTTTTTTTTTTTTTTTTTTTTTTTCAATTTGAATATATAGGCTATAGACAACCTAGGTTAGTTTACCTCATCGTTGTTCTTTGCTAGTTAGGGTTACAAGACAGACTTCACTAATAGTGTATATTCAAGTAACAGTTGCGAACTTTCTCGAAAATCAAAAAATTTCTAACTATAAAATAAATTTTTTTAATTTTTGAAATTTTACAATACCAAACTTCGTCATAATTGCTAAAAGTCATGACTTAAAAAAAAAAACACTTGAAGTTTCTAATAGTAATATTAAAAAAAAAAAAAAAAAAGAATAACATGTTGACGATTTTTCTGATCACCGAAAAATGATTAGTATTATCAACCACTTTGATTGGTGGTCAGTGATATTTAGAGAAGTAATTTTCTAAACTTAAAAAGTGGTCAAAATTCAAAAGTGTGATAAGAGACCGTTATTTTTTATCACAGATTTTTTATTCTAACACTTTTTGAGTAGTTAATAAATAACAAATGAATTATTGTGAAAGGCTGAAAGATGTCATCAATAAGTGAAAAATTATATATGTATTATTAATTTTAAAAAGTAGATATAAAAATAATGAAATAAGAAATGAAATGGAAGACGCGCACAAGATTATTAAAAAAAAAAAAGAAAAAAAAAAGCAATATCTA